GGGGGGGGGGTGTCCTCTCTGCCCACAGGCTCCTCCTGAGGCATTTAGAGGGTTTATTTTTGGTTTTTGTTTCTCTGAGACAGGTTGTCCCTGTGTACTTCAGGCTGACCTTGAACTCAGAGTGATCCTCCTGCATCAGCCTCCGGGGTGCTGGGATTCCAGGCGTGCGCCACCACGCCTAGCAGGATTTATGGTTTTGACTTGTCCCTTTCCCTGCTCCCACACTGAATTTGCTCCTGATGCAAATTTCCTGCCCCGATGCTGGGATTGGAGACTAATGACAAAGTGTGACTTTGGCAGAACAGGAGTGAAAACTGGGCCTGTTGGACTGTGAGCCCCAGATGGAGCAGGGTCAGGCATAGATAAAGTTCTCATCGAAGCATCACACTCATGGCAGTCCTCCTGCCTCAGCCTCTTAAATGCTGGGATTATAGGTGTCTACCACCGTTCCCCACCAGATTTGTTTTTTTTTTTTATTTCTAATGTTTTGTTCCTTGTATTTCGCTGTAACTGATTTCCTTCTTCATCCGATGTATTTGGTTTTATGCATTGAAAAGTGCTTCTCAGAGGGAGGGGAAAGCTGGGAGACCCCTGCTAAGGGGCTGAGAGCTGGGCAGGCAGGTTGCTCTGCAGCCTGGCTGAGTGACCTGAGGCAGTGACCGTCTCTGAGCCTGGTCCAATCACAGGTTGTCCAGCATCAGCCCCAGGCCCTGGGGAGACCTGTGTCCCCTGCATTCAAGGCTGGGTGTCCAAGAAGAGCCAGTACAGCAGCTGACATGAGGTGTGACGCTTTCCAGGAGGGGGCCCAGGGGACGGGGCCAGGAGTGAGATGCCAGCTAGAGGAGTTCCCATGGCACAGCAGACCCTGGGGCCAAGCTTGTTCTTTGGCCAGGAGGTCATCGGAGGACGTACTGAGTCCCACTCACGCGACCAGGCTGCCAGTCCCCTCCTGTCCTGGGCCCCTTCCCCAGAGCCTTGGTGTGGGAGCATCGAGTGAGCTAATATGTGCCACGGGCTCTGGAATTTCACCGAGTGTGGGGTCAGTCTTCAGGGGCTGCAGGACGGCTGGGGAGAGCCCTGGCAGCTGGAGTATCAGCAGCTGGAGGCTGGAGCCCTGCTGTGTGCTCTGGGAGGACCCCATCCCTCTCTGGGCCACCATGTGGGCACAACCATTCCTAGGAAGAAGGTTTGGTGGCAGTGTGCCGGGAGAGTTCTGGTGGGACAGAAAGATGGGCTGGCGACAGGCCCCTGGACTGTCATAGGTCAGTGAGCGTGGGGGGCAAGGGAGGTGGTGTAGGGGATCCAGTTGCATCTGCAGCAGGCTTAGCTCGGGGTACCCTTGACCCCTCCCCCCGCCCTTGGGAGCCTAATTAGGTTCTAGCCTAGTTCAGCCTTTCCCCATACTCCTGTCCCTGGGCTCGCCAGGTTGTCAGGCTGATTGCTGATTGATGACCCAGTTGAGGGAATAAGTCCTGCACCCCTACTTCCTGCCTCAAACCCCAACAGGGACTGGATGGTCGCTGTTCACGAGCCTCAGGTGGCTTGCAGGTGGGGCAAGGTCCAGCAAGGCAGGGTGTGATTCTGGCCGCGTCCCTCTCCAGCTGTGGGACTCGAGCCCTGTGTCTGAGTGGCTCCATCTCTGAGGAAAGGGACAGTCACACTGTGTGTGCGATGGCGCTCTGCTCTCTGCAGGATGGAGGGCGTGCCCGGATCGCAGTGGCTCTGCACGGTCAGCCCCTTCCCCGTCCTCACTCTATGTGGGTCTCCCCAGGCCCAGGTGCCCTCACCGGGTGGGGCTCATCCCAGGCCTTCCTGGCTCTACGCTGGCGTTTCTGTGATTGTCGTCCTTGCTGTCTGTCTCCAGACAGCATGCCCGGGGCGCAGGGAGTGATTTATGAACTGAGCCCTTGTTCCTCAGAGCCCCTCCTGACCCCACTCGGGGCAGATGGGCTGCGCCAGCTGGGCAGTGGGGGGTTGGGATTAATAAAGTTGTCTGGCCCGGGCGGGAGCCTGCTGGGCAGGACCCTGCTGTGCTGCACGACCGTGGCCCTCTTGGGGCCTCGGGGCTCCCATCTGTCAAGGGATGGCAGGGCTGGGCCGTGCCCCTGGGGTCCTCCAGCTGGCTCAGGAGGATGCTAGCAGCCTCCCAGGGCTCTGAGCTCAGCTGCCTGACTGAGGGCAGAACAAGGCTGTGAGACCCTTTGGAGATACAGGCTTTCGTCCCTGCTTCCTGGTTCCTCTATGTGCTGCCCTGAGGCCTCGGATCTCTCTGGAGCTCTGGGTCGGATCCCAGAAGACAGACATGGCTGTGACTTGCTAAGAAAATGAATGGAGTCAGCCCTGTAGTTACCTTTGCTAAGCATCAACTTCCTTGTCTGTAAAATGGGATGAGGGGTACCAAACACCTACTCCCAGGCAGGGATTAAAGAGGATGCAAGAGAAATGCTTAGCGACCAAACCCTCCATACTATTAGCTATTTTTAGGTTGGATATCACAAAATTGTAACCATATGGATTTGGGGCTGTTTAGAGCAGATGTTTATGTCCGTCCTGACCCAGACCTGTGTCCCCCCCTCATCCTCCCCTCTCCTGATGACTGACCCTGTGGGCTGGACACCCGCTTATCCCTTGTGTGATGATCCTGGTGACTATGGTGCCCCAAGAAAAGGGCACTTTGTGGCTCTTTAGGTCTTTCCTTACCCATGGTAGCAGGAAATCTTTGAGCCACCTCTGGCTTCAGAACTGACCATCACGGTGTTTGAGGGGAGCCCAGCATCTTGGAGACGGTGAGGACTGTCCCATGGTCTCGAGGGAGCTTTCCCAGGCTCTGTGGCAGCTGCGGCTATGGGGGTAACTGTAGCAGGTGTCCCCTGGGGTGGCCTCTCCCTAGCAAACAGGAGCCAGGCATAGGCTTGGGACAGGAGGAGGACAAAGAGAGAAAGGAGCAGGACTGCCCAGGGGACTTGGCATACTAAAGCAGAGTGGGAAGCCTGTCCCATGCCAGGGGCAGGATGCCTAGTCATTCGGTTGGATGGCTGTGTCACCTGTGCCTCTCTTCCAGCCACGGTGTCCAGGACAACAGCCTGAAGTGCTGAGCAGGTGGCTGGGAGGGGTGTGGGGGCAGAATGTGCAGGAGAAAACCGTCTCACTCACACACACGCGCACACACACACACACCCCGTCTCCCGGAGCCTCGGGCCAGCTGTCCCCCAGCAGCCAGTCCTGCTGCCCTTCCTCAGCCCCAGCACAGCTGTCCTGAGGGGAGAAACAGCCTGGAGCCCCCAGGGGTGCCTGCCTTTCCTCTGTCATCTCTTCACCTCAGTTTCCCTCTGTGAGATGCAGGCATGGTCAGCTTACCAGGGCTGACGTGAGAATGCACACAGGAGGACAGCGCACTTTCTGTCCAGGCTCCTCTGGCTTCCAGCTCCTTGGTTTGAGTCACTCACTCAGCCATGCACAAGCCACTTCCCTCACCAGGACTCAATTCCCCCGCTGTAAAATCGCCAGATTCCCAAAGCTGATGCACACAGAGGCAGGGCAGGCAGGGCAGGCAGGGCAGGCAGGGCAGGCAGGCAGCTGGACCCTGCTACCTGGGCGTGTCCAGCCAGGTCCTTCTGCCCATCCATCTCACCCCAGATGACTCCTCTTGCTTTCCCCTTCGTGTTCTCCATGGCTCCCAGTGGTCACCCAGTGAAGGTGGGCCTCTGACCCCTCACTCCTTGCAGGTTCCCCAGGCTTCCTGTTACCTGTTTCCTGGTCTCCTCTGACCTCCCAGCCCACACTGCAAGTGTGCTTAATGCATCTCCAGCCCCCAGCCCAGCACTGGCACAGGGTGCAAGCAATGCCTGGGGCAGCGGATGGGGAGATAAAGGTGTGGATGGAAGTGGATGGACGTGTGTGGGATAGATGGATGGATGGGTGGGTGGGTGAGTGATTAATGACAGAGATAGGTAATGGATGACAGAGGAATCAGTGAGTGGATGGGTGGGATGGATGGATGGATGGATGGATGGATAGGTGGCTAAGGGATAGGTAGATGAAGAGGATGACTTGATGGGTAGATGGGGAATAGGTGGATGAATAGAAGACTGGATGGATGGATGGATGGATGGATGGATGGATGGATGGATGGATAGGGGGATAGATGGGGAAACAGGTGGATGAATAGAGGACTGGATGGCTGAGTGGAGAGATGAATGAGTGGATGGATGGATGGGTGGCTGGATGGATAACTGAGGGATAGGTGGACAGGTAGAGGGACAGATGGATGGGTAAAGGAGTGTGTATATGGATGAGTGAATAGATGAATGATGGGATGGATGGATGGACAGCTGAGGTATAGGTGGATGGGGAGAGAGAGGGCAAGATAGGTGTAGGGAGGAAAGAGGTCAAACTGTTCACCTCCACACCTCATCTACTCCTGGCAGGCTTTCACCTGGGTGGAACCCAACCAGGTATCTTGAGACCTGGAACCCCCTTCTCTGTGTAGAGACACCCCCACAGCCCGAGCTCCAGCCACAGCCTACTCCCAGCTCTTTCCTGAACACACCGTGCTAGCAGGTCTGGGCCAGAGTCCCCACGGGTGTGACAAAGTAGGAGACTACATGGGACCCCATGTGAGCCGTCTAACTTCTGAAAGCAAACCTCATCCTGGGAGCCCCAACTCTTTGTCTGAAGGAGCCTTTTGGAAAATCCTGTGCAAGGTCAAAGGGTGCTTCCCAGCATCCACTTCTCCACCAGGGAGTCCTGGGTGCTGAGGCAGCCCTGCTGTACACCCGTGTCACCCCACTGGCCCTGGTGACATCCAGCTGTGTGCCACAGGCCACACTATTGGCATCACACAGCCAGGCCAGGACACCCCGGGCTGGCATCTGGTCAGAAGGCCACTCATGCTGCCCCCCAGTGGAGTGGCCCCGGGCGCCACAAGCTTTACCTTAGTGTCCAGAGGCCTGGTTTCCCACCGGCCCTTCCCTTTGGTAATCAGGCCTTTTCTCTTGCAGGACCCAGACACAAGCCCTTCTGATCAGGAAACCCCGTCCTGCTGACGCCCGAGTGGCTGCCCAGGTGACTTCAGCATGCCCTTCTCTCTCCCCACCCCACCCCGTTCTGTCTGCCAGGCTGTCCGCCTGTCCTGGCCCTGTTTCTCTGTCGGCCTTCTCAGGTCTTCGTTCTTTCTGACTTGAGCTTGCCTGTCTCTCTGATTTCTGCTTCTGCTGTTCTGTTCCACTGTGTGTTCATTCATTCACTCATTTACCGAGGTGTATTCATTGAGGACTCATTGTGTCCAGGACTGCCCTAGACACGGGGAGCGTGACACTGGACAAACCCAGCCCACGCTGTACGAAGCACCATTTTCTAAAGCCTGATATATGCTGCCAGAATAAGGGAACGTTGTCCTTGGTTTCTGTCCTGCAAAGTAGCACAGACCTGGTGGCCAGAACTTCCAAACTACTTAAGAAACAAGGTCCCCACCTGTGGCTTAGTTCCTCCAAAACCGCAGACACTTGTCCTTTGAGGAGCTGGCCTGGGATGAGAGGTTGATTTCCCAGCTGCTCAATAAAATACTGAAAATGACTTCAGCTTGTGATCTCAGGGAACCCAGTTTGAGAACCACTGAACATAGTGGTAGGATGGTGGAGACCTCCTCGGTAGGCCTGGTCTTCCTAAGTGCTTTTTGCATCACTTTTTTGAGGATCAACAAAGCCTTTGGACCTCACAGTCCACCCTTCAGAGATGTGTCCGTGTTCCCCTCTCTTTAGAGGTGAATTAGGAACCCCATGGGGGCAACAACATCTTGAAGGTCAGAGGGAAAGGGGCTAAAACCAAATTCAGGCTGAGATTGGAGGATCCACATGTCTGTCTTGCCAGTCTAGCCAATGAGCGGTGGAGGTGTGTCCCCAGGTTCAAAGCTCCTCCTGGCGGTGGAGTAGGCAGCTTGGGTCTTCGGTTTCGGTCCTCAGTGACTCAAGCACTTGCCTGGTAAGCACAAGGTCGCGAGTTCGATCTCCGGTACCTGTTACATCCTCCTGGCAGTAGATGATGGCCCAGGAGGCTGGGGTGGTGAGTGCATAAAGGTCTGCACTTCGATGGAGGAGAGCTGAGTGGTCAAGGCACTTGGCATTGGTATAAATGATTAAGAGTTGTGGCTGTAGCACTTCCTGTGCTGTGGGATCCTGGATGGGTGATTCCACCTCTCTGAGCCTCAGTGTGATGCATAGTGCTTCTCCTGCCCTGGAAAATGGGCTAGTGTTAGCTGTTTCCCAGGCTTCCCAAGGACTGAGTGAGCTCATGCATGTTCCCTGGCACACGGTAAGACCTGGAGGGGTGCCAGGCCTTGTTAGCTGCCATGAGAATGAGCTACCACGTGCCAAGCCCTGGACTCAGTGTTGTCCGTGCCCAATGAGGAGGGCATTACTCTGATGGACTTTCACACAGAGGGAAGCCAAGCTGCCAGCTGGGCGCCCGGGCCCTCTGCACTCGCACCCTGCCTTGATCGCACCTATCTGTGGCCCAGCCATAGATGCTATTGGCCACGAATGTGGCACATCTCACCCACAGGCAGCCATGTAGGAGCTGCCATCGTCACCCTGGCCCTTCATGGGCAGCTGTCGAGGCTGGGTCCTGCCCTGGAGGGAAGCCCTGCCCAGGTGGGGGGGGGCAGCGACAGAAGAAATGGAGGGTCACAGACTTCCTGTCTGTCATTTTACAGATGAAGTCTCTCAGATCAGAAAGGAAGTGGTTTGCCTGGGGTCACACAGCAGTGTCTTATAGAGCAGGCACTTGGAGCTCCAGACCCCTCGTTCTGTGTTCCTGTGCCCCAAAGAGTACTGAGCACCCCTTCCCGGGGCAGTTACACCCGGGACCAGGAGGAGGCTGGGTAGATCCCGGTTGATCCCTGGACCGCTGTGCCATAGGTGCAGGCTGCCCATAGATGGCACGGCGCCTCTGCCCCGGGGATTGTGGTAAAGCCCTGCTCCTGCCTGTTCCTTTCCCTGCCCAGGAGCCGCCCTCTCTGGGGTGAGGAGGCGGAGCCAGCTAGGAGCCTCAGGTGCAGGCGCGGTCCTGGTTCCCACCCCACAGCCTAGGTGGACAGAAGTAGGTGTGGCCACTGCGAGGGGCTCCTGCACTGTGCCCCGTGGAGTGGGGTGCCCGTGGCTCAGTGTCCTTGGCAGTGTTCGTAGCTTGCTGCGCTGTGGTTGGTCCTGAGCACCCGGCGAGGCCCCAGGAGGCTGAGAGGCTGAGAGCAGCCCAGGCGTCTGACTGCATGGCTGTGCCCAGCCCTGATAGGAAGCAGGTCAGCTGGGAGGGGAGGCGCTGCGGCCACAGAGGGCCCCAGAATCAGCCCCCAGGGCCGCCCTGCAGGACAGCTGGGCTGGGGACCAGGGGGACACAGTGAAGTCCACACTTAGGGGGTTGATGGCCAAGATGCGTTATAGCCTCCAGCCCTGCATGGACGGGCTGGAAGGGCTGCTGGCCGACCAGCTGTCCCTGAAATCTCCTCGATGCCAGCCCTGCCCTCTGCCTGCTGGCTGAAAGGGGCTTGGGACCAGGGAGGGGACAGGTCTTCGTGCACTCGCCCTCTGTCCTGTGCAGCTCGTGGCTTGCAGGACTCAGAAATGTGTAGAACTGGGCATGATGGTATATACCTATGATCCCTCACTTTGGGAGGCTGAGGCAGGAGATGGCAAGTTTCAGCCCAGCCTGGGCAACTTAGTGAGACCCTGTATAAATAACAAAGGCCTGAGGATGATACTCAGTATAGGGCCCTGGGTTCAGTCCTCAGTTCTGGAGGGAAAATCTGAAAAGAAGGGACTTACAGGACACCATGTGTGGACCCAGCCATCCCCTGGACAGGGCAGAGCAGGACAGGTGGCAGGCGACCACACGAGCAGAGCAGAGCTCCTTCCCAGGCGCTGCCCGAAGATGGTCATGGCATCTGCTGTGGGCTTGTGCAAAGGACTCTGGGAGTTTTTGCAGGCAGACGGTCTGGGGGCTTCTGTAGCTCCCTTACCCGCCCCCGGACCTCGCTGGGCTCCACTTTCTTCATCCACAAGAGAAGCCTACGTCTTACTCAAGGGGTTCTTTGCCGTATTATTATGAATACCGATAGTAAAACGCCTATGAAAATATCACAGACTAGCTCATAAAGACAGGAGATTATTATCTGTCAATTTCAAATAACATGAAGATTAAACAATAATCCTAGCCAGTGTTTGGGGAGGGGAGCCAGGTACTGCGACAGGCGCGTTACACATATCATCTCAGTGATTTCATTCTTTCTTTATTTTGAGGGTCCCGCTACACAGTTCAGGCTGACCTTCAACTCACAGTGATCGTCCTGCCTTGGACTCCGTTGCGCTGGAATTAAGATGTCCATCTCCATGCCTGGCTCTCATTTAAGCCTTCCAACAAAATAAGAAGGGCTTGTTCCAGGTGGGCTCAGAGTGTCCCCTCTCCTAAATTAATTGCACGATGACCTGCCAGTTCACCCCTGCCTAGCTTGGCCTTGGCACCACGTGGCAGGGGGAGGAGGAGGAGTCCAGGCTCTGGCACCATCTCCCGTGCCACACCTTTCTGGGCTGATGTAGGGATTTGAGGTCATCCGGTCTATACCGCACGGATTGTTGCAAGAAATAAGTGAGAGCCAGGCGTGGTGATGCACATCTGTGATGCCAGCACAACGGAGGCCGAGGCAGGAAGATCGCTTTGAGTTGGAGGTCAGCCCGAACTGTGTAGCGGGACCTAATTGAGAGAGAGAGAGAGAGCGAGAGGGGCAGAGAGAGAGAGAGAGAGAGAGAGAGAGAGAGAGAGAGAGAGAGAAAGAGAGAGAGAGAGAAAAAGAAAATTCAGTGAGATGATATGTGCAAAGTGCCTGTCTCAGTATCTGGCTCCCCAAACACTGGCTAGGATTATTGTCTAATCTTCATGTTATTTGAAATTGACAGGTAATAATCCCATGCCTTTTGGGCTGGTCTGTGATATTTTCATAGGCGTTTTACTATCGGTATGCATAATAATAAGCCTCACAAAGAACCCTTTGAGTGAGACGTAGGCTTCTCTTGTGGATGAAGAAAGTGGAGCCCAGCGAGGTCCCAGGGGAGGGAGTGGGAGCTACGGAAGCCCCCAGACCGTCTGCGCACACCTGCACAAACTCCCAGAGTCCTTTGCACAAGCCCACAGCAGCGCCCGGGAAGGAGCTCTGTTCTGCTGCCGTGGTCGCCCTGGCCCGGCCCCATCCTTTCCCTCCTGGGCCTCAGGGTCCTCGTCTGCTTCTTGGCTCCCCAGTCCCCACTTTGAATCCCACCCAGGACTGCTAAGAACTTGTGTAGGCACCAGATACTGAACTCAACTGAGCCTGTTGGTCTCAAGTGGTCGGCTGCACTCCGTGGCTTCAGATGTCAGGGGTGCTGGGGGTCGCACATAGAGGAGGTCAGGGCTGAGGTGCCTGCCTGCACCTCCTGGATCCTACAGCGCCGCCTTCCCCCCCGCCGCCAGACCCCAGGAATGGCCCTGGACAGACCCGAGGCTGGCGTGAGCATAGGCTGGGGGCTTGGGGACCTGGCTGAGCCTCAGTTTCCCACTCCCCGCACAGAAGGCTCAGACCACACTCATGTGAGTGGCCCGGTGCCAGGCTCCTCCTGGCACCTCCTGGCTGCAAGAAAGTTTTGCTTTTTTTCTCCATTTTGAAGTTGAAGATGGTAAGACTCAGAGAGGCAGAGTAATTTACTCAGCATAACACAGCACAGCAAGAGCTCAATCCTGGCACACCGCCATCCCTTGGAAAGGGATTGTTGTCCCCCTCTGTGTCCCCCCTTACCCTCCCCCCCCCCCAGGACTGAGGTGGCCTCGCCTTTTGTAGGTGGAGCACCATGGAGGGCGACTGTCTGAGCTGCATGAAGTACCTGATGTTCGTCTTCAACTTCTTCATATTCGTAAGTGTACCAGGGCTCGGCGATCAGCCCAAGAATCCCATCTCTTGGGCAGGAGCCCTCGTCAGAGTGGGGATGGCCGTGCAGACCCTGGGGTGTGGCCTCTGGTGAAGGTGGGGTGGGACAGGGGCCCTGTGGGGACCACAAAGAGAAGGTAGGGTCCTTGGAACATGGCAGGGAGTCCCACCCAGCCTGGTCCCCGACACTTAATGCTATTCACTGAACACACTCACACCCTTTATCCTTTCTTCCTCGGGAGATGAAATTCCAGTCTCCATTTAACTGAAAGGAAGCTAAGGCTCAGAGAGGTTAAGGCACTCACCTGAGGCCACACAGCTCGTAAGTGGCACAGCCCTTTCTCAGGACTAGCTGCCTCCTCCCAAGGTACATAAAACGTGGAGAAATACTGGCCCTGCCAACATAGACACCAGTGAGGCAGATTTGACAGTGGGAGCCCAGCTTCCTGCTGAGGACAATGACAGTGACTTTGTCACCTAGGCCTTAGCAGGGATGGGTCTCAGCCTATTTCTGTGGACCTCCCTTGAGTGTGGAGTGTCGGGGAGTGGGGAGGCCCTCGTGTGTAGCTTCCACTCTGCCCCAGTCTGCTGTGTGACCTTCGGCAAGTTGCCACCCTTCAGGCCTCAGTGTGCAATGCAGGGGTGAATGAGGTGACCCCAGGGCCCTGTGGCTCTGTCACTTAAGGAGAACATAAAAGGAGCAAGTGGAGGCTTCCAGGCGTGGGTCAGAAGCTTCAGGGCGGGGTAGCCAGGCAAACTCCACAGGCCAAGGCAGTGCGGGCCCAGGAACTTCCCCGGCCAGCAGGGCAGGGCAGGGATGCTGCGGGAGGAAAGTCTCATGTCTACGTCCACCTTTCTCCTCCTCCTCTGTGCGGCAAGCAGCTGGGAGGGACCTGCCTGCTGGGCGTCGGCATCTGGGTCATGGTGGACCCCACCGGCTTCCGGGAGATCATAGCTGCCAACCCCCTGCTCGTCACGGGCGTCTACATCCTCCTGGCCATGGGAGGCCTGCTTTTCCTGCTCGGCTTCCTGGGCTGCTGCGGGGCTGTCCGGGAGAACAAGTGTCTGCTGTTGTTTGTGAGTAGCCCAACCCCACCCCAACCATGGGTGCCCTGAACTGGGAGGCAGAGGCCTGGCTTCCACTCAGAACCCCGAGAGTCCTTCCCACACTTCTGGCTATCGACCCCGGAAGAGATCTTCAAGACCAAGGCCTCCTGGGAGTGGGGTTCAGCTCAGTGGCAGAGCCTTTGTCCAGTATGTACAAGGCCCTGAGTTCCTTTCCCAACACTGCCAGAAATAAAAATAAAATTAAGTTGAGCTTTGCAGTCAGCGATCCACAGGCCCTGCGATGGCCCACGACCTGCCCTGGGTCCCCGGGGAGGTGTCACAGGCATAGAGCCGAGACCTGGGTATGTCTGGCTTGGGGACTCACGAAGGTCTAAGCCTCCTGGCCCAGCCACCAGGAATGAGGTGCTCCCCAGCCCTTGCCACTTGCCTGTGGTCTGGCTCTCCAGGACTGCCCTGCACAGGGTTTCTGGTTGGGGGGCTGCTCCAAGATGGGGGCCGGGGCCTCCAGGCCTGCACAGCCAGGCGTCTCCAGGGTGTGATTGTCTGAGAACACTGACTGACATCGACCCGCAGTATCTGTCAGCCCTCAGACACAGAATTCCATGGGGACACAGCTGGGGCGTGGGAGAATCTTTACCCTGAGACCATGCGGAGATCGAGGCGCTCGGTCATTAAATAAGCAGTCCTTGGACTCCCGCTAGGAGGGCGCCGAAGATGCATCGGGCCCCTGGGAGACTGTCCCCTCCTCAGAGGCCCGGCTCTGGGGGGCAGTGGAGCTTGAGGCTGGGGATCTGAGTTACACCCCACATTGCTCCCTGGAGGTGGCCCAGTAGAGCTAAAGCTAAGGAGATCTGGCTCGTCACCTGAGGCTCTGACCTGTCCCGCGGTGACCAGCACCTCACTAGTGACCCTGTGCGGTGTTCGGCATTCCAAAGAAGAAGCAGAATCCGCAGTGAAATGACAGGGGAGCCCGGGAACTTTCCCCTGGAAGGGAACTAAGGGAGATGCGCTAGCGCCCCCTGGCGGCAGCTTCCCTCCGTGTCGGCCCAAGCTCAGGGACGTCTTGGCTGGGGCTTGAAAAAGGATCTGGGATATGGGTCCCAGGACGCAGCAGGCCTCCCCTGCCCGCCCCCACCTCGGCTCCAAGGGCTCATTCATTGTTAATGGGCCATCTCCAAAGCCAAGACAGGAAGCCAGCTCGGTGCTCTTGGCTGGGCCACCTCTGCCTCTCAGCTCTGCCACTAAGTGCACCCTGCAAGCCGGCCAGCTGGCAGGGACGTTGTCTGCATGGTGCTGGAGAGGAGACCAAGGCCCGGGGCAGGACAGCATCTGCACAGTCACCCCTGGGACAGAGTGCAGGCCTGGCTACTGGGCAGGTCCTTTCTCTGGCCCATGTCCTCTTTGTCTCTGTCTCTCTCCCTGTCCCTCTCCTGAGCCGCCCTTACCTCTTTCATCTCTTCCCTGCTCGTCCTCCCAGCTGATAAAGTCCTAGTGCTGGTCCCAGACTGGGGCCTGTGTAGGGCCCCAGCCTCAAATGCACTCAGAGAGTCCAAAGTTAATATGTGCAGCTATTCTGACAGGGCCTGCGTGTGCGTGTGTGTGTCTGTGCCTCTGTGTGCACATATGCTCATGAACATATGGAGTATACCTACATGTGTGTAGTTACAAGCATGCTGGGTGGCATTGCACGCCTTCATGTTTGCAGCATATTACACATAAACATACATTTCGTGGTACACATGTGCACACACATGTACTGTGCATGCATTCAGCACATTCATATACGGGTTTCATGTGCATGTATTTTGTGCATCACATGTGTTGGGTGTGTGGCTGTTGACTGGAGAAGGGTTTTGGGAGAGTGGATGCCAAAGCTCTTAGGATTTTAGGAAGGTTCATGACCTAAAAACCTTGAGGAACCACTTATCTTTCTCAGCCTGGAGCTGGGAGAGGAGGGGAGTGTCACTCCAGGACCTTCTGGGGTCCTCCTGGAGCCTGAAGGCTATTTTACTCCGGAAGGGGGAGAGAGGGCGAGAGGCTTTGGATGCTCTGCATGGTGGCTCAGAAGGTCCAGAAATGGGCTTGCTGAATGCCCCTGCTGTCTGCTCCAGAGACTGAGAGCCCCCAGGAGGAGGGACAGTTGGCGGAAGACCAAGGCACCTGGACCTAGGGACAGTCAGCTGAGGATCATGTCACATGGTCCCCCATTTTTCTGCAAGCACAGTTTCCTGAACCTCACACGCCCCAGGACCAGGGGTGCTTGGTATGGAAATCATACGCCAGCCCCTTTTCTGAGTATTTCAAGCAGTGTTTTTAGTCGATTCATTTAAAGATCTTAATTTTTAAAAAAATATTTTTTCAACAAAGGCATGCCAAGTTGGAAAAGAAAACAGCAAGAAAAAGAAGCATGTATTTAAAAAATAGATGAGCTGAATTGTACACGAAGTATGTAAATTTAGTAAATATTTATTAGGAAAGAGAACTCAAAGCAGCCGCGGCTCACAGATGGGCTACAAAAAGCCCAGGAACGCTCACAGGAGTCGAGACAGCCACTTCCCGCTAAGCAGTGTCCTGCATCAACGTGCGGAATCCCACGAATGAGTCCGTGGGCAAAGGCGTGGTATACGGCCGGGGAGCCCTGAAGCTGGGGAGCCCCCAGATTGCCAGTACCTCGCTCGCCCACTGCCTGCCCCCAAGGGCGTGCTGGACCAATGGGTCTGGACCGAAAGGATGAGAAGGCGGCTGGATCTGAGGTGTGGCTAAAAGCCAGGGCTTTGGAGTCTACGCTGTGAGCCCTGGGTCGGGTTCCTCAACCTCTCGGAACGTCAGGTTCCCCGTGTGAAGTGATAGCCACACCACCTCCGTCCCAGCTGCCGTGAGTTCTGTGTCCACGATCCAGTGGGGAAACACGCCCTGCTTACCTGTGCGCCAGCTCGCATGCACATCGGAAAAGTGGAAAACCAGAGAGCCGGCCTTGACCCAGAACGGACCAAGCAGGCTGTTTGGACATCTAGAGCCCAGGTGCTCAATGGCTTCCAGGATGATGCAGTGCTGAGAAGCTGTGTTCAGGCCTGAGCTGACCGTCACCCACTGTCGGCTGGAAGACACGCTGCTCCTCTCAGCCCCAAGCCCCATCCATAAAATGGGACGGTGCCGACGGGGAGCTGTTTGCCAGGGTACTGGGAGGGGCGAGTGCACCAGATCAGGCCCACACCAGCTGTCCTAAAGACCTCCCTCTCCCCTTTGATCCTTCACCCACAGTTTCTTATTGGAGGCGCATGCGCCCTGGTGATGAGTGTGTCGCATGGTCTTGAGGTTGTGCGCAGGCGCCCTGGGTCGCGCATGCGCCCCAGTGATGAGCATGGGTCAGAGAGCCGTGCAGCCTCCATCATCTCGTCTCTCCAATATCTCGTCTCTGGCCGAGCGGTGAGGATGTAACCCCAGCCAGCTCAAGCACATCGCTGTGGACGAAGACCATTTCCGGGACTACTCTTCGCCAGCCCGAGGACCTGCCAGCTGCCAGGAGGGGGCAGAGAGCGGGAGCGGCTCCTCATAGATACAGGCCAGAGAGATGGAACCGGATGACCATCCATCACCAGCTAAATGGAAGTGCCAGGCCCCCTGCCAGGGGCTGTGTCACGGTCACCGGAAGGAGGGGCCCGGAGAAGAAAAGGGCACAACCTTCCAGGCCATCCAACCCAACAGCCGGCCAGACTCACGGAGTGAGGCCCTTGGGGGTGGGAGAATGGAGTGTGGGTGTCCCGTGGGTGCCCTCGGGGGCAGGCGCCCCAGGCCTAGGAGATGCTGTGCCCTACTCCGCCGGGATTGGCAAACACCAAGGAGTGACAGCAAACACGCTTCCTCCGTCGTCTTTTCCTCCCACCCCAACCTGAGATTACCCTCGCCGTCCCAAAGTGCGGAAACTCTGGCTGAAGTCAGATCTGGGACGATCCAGCCGTGTGCCTAGGATCAGACCGAGCCGGGGCTTCTCTGTGGATTCGGACATTTAACAAACATCCTGTTTGTCAAGTCTAGGAGTTGTTTTGTGTCCCCTCGTCCAGGTTGTGACCCGGATGACGATTCCTAAAGACATGCACGGCTCTTCCATGGCTGAGCAATGTGGGACCTCTACACAGCAGACCCTGTTGAAATGGGACCAAGGGCACCCCAGGGCGGGAATACAGTGACAGCTTCTGACTGGAAGAGACACAGCAGAGGCAGAGACTCTGAAGGCATCATCAGTGGTCCCAAGGTCACTGGGAGGTGGCCATGACAGTGCATGGGGTGAACCAGGTTGTCTGCACTGTCATGAGTCCCTAGCTTGTCACAACCCAACAAGTTGCACCTCCTCTTTTTGACACTGTGACCTCCAAGAAATGAGTGCACACAGCTCCATTGTATGTCAAAGAAACTGAGGCTGGAAGGGGTTTGAATAAAATTGTCCAGGTCACACAAGACTAAGGAAGAGGGACCTGAGGCTTCTGGGCATGAAGCCAGCACACCTGCCTCCATCCAGCCGGGCACATCCGGTGAGGTCCACGACTTCCTGGGTGTGTGGGAAGGGGTGGGAAGGAGGCCCTGAGTGCACCAGGAATCAAGTCTGTTACTGGTGACTTCCTGGCAGAGTGACAGCAGCCTCTGCCAATGCCAGGGAATGAATGCAAAATCACTTCCTCTTCTGCCAGTAGCCCCAGCGCACAGCAGCACCAGCAAGGAGCCTCATGTAGCAAAGCCACAGACACCATGTTGACCTGCCCATCCCTGCACCTGTTACCTACTAGCCTGCGATTGGAGCCACTGTGTCTCCGGGCACTGGGTGTGTGGTGCCTGGGGTTGCAATTCCTGTGCCAGGGACCTGGTAGGGACATCACTGGGTACCATGAGAGGGAACAGGATTTGGGGTCATGAAAGGCTTCTCATTGCAAGTGGCTAACAATAAGATCTGGAAGGTAGAGGTGGCTGGGGTCCTCCTGGGAGAGACCATCCGGCATGTGACAGTCTGACACAGAGCCAGCATGGGAAGTCTGGGGAATACTGTGAATTCAGTGAGGGCAGCAGAGAGGGCTCATGGTTGGATATCAAACTCCGAGGCCCTGGGTTTTCAGGGTTTGATGGTCACATGGCCTGCAGTCTTGCCCCTTTATTTCAGTAGAAGCAGAATAGAGGAAGGGAGAGATGGCCCTGGAATTCTCAAGAGCCCAGAATTCCCACAGCCTGGACAGTCAGTCACTGAAGGGAGCCCAGAGGGGTTTCACTAACTTCCTTTCTAGGGTTGCCAAGTGGGGTTGTTCAGGTTGTGCACTGCATCAGGGGGAGATTCTCTTTAAGTGGGACCATGTTATGGAAGGCTTTCATTTGTTCGCTTCTTTCTTATTTTTGTTCCAACTTTGCTGACTCCAAGGGGGATCACTGGGATGTCTTCTCATGAGAAATGTCTAGTTTACAGCAGGTCAGTCCCGTAGGTGACAGTTGGAAGGGTGCATGGTTGAGCAGCTGCCCGACCCGGCCTCACGGGCTGGCCCCTGTCTTTGCAGTTTTTCCTGTTCATCTTGGTCATCTTCCTGGCGGAGCTCTCAGCAGCCATCCTGGCCTTCATCTTCAGGGAAAACGTACGTCCCAGCCCGGCTTCCCCATCCCTGCTACCCACAAGGGGCTCACTGGTAGACATCCACGGCTGCCATCTCTCCTCAGTGGCCCCACAGAACTGGCAGCCCCATCCAGTGCCCTCCAACCCAGAGAAACCTCCGGGAGCCTCTTCCAGCCAGGACATTTCCCAGAGGCCACCTCACTCTGGAGTGTCCTCTTCCATGCCCTCTGCAGCGATGACCCGGTGACAGTTGTCACACGGTCTGGGGGTGATCAGTGAGGCCCATGCCTAACCCTGGTGTATGCACAGTGTAGGACCAGGGGGCAGAGCCCGTGTGCAGTGACGCCTTGTTTGGTGTCCTCTGGGGGGCAGTGGCAGTAGAGGCTTCTCACTGCCAGGGCACAGATGCAGAGGGGAGAGTGGGGGAGCCCTCGGGAGCCATCTGCTGGTTCTGCCTGGGGGAGCTGCTGGATGGGCGGCACCCCCACCCCTTCTGCCTCTCTCTAAAAAGAACCATGGGGCAGAGCTCAACCCCCAGCATGCCCTGACCCCAGGATTGTAAGGCCTTTGTCCAGGGCGTCCTTGTCGCTTCAAGGGGAGGCCACAGGCCTGGGAGGGGAAGGAAGCCTGGCACCTTCGCTCTTACCTGCACCCCGGAGAATGATGGGGAGTTGAGGGCAGGGCCAGGTGGCACCCCGCTTCAGCCTCAGCACCTCCTCTCTGTCCCTGCAGCTCACCCGTGAGTTCTTCACCAAGGAGCTCACCAAGCACTACCAGGGCAGTAACGAGACAGATGTCTTCTCCGCCACCTGGAACTCTGTCATGATCACAGTGAGTGGCCCCTGAGTTCCTATTCCTGTGCCCAAGGCAGACATCAGCAGTCAATCCCAGCAAAGCCTCTGAGCCCAGATCAGTCGAACTCAGATCCTCATAGCACCCCAGACAGCTGTGGCCAGGCAGTCACAGTCCCGATGCAGGGTGAGACCCATTTGCAGCCGGTCAGTGTCACTGAGGACGAGAAGAATGAACTTGGGACCTGCAGATTCAGAGAGGCTGAGTGGCTGTCCCGCAACCGCATAGGAGGGCAGAAGAGCCAGGCCAGCTGTTCCTCTGAGTCCTCCTCTCAAGCTGCCCCTGCTCGCCCCTGACCTGTTCCCTGCTCTCCTCCAGTTTGGCTGCTGCGGGGTCAACGGGCCTGAAGACTTCAAGCTGGCATCAGTGTTTCGCCTGCTGACCCTGGACAGTGAGGTGGTGCCCGAGGCCTGCTGCCGGAGGGAGCCGCAGGCCCGGGACGGTGTGGTGCTCAACCGCGAGGACTGCCTTCTGGGCCAGAGCCTGTTCATAAACAAGCAGGTGCGGCCCTGCTGGGGCGGGCTGGGGGCTGCTCGGGAGCCCTGGGAAGCGCTGGCCACAAGCTGGGCTCATGCGCCTGAGCAAGGGCAGAGCACGGCGTGGTCCCGGCTGTCCAGGGCACCCGAGCAGGGCTGGGGCCAACTAGTTCAGTGTGTCCCGGGCCTCTGATGGTGCAGGTCAGGGGAGGGGGACAGACACGCTGTCCGGCCACTGTTCACATTCATCATGGTGGGGGGCAGGGTCGCCCAACCAGACCTCTAAGTTCAGGGACGCGTTGACACTGCTGCGCTTGTGAGCCATGGGTTCGTCCCAGCCCTGCAGGAACCCTTGTCCTTCCAGCACATAGAGACACAGGGTCCCTCTCGCCTGCTCTGGTTTTGTGAGTCCCCAGGAGGGACTTTGGTGATTGGCACTCTCAAGGCCTTTTGTGGGTCTCCTGCCACCCACATCCAGTCCCTCCCAGCCGCAGCTTCACCTTGGCCTTTCCCCCAGGGCTGCTACACGGTGATCCTCAACGCCTTCGAAACGTACGTCTACCTGGCAGGAGCGCTGGCCATAGGGGTGCTGGCCATCGAGGTAAGTGCTGCTGCCCAGGTGGGAGCCCTACATGGGGCCTGGAGTGGACCCCACAATCTGTACCCCCAGCTGGCATTGCCTGCTGTCTCACTTCCTTAACCCAGGACAGAGGGGTCCCAGCTGTGGGCACGGGTGTCAGTCCCACTGCACCCGCCTGCCACCCGAGTCACCCTGGGACTCTGCAAACAGCACAGCCAAGTGTGGGGGCCACTTAGTCTTACAGTGGTGGGGACAGGCAGGCCCTCAGTCACCCCTCCCCTTCACCTTCCCCACTCCCAAGGTGCAAGGAGCACCTTTGGTGGGCTCAAGGCAGCACCTTCTAAGGTGGTGTTCAGGGCCTCACATTGGTGGTCTCGGCCCCTCTACCCAAGAGCCTGTGAGCTGGCTCAAAAGGTAAGCCGCAGCCAGGTGTGGGGGTGAGCGCCTGTAATCCCAGAACCCTGGGAGCCCAAGGCAGGCAGATTGCAACTTCGAGTCCAAATTGGACAACACAGAGAAATCCTATCTCAAAATAAGAAAATATTAAGAGGGCTGGGGTTCAGTCCCCAGAAATGCTAAAGAAAAAGAAAACAAGCTTGAACTGCTGCAGATCTAACAGCTGCCAGGAGGTGGCGCTCGGCCAGAGGCACTACCTCGCCACGCATGCACCCCGTGATCTATCCAGTTGCTCCACAAGGGGACCTGAGCCTTGCTCACCCCAACCCTGCCCGTCTCCAGGAGGGGCCACAATGAAGAGGAAGCAGACAGGCTGCATGGGGACAGGGAGATTGTGTGTGTGCGCGCAGTGCCAGCAGTCTCCCCCGTCCCAATCCCCCTCCCAGCGCCCCCAGGCTAGGGTCAGCGCCTTTGCTGCAACCCTGGCCCTCCGAGCTGTGGGCAGCCCATCTGGCCAGCAGGCTGTGGCTTAGTGTTCTCCCTGCCCTGCTCCAAGAAGCACTAGAAGGGGACACTCGAGTCAGGCTCTCTGCCACCCTCCGTCCCCATCCTGTGCTTTGCTCCTGACACTGCAGGGTTACCCCATAGGTAATTGACTGATATATAAACCTCAGCCCCTCCTGGGAGCTGGAACGTGGGGTACAGGGATCCAGAGATGGGCTCTGGGGCCAGCATACCTGCCGAGAGGGTTCAAACCCAAGCTCCCCGACTTGTAGCTGTGTGGCCTTTGCCAGGGATGCCCCCTCCCTGTGCATTGCTCCCTGGTCTGCCGAAGGCTTTCTGGGAAAGCACTTGGAAGTGGGCCTGGCACCTGATGAGCTCCTAGTACACACTGAGATCGAGAAAGGAGAGCTTAGCCAAGTCACCACTGGTAAAGGGAACCACTGGATTCAAACCCATGACTGCTACCAAAGTCTCCCTTCCTGAGAGAGTAGCCAGAAACAGAAATGGTTACGAGAGTGTGACCCGGAAGCAGATGGCCCCTTTCCCTTTGAGGCACCTAGGCTGACAAGTCACTCTGCTTTCTTGCAGCTTTTTGTCATGATCTTCGCCATGTGCCTCTTCCGGGGCATCCAGTAGGTGGCGGGGTCTGATGATGCCCCGCCCACCACTGACCAGTGCCCACGGCATCCTCTCCTCCCCCACCTCACCTCCCAGCCAGGGGGAGGAGAGGAGGCTCAGCAGGTGGCCAGGCTCCTGGCCGGGGGTGCAGAGCTGTGTTTTGTTGTTTTGGTTTTTTTTTTTTTAAACGAAATGAAGACAGACACATGAACATGGCCTCACTGGGACTCCAGCGCAGGGGCCATGGATTCATGACAGGACTCCAGCACTGACCCACCAGGCTCTCTGCCCCCCCCGGAAACTAAATGAACACCATGCCAAGGCCCTGCTGCCAAGGAAGCAAGGATTTGGGCCACAGCTGCCAAAACCCAAGGAAACTTGTCGGCCGGCCGAATCTTTGAGGGCTCAGGACCCACTGCTGTGCCTGGTCTCCTGGAAGATGAGGCATATGCCCCCACTTCCGGCCGGGCCGAGGGGGCTGTGTGCAGACCCTGGATCCATAGTGGCTCTGCTGGCCAAGTCATGCTTTCTCGTCTGCTGGACCAAACGCAGTCCAGAGAGTGGCAGGGGGCTGTCCGAAGACACACAGCATGGGCCCAACAGCTGTGAACAGAGCCAGGGCTGGCTCCAGGCTACTGTACTGCCACCCAGGACTCCAGCAGAGCTGCCACACACCCCTTTGGCTTCAGCGTCCTGGGTCCCCAGAAGAGAGGCCAGCTAGCCAGAAACCAGCTCCTCCCAGCTCTCCAGCCAAGGGAAGTCTGTACTGTGTCCCCAGTGCCCACCTCCACCTCCTGTCTCCAGCTCCTCACACACACATCACATCCCCTGCACACTCTGTCCCACGGGCCACCCACCCTATCTCTCTCCAACTCCCTCAGTGGAAGAAGCCCCTGGGATCATCCAGTTATCCTCCACCTTCTCACATACCTCCTGAGACGGAGAGCTCACTACCTCCCGAGGCAACCTCCTGCCTCTGGACTGCTCTGACCTCGTCATCACCAGACAGAAGAGGCTTTTGTTTGTGGTTGTGCCCACACCCCTCCATTTGGTCCCTCCCTCTGGGAGCTGTAGTGCCTGGAGTTCAGGCTGGAGTGTTCAGGATGACAAACTCCAGCCTCCTTATCTGTGGGCCGAAGAACCACAGGGCTTCTCAACCATTTTGGCTGTGACACAGTTTCCCACCCTTTTGCTATCCACTGGACATTTCAGTACTGCCTCCGGGCTCAGGCAGAAATTTTTCCATAGGCTCACAGGTTCCTGTCCCCACAACACACCCAAGGATGAACATCATACGTTAGACCAGTGTTGCAAGATGCCTCCACTCCAACAATATGGTGGCTGCCAGAAGTTATGCTAATGCTGAGCTTTCATCTGTGCCTAGTTGGGAAGGGCAATGGAATTCCTACTGGTGAAGTCTAATGGGCGCCTTGAGTTTGATATATGATGTCTGATAGGCACCTTGAATATGATTAGTAATGTCTGGCAGCTACCTTGAGTTTGACTAGTGATGTCTGCCTCGGGCATAGGCATGGGAGGAACAGATCTGAACCCGCTGTGCTCTTCCCTGTCCCTCTTCAGATCCTAGAGGACTCCTTCTATGTCTCCCTCTTGTCCAGCCTTCTGTCATTCTTTCCAGCCACCTGGAGGAGAGCTGCAGTCCACAGCCCAGTGCTCCCTGCCTCTATAATTTGTCTTGTCAGATGTAGCCAGTTCTGTGTCCATTACCTAGATTTGGCCTTCCCACCTCATCCCTGAGCACCATCTTCTCGAGTTGTCCTTTTAACAGCCCACCCAGGCAACCACCATTGAAGATGCCATGTGGACACTGAAACCCAGGATCCAGGGCACCTGGCTGTGGTCTCCAGCCCTCTCTGGACACACTTGAGCCCCAGCTTCCAGGAAAGGCAGATGGCTAGGCAGGACTGAGCCCAGCTGTACTCGGGCACCCGAGAGAATCTGGGAGAATGGGGGGTAGGGACCCCTCTGGCCAAGGTGAACTTCTCATTCTTAAGGGCTCTCCAGAAAGGTCACAGGGAGGCCAGTGACCCCAACCCGGCCTCAGAGCTGGTCCCTCATGGCCAGGAGGCAGGTGTGTCTGCTATGGAGAGCCAGGCCTCCAGAAGCAAAGGGTGCATCATATAGGGCGGCAGCAGGAGACTTGCACCCTCCAGGGGCCCCGACCAGTTGAGGCCCCTGGCACTCGTCCTGCCTTCCCATGGGTCGGTCACACATTGAAAGTCTATTTTGAAATCTGTAAATGTCCCCTGCAGTAGACAGCAGAGTTAATTTATCATGGTTTTCTCCCGCGAGCCCCCCTTTTTATATTCTATATCAAGAGCAGTTTTGTAATATAAAACAGGACACCCACACAGATGGTTTTGCACTGGTTTTTGTGACTGTTTCTTACAAAAAGGAGGAATGAAGAATAAATAGTGACCGTGAATAAAGATGGTCCTGACTCAGGAGTGGGGTGGCCCGAGCAGAGGGGGAAGCTGGACAGGGTATTGGCTCCACGGGGAGGGGCCAGCCAGAGACCCCCAAGCGCAGCAGCAGATTGGGGCCTGCCTGGCTTTTCTCACTAGGCACGGGGTGTCCCATCCTCTCTGTCACTGCCTTCTTCCCAGTCCTCCATGCCAATGTCCACACCCCCACACATCTGCCAGGCCTTGTGTGATTCCCAGCTGTGCAGCAGGGTCCTGTCCTGGCCCCAGATGCTGAGGCTGTAACACCCTTCTGCTCAGAGCAGGTGTGGGACTGGCCAGCTCAGCCATGCCGACACCCCATGTGTGGCTGCTACCCTGGGAACCTACCAGCATGCCCAGCGAGAGCCACATGGCACCCCACTGAGGAGCGGCAGGGCCTCAAGGCCTGGTGCCGTGGGGGCTGGGGCTTTGGCTGCCCCAGAGGCAGTGGCTCCTGCCCGCCCCAGGCTCTGCAGAGGGGGACGGGGCTCCAGGGGCAAGCGTCAAATGTGGGACACCAGGCAGGAGGGCTCGCATGCAGCTTGGCTGCTGTTGGCTTCTCAGCCATGTGATCATGGCAGAGCCACCCCTCTGCTGGACGCACAAGTCACTGGCTGCAGATGGGGACAGTCCCTTTCTGGTCCCCATGTCTTGGGTAAGGGGTGATGACAGAAGTGACTGGCTGAATTGCCTCTATTTATCCTCCTGTACAATTTGAGGGCACAAATCTCTGCCCATCTAGGCCTTGGGGACGGCTCCCAGGCAGGGGCAGGCCGCCGGGTAGGAACCAGGCCTTGGAGGATGTGCCAAGGGACACAACTGCTTTTCTTCCTCATCTCCAAATTCACCTGTCAGCCCCCACACCCACTACCCCCACTGCTGTGTGTCCCTTTGCAGAGTCGGAGGCTGGGAACCTCTGCACCCAGACCGGTAGGGGAAGGACCTGGGTGGGGTAGGAAGTCTGTGCAGGTGGCCCCACCTCCAGAAAGGTCCAGGAAGGCGCCAACTGCAACCTCTGCCAGGCAAGGGAAGGGCAGGTGCCCGTGTGCTTTGTGTGCAGTGACCTCACACATGGGGAGGCCCTGGCTGTGGGGGAGGGGTTCGGGGGGATCACAGCCATGTTCTCAGGTTGTGCTGGGTGGGGGTCTGCAGGCTCTCACAAGAGAGGAGGGCTTCCTAGTGGAAGAGGGGAGCCCCTTGGCTCAGCCCACATCCCTGGACTCCACTTCCCAATCAGGACCTGTGCAGGAGGCCAGGAGCCCAGAAAAGGGGGTGTTCTCTGTGGAATAAAGAAGAAGAATACAGGTGCCCGTCTCCCCAACTGACCTGTCAGCGTAGGAGCCCAGGAGGCACAGCCCTAGGGAGGGGGTCAGGAAGGAAGGGGTTCACCCCGCCTGCCTGAGGGCACTGTGGCAGGATGGGGGAGAGGGCCGCCTTCCAGGAGTCGAGGGGGAACGTGCCCCAGAGCTGGCCCGGCCCAGCATGCTCAGGTCCCAGACCTGCTACACTTTCTTGGGCTTCCGGCCAACTTGGTAATAGTAGTAAATGCTGATGACCACGAACAGGAGGCGGCTGGCCAGGAGCACCAGGGTCCCCAGTGACACCAGACCTGTCTCAGCCAGTGTGGCAGTGACCACTGTGGAAGAAAGGTCAGGAAAGAGACTAGTCAGAGGAGAGGCCATGGCCACCACTCGGTGCCTTCCTCTCCGCTCTGCATCTGGGGTCCGCCCCCTGCTCCCATCAGCCCCCCTTAGGGCCCACCCAGGACTCACCCACAAACTGAACCCCAAAGTAGCAGGCTTCTGTGAGCAGCGTCCACCGGATGATGACCTTCTCGGCCGTGTAGAGCGCATTCCACATGATCAGGGAGATGCCTGCACGGGGACAGAACACAAGGGACAGCATGGTGCCTCTGACCTGTGCCGTCTCACCCCGACCCACACTCCTGAGGTCACTGCCTATCGTCCTCTGCCTGTCCCCGCCAGGTCCTACCCCGCCCGCAGCTTCCACCTGCTCGTGTCACTTGCGGTACACTGAGCTGGTCCCTTCCCTCCCCGGGACCCGTCTCTCCATCAGCAGAAACAGGAAGCCAAGCTCTGGTTCTGCCCTTGCAGGGGGGACCTGGGACCCCAACACGCAAGCCACTGGGACACAGCCCTGTCAGCCTGGAGGCGGAAAGCTGCCACCCACGGCCCCCAGGTGGCAGCAGAGTCACCTGGGAGGCAGGGGCCTGGTGGGAAAGGGGCTCAGGCAAAGATTCTGTGTGTCTCCTGGCCCCCTTGCCCCCTGCTCCCCCAGCAGCACTTACTGAGAAGGGCACCCCCGTAGAGGCGGATGGGGGTCTTGCTGGTGACCTCAGCTCCATCGAAGACAGCATCGTAGAGCTGATCAGGAAAGGCCAGGGCCTGCGCATAGCAGCAGGGGCTGGAGGCCGGGCTCAGTGGGCAGGACGCCTCCTTCCACCCCTCCAGGGCCAGAGTCAGGGACCTTGGGGCAGCCCAGGGCAGGACCCAGCTGCCCACGCCTCTCTTCCCCAGGACAGGAGACTCTGGTTCCCAGGGCCAGGAGTCAGGCCATACAAGGGACGGTGGGATGGCCCTGGACGGGCTCCCAGAACCACAGCCAGAGCCCAAGCTGGTTCTGAGAGCTGTCCCCACCCAGGGCTGGGTCCCAGGGGCCAGGGGCGGAGTCTCACCATGAGGGCAATGCCAGAGAACAGCACAGCAGACACAAACTGCCAGACCCTGCAGAGGGGGCAGAGGGAAGTCACTGCAGGTTCTGCCAGCCCCAGCCTGGGGACAGGCCCTCCCGTGCCCACAACAACTGGTTAGGGGAGATGATGACACCATCGAATCCAAAATGGGGTTCCTTGTTCCCCCACCAGCCCAGACCCACCTCCCCCCAAAAGCAAGACCCAGCTCAGGGCTCACCTGAGCCCCAGGGGCTCTCTGACGGTAAACTTGATCTCATTGCCGAGGACCTGGCTGATCTGTGGAGATGGGGAGAGTCAGAGGCCGCCAGGATGATGGTGGCTCCCAGGGCGCCCAGGGACCCATCCAGGGTCCTCTGATGGCAGAAAAGGCTGCCCTCTCCTCCCTTCTCTGGGCACCAGAGTTTAAAAGCTGAAAATAAGGTATCTAAGGACCAGAGCTGTGTCTGCCAGGTGTGGGCCATGAAGCCTGGCCCTGCCACCTGCCCGTGCAGCCTCGAGAACATGATTTAGCCTAGCGTCTCTGAGTCTCGGCGTCCTCATCTGTAAAATGGGTGTGTCACTGCAGCTAAACTCCCAGGCAGCAGGGTTAATGCTCCTACAGCGGCTGCACAAATGCGCCCCAGTCCGCCGGCAGCCGCAGCACGCACCTTGGAGCGGTGCACCTCGCCGTCGTCGTCCTCCCCGCCCACGCCCAGGATCTTCCGGGTCTTCAGGCGGCTCACGAGGTCCGTCTGGCTGTGCTTCTTCATGAGAGGTGGGGGCTGCTTGGCCGCCATTGTGTCCTAGAGCCTGGGCAGAGGGGCTGGAACACAGGGCCGGGCCCGGAGGTCACCAGGCTGGACGGCCTCACAGTCAGGCCTGGAGGAGCCCACCCTAAAGGGATCTGGGAGCCGCCCATATAATCCCCGCTGCCTGCCAGGCAAGATCACTTCCCCCAAACCCTCAGGACCCCAGAAAGGGGCGGGGGGTGGGCGGCCTGGGCTCATTAAGCTGGAGAAGGAGCAGAGGCAGAGTCTACAGCCCTGCCCAGGCCTCGCCCCATCTCTGCAGCAGCAGCTGGGCACTGCCCCAAGCCCTCACCTGCCCACGTCTTCCACCACCCCCGGACGCCAGGTCGGGTTCCAGGCACCTACCGTGAGCCAGGTATGTGCAGGGCTCCGGCAGGGAGCAGAGCAGAGCGGGTCCTGGCCTGCGGCTGCTCGGTCTAGGGAGAGACAGGCGTGGTGTGGTCGTGGCTCCCCCATGACAGCACCCTGCGGGGCAGGTGGCTCCGGGCATTCCACAGACCAGGCCAGGGACAGAGACAGCTGCTGGGGGACCTCAGCGCCCATCCCGCAGGCTAGGAAGCTGCCTGTCCCTCCTCCAGAGGACCTGCCACCCAGTGCCGTGTCCAGGCCATCCCAGCCTCTGGGCCCCATAAGGAGGCCAGCTGCTGAGGCCAGCTGCTAAAGATCACCACAGCACCTCCAACTTCACAAGCCTACCAGTTCAGCACTTTATTTTTTATTTTTGATATCTGAGGAGGCCAGAGACCCGGGCCCTTCCCACTGAGCTACATGCCCTGCCCTGCCTTGCCCATGTGGCACGGACAGGGTCTCACTACATTACATTACTAAGTTGTCCTGGCTGGGCTTGTCATCCTCCTGCCTCAGCCTCCCCGAGTCCTAGGATTACAGACATGCCTCAAGCCTGCCACTTTTTCAAAAAAACAGCCAAACAACAGTCAGAACAAAGAATCCCACGTGGGAGCCCATGGACACAGCGGCTTTGAACACAATACACAGAGACAGATGAACCAGCTCTAGTGTGGCAAGGACAGCAGATGTGGACCCCGGGTGTGGGGGGGGCGTGCGCGTGGTCCCCCTCCTCTACACGACCAGTGCTGTTCTTGTCCCCTCCCCACTACACCCCAAACACGCACACAGAGGCACTCAGTCACCACCGTGGGGAGCCAGGGTCAACCGCAGGCCCAAGTCACTGTCTGCAGACCTTGGCCACCTGCTCCCACCCTCCCCGATCCAAGCAAAGGCTGTGATTAGCCAGCATCTCTGACCCCTCTGATGGCAGGCCAGGCTGCCCACATGGCCACCACGCCACAGCCCCCTGGCCCGCCCGTTAGATGTCACCTGATTCTCACCCTTCCTCTTCCTGCCTCTCTCTGGCCTCCCCTGCTTGTCTTTTTGAGACAGGGTTTCACTACACAGTAGTTAGGGTTGGCCTTGAACTCACAGTGATCCTCCTGCCTCAGGTTCCCGAGTGCTGGGATCACAGACAGGTGCAACCACACCCGGCCTCTGGCCTTTTTCTTAACACATATAGCCAAAGTGACGTGTGTGTGTGTGTGTGTGTGTGTACGTGCGTGCTGTGCAGCTCTGTACATTTTAGCACACAGGTGATTTGCACGGCCAGTGCCTCCAACTGAGACAGGACAGTTATCTCCCAAACGCCCTCGCTGTGTCCCATCCTCGCCTCCCAGGCCCCTGCTGGCGGCCTGGGTCTGTTCTGTGTCTCTACAGCTTTGTTTTGGTTTCCTCAAACATGTTACATAAACGGAATCCTAAAGTATACAACCTTCGCCACTGCTTCTGCCCCTCACCACCATGCCTGTGAGCCCCCTCCAGGCTGTGGGGCTCAGCGGCCCGCTCCTATTTGTTTATTTATGTCCTGTACTGGGGACTGAACCCAGGGCCTTCACGATGAACTCAAACCTGTGATCCTCCTGCCTCAGCCTCCCAGAGTGCTGAGACTACAGGGGTGTCCCATCATGCCCACATGGTCAGTCTTTACGTTCATGTTTTTTTTTTTTTTCCACCAGGTAATTGAGAGCTTAGTCCTGACCTCTTCTTTCTTAGCCTTGGGCCTGTAGGCAAAGGACTTAAATGCTCCTTGCCTCAGTTTCCCCACATGCAGTTGCCAAAAGTGGTCCTACCTCAAGGGGACGTTGTGACAGTAAGAGAGCCCTGGCCTCAGTTTCCCCCTAATAAAAGGGGCAATGAGAAGGCACACCCGGCAGGAGTGCCAGCGGCCAGGGACTGGAGACGTCCGAGTATATTCACCCAGGCCACTGCTGTGCCCGGGGGGGGGCTGGCCTCTGCTTCCCCACCTGCCCGGTGGTGCCCAGCTGTGCTCATCGGCAGGTGCTGTGGTGACACAGATGCAAGCAGTGCCCTCCCTGTGCCGTACCAAGGCCGGTGCAGGCCTGAGGGAGGGTGGACGCCACAGGAAACTGAGGCCGGCAGGGCTAGGTCTGCCCAGCCATCCAGAGGCTGGTGGTGCAGGGCAGACAGAGCGGGCCCCTCTCTGACCAATTCCCACTCCCCCGGGCTCATGTGGCTTTGGTCAAACTGTCTCACCTTCAGCCTTGAGAGCAGCCTGGGCAACACTAGGCCCCCCAGTACCCCCGGCACAGGCCAGGGTTCCTGTCCCAGTAGAATTGTGTCGGGGAGGAGCTTCGAGCCTTCTGCAGGCCAGGCTGGGACACCTGGAGGCTGGGACACCCCAAGGGCCGATACCCCTTCAACCATGGATTGGAGGGACACCTCCATGTAGCTCCCAGAGACATCAAGGCACAGGCAGGCGGGTGATGCAGGCTAGGAAGCAAGGGGCCCTCAGGAAGCAGCTGAGGATGCCCAAGTGGGGCAGAGCTCTCCTTCTCAATGACTGGGAAAACCAGGGTTCAGAGACAACTCTTTCCCTTCATTGCTCTGTGACCGTAGGAAAGTCACTTAACCTCTCTGAGCGTACACAGCTCATCTGTGAAACCAACTGCTGCTTCTGCTCAGCTCATGGCTTTGTAGTGTGGAAGAACAAGAGCGGCACTGAGGGGCTGGCTCCCAGGATGAGCCCTTGGAAGCACGGCGATCAGTAATATAAATGGGTGCCTGCCAAGCTGGGCTCCAGGCAGCAGTGGAGCCAGACAGGCCGGGCATCTCTCCTCTGCAGATCCTGAGGATTTCCCTCAGCTCCCCATCCTTCCCGGAAGCCTGGTTTCCATAGAAACGGAGGGCCTGCAGCTCTGTCCTGTCTTGGAGACTGTGCCCAGAAGGACCAGCTTAGGAACCACGGCCGGGAGGGAGGGAGGGAGGCAGGAAGGGACCAGAACCTCCGCCAGCTGCTTGCGTCCCGGTGACTCAAGGGAAGTCACTGTGCTGAGCACCTCCACCGGGGAGCCACTTCCGTTGCAAAGCAGGCTGGTTACAGAGCCAGCGACTGCCCTTCCCCAGCTGGTGGCAACACCTGTCTCCAGCTCCCTGTCACATCTGTCTCAGGACTGGAGCAGGGAGCCTGCACAGAGGTCCCTGTGTGACCTCCATGTTTTACCCCCATTTTACAGATGAGAAAACTAAGGCATGACACTCAAGTGTCTCTTGGGCTATGTGGTAGAGCCCACAAGCCAAGCCAACTGAGAAAAGTGCTTTAAGTGGATGTGTTGAGAGGAGCTGGTGTGTGTGTGTGTGTGTGTGTGTGTGTGCGCATGCATGTGTGTGACAGCAGGGGGAGGAGAGGAGGGGACACTTTGGTGAACCTGATCACTCCCATCTCACCCCCTGCTGCCCCAGAGAGCCCAGCCCAGGGTCCAGCCCACCCTGGGTCGAGGCCCTGGCAACGGCTATAGCTCCAACCCATTGTTCTGCTATCACACAGGCACAGAATAGCTGGAAGTGGGGCCTGGGTCCAGGCAGTGCCCAGTGGAGGGGGCAGCAGCAAGGGAGGGGCCTCAGGAAGGCCTGGCCAAAGTGCTCCGGAGGCAGGCGCTGCCGCAGCTCCCCCAGCACAAAGGCCCCCAGCACACTAGACCTCCTTCTGAACCCCAGCGGGGCCCTCCTCCATGGCTCAGCAGAGGGGACCCATTTCCAAGACTGTCATGTTGGGGGGCCCTGAATCCGTGCCCAGCTCACACACCATCCTAGCCAGGGCCCTGGGGCCCAACCTGCTGCCCAGAGGACTCCTGAATCCCCAGGCCAGAGAAGGGCCATTAGAAGCCACAGGACACAGGGCGCGGCGCCTTCAACTGCAGTAGCAGATGCCGCACAGCTGCCTCCGAGGCACAGGCCTGGGAGTTTCCCGGGCCAGGCGGGGGAGGGGGGCCCTGTGATGGCCAGCAGCTGACGGCCTGTCCCCAGAGAGCAGTGCACTGTGAAAGCCTGCTGCCTGTCACTCGAGTCTCTCCAAGAGCCAGAGCTGGCAGAGGGTGCAGCTGCCCCACGGGCCCCTCTCCTGGCTCCGCGTCACCACGGAGTCTGTCTCCGTGTCACCGCAGACAGCTAGGGTGACAGAGGACAGCCGGCAGGGGAAGACAGGACACGGTCGGAGCCCATCCTTGGCAGGATGCTCCAAAGTCTAGAAAAGGCTTCCAACCCTGCAGATCCTGAGGACTTCCAGGAACCTCCAGGAACTTGAGCATGGGAGCTGGGAACGCAAGGTTTGTCCTGACCTGGGGAAGCTCAGGACATCGGGGCCATCCCCAGACTCTGGGGCACTGGCCAGGTGGGGCCTGTCTTCAGGACTCTGTTTCCTTGTCTAAAAATGTAGGGCGTGGTCTCCAAAGTCCCACAAGGGGCTCCAACCTCCGAACCCCTCTCATGGTCAGAGCGGTCCCTGCCTCCAGCTGCCCTGTCCCCCCACCCACCACCTCCCCTGACAGTTCTGTCCTTCTGTTCTCTTCCTTATGATTTCCGGGAAACCAGAGAAAAGCCCAGCTTTCTTCACAAGTGTCTCCAAAGCTTCAGGGACCAAAACAAGCACCTCCCGATGGAGCAGAGGGGGCGCCAGAGATCAGGGCCGGGACTCAGGGGCCTTCCACCCAGCGTCCCCCAGTGGACTCTTCGGTCCCGACTGTCACTCAGAAGTGGCAGGCACAAGAAGAATTTCTGTCCTTTTCAGCCCCAGCCTCCCTCAGCCTGGTGACCTCGTGAGGGCCCTCAAGGGGCACCTGTGCTGTCATCGTCATGGAGACATTCTGGGTCCTGGATCCTGCAGGGCCAGGGCTCCTGGGAGACGCACCAGCAGCAGCAGCAGCACCTCCCCTCCCCTGTACCCCGCCTCTGTGCTGGCAGGGAGAGGGGACAGGGAATTTCCTTGCAGGGACATTCTGCCAAGTTGTACCAATTTTTTCAGAAATGAGTGATGAGCTATCTCCTGGCCACGCCCAGAAGCAAGCGGAAGTGTCACAGTGCTTTTAGGCTCTGGCTCAGTGGCCCACATTTAGGCTCTGGCTCAGTGGCCAGGCGACCACTCAAAGGCCTGTGCTTCCATCTTGGCTCTGCCCTCTACCCGCTGTCCGGCTTTGGGCCTGGGCTGCTGTCTCTCTGGGGCTCAGTTTATACATCTGTGAAATGGTGTGATAATGACACATGCCTCACAGATGCGCAGACACACAAAGAGCAGCTGGTGCACTACAGGTCCTGTAATAAACGCTCACCCATGATGCTGCTATGGTTATTTTCAAAGCAAGAAACTCAACTCCTTCACCTCAGTTTCCCCTAGACCAAACCACCTGCTGGGAATTCTGTGCCCCGCACAGGAAGGAGGCCGGCTGAAACAGGGGCCACTCTGCACAGGAGGAAAAGGCTGCCCACTTGAGTACACGGTTGTGGGTGGGCAGGGAGGTCACGGCTGGGGGACCAGGAACCCTCAGGACACTAAGCCTGCCTCATTGCCCTGCAAGGCCAGAGTAGATGTGAGCAGGTGAGATCCCGGCTCTAAGGGAAGCACGGTGGGCTAGGAGTTAGAACCAGGCTCCTGGGCTGTGTGCTGAATGATGATGTCCTCTGCGTGTCGCTTCCCTGTCTCTGAGACAGGAGATCTGCCTTCTTTCCCAGCCAGCTTCATGTCCCCTCCTTTCTCTTCCTCATTCTCCATCTTACAGCCCCAGGTCCTTTGCACAAGCCACTCTCTGCAGCACCTCTCTTTCCCACAGGTGCATACACAGCTCACCCCTCAAAGCTTTCGCTCAAAGTCACCTCCTCCCCCGATGCCTTCCTGACCACCTGACTTAATGTGGCAGCCCACTCTCTGGCCTCAACACCCCGGCACTCCTCAGTACACTACATAATTTGCTTATGATTACTAACTTGCCTCTTCCTCAGTCCCCTGAAGTATCCACTCCCTGGGGACACGAGACTTTTATTTGGCCCCCAGGTGTCTCCCTAAGTGTCTAGCAGGGAGCTGGCACATTGCCCAAAAAGTTACTTTTGGGGTGGTGCTCCCCAGGATTTTGCTCCATTAGCAAAAATAAAGCACAGTCCAAAACTACCGAGTGGATATGAGGAGAGGTTAACCCCACCCCTCCCGTCCTCACGGGGGCGCCCTTTGTCGCAGAGGGGGCCCAGTGAAAATCCAGAGTGGGAGAGACTTGGGGGTGCTGGGGTCTCCAGTATCTGTAGGCCAACAGGAGGGGACAGCCACCTTTACAAATCTGTGGGCAGAAGAGCAGCCGGTGTTTATGTGACGCTTTGGCCAAGGGGGTTCCTGGGGGTCAGATGGTCCATTTCACGGAAGACAACAGAGACTGCAAGGTGCTTTCTAACAACCCCACGCTCTCCTCTCCTTCCCTGGGTTAAGTCTGGGGCTGCAGTTAAGGGACAACCAGTGAGCCCTTCTGGGTTTCCACTAAAGCGACCGGGTATCCCTGGGATCAGCGGGCTGCTGGTCGCCGCCCCCTCTCCGCAGGCCCTCAGACGTGGCCGTCCCCAGGCTACACAGCTTCAGCGTGCATCCTGCTGCCCCGGGACTTCTCCCCGCAGGCCAGAAAGTTTGTGTAAAAGAAACCAAACAGGAAGCGCGGGCGGTGGGGCTGGGGCGGCCTTGGCCATCTGCGCAGGGCTCGGGGCAGCGCTGGGTTCTCGGCCTCCCCGCCTCCTGGCCCCGCCTGCGGGCGCTCGGGGGAAAAAATCAGCGGCCGCAGGACTTTGAGGAGGCGGCGGTGGGCGCGAGGAGGGGAACCCCAGCGAGGCCGGCCTGGGGGCGCGCCGAGGTGGGTGCAGCGATGGAGCGCGCCCCCTGGGCGGGAGCCAGTATTTCGGCGGGCCGTACGCGGCCCCAGGCCACCCTGCGCCATGCCCACGGCCCCACGCGGCTGCCTGCCCGCGGATCGCGCGGCTCGCGGAGCGCGGGGGGCGTCGCGCTGCACCTGCGCCCCCCTGCCCACCCCGGCTGGGGTTCCGGCGCGACCCGCCCTCCTCTACATGCCTCCAGCCCGGGCACCGGGGGCTCGCCGGCCCGCCCCTCCCCCTCCGGGTTCCCCTTACCTCCCGGCTCCAGACACTCCCCCACCTTCGGGTCCCCGGGCGCCTCCAGTGCGGCCCCCGCTCGGACACAGGCAGGTCACGCCAGACTTGGGGGCGGTGGAAACCCCTGCGGGGGCGCAGCCCGGGGAACTCGCAAGTTTGCACTGCGCGCTCCTCCGACCGCGAAACAAAGGCTGGAGGGGGTGCGGCGGGAGAGGGGGAGGGGACAGCAAACCGAGCGCCGGCGGCGACCGAGACCCCGGCCAGCCAGGGCAAACTACTTGAGGCTGTGTTTCTCTCGAGCTCCGAAGCTGAATACCGGAGCTCGATGGCCAATAAACAGTCCCCGAGGAAGGAGGCGGCGGAGGCAGAGCCGGGAGAGGGGAAACCGAGTCAGGGGAAGCGAGGCGCGCAGAGACAATGCAAGGGGCAGAGAACGGTGTCCCGCGAGGCCAGGAGCTCCAGCAGGTGCCTCGCTGTCCGGGCGCTCGGTGCGAACGCGGGGACGCCGTTGTCCCCGCGGCTGGAGGAGCCCGCGGGCTGCGTGCGCAGCGCAGGCAGCGCCGGTAGCGGCGGGGAAGTGCGAGGCGCGCGGGAGCGCCAGGGCGCGGACTTACGTTCCCGGCGCGGGTCCCCGGGCTGGCGGGCCGTGCGGGCGGACCTGCGGCCCTCGGCGCCTCACATCGCGCCGCCGCGCCAGGCGGCCAGGGCAGGGCAGGGCAGGGCGGGTTGGAGTCCTGCGCCGCCGGGCTCGCCCGACTCTGGCGGCCTCGCAGGTCCCTCCTCTAGTTCCGCGCGCAAGCCAATGGCGCACCGTCCCCTCCCACGCGCCGGGCTGCCTCGCCCCCGAGGTGGCCGCCGGGGCGGGCGCAGAGGGGCTGGGGAACTGCGCGCCCAGAGCTCCGGCCAAGGCGTTCCCGGAGCCGCCTGCGGGGGGCGCAGCCACGCGCTCCGGAAGCGCTTGGGACCCGAACCAGGGACAGAACTGGACACTAGGGCATGGCCACGTAGCCCTCCCCTGGAGCACTTGTTTGGCAAGTTCTTCAGACAGCACCGTTCTCCTGGAGCTATTAGCAACCCATGAACTGGCAAGTGGGCCCATCTTGAATAACCTGGCCTAGGCCACCTCTACGGTGGAAGGGACCGCTTCGGTGGGTAGCCAAGTGCGAAATAACATGGTCACTATTTACTGAGCCCCTACTTGGTGCAGGGATGCCGAGAGCTTAAGGAGGAACCAGTGCGAACTCATCTGGGGATGCAGCAACCTAGGAACTCAGTAGGATCTGTCCCATTTTACAGATTAGCGTTCATTACCGTTTGATTTCATTTACTTCAGGCTTCAGCCCACTGCCCACTGCGTGACTCCCAAATTACAGGAGCATGCCACCACCACCAAAAACTTCCTCTGTCCCCACCCTAAAATCCAACCACAGCGATGATGTTGACTTTGCTGTAATAATTTGTACCCTCCCTGGACAGATTGTATCTGGCACACCTGTGACTCCGTTTATCTGTGCACCTGCTGTGGGGGTGAGGCTGGATTTGGAGGCTCAGAAGCTCCCCCTCCCCCAAGCTTTCAGCCTAAAAGGACCAGGTTCCTAAAAAACACACCTTCGCCTGTCAGATTCCCGGCTCCCATCAGCCCCATGTGGCTAATGTGTCGCCCTCCTTACCACTGCTGAGTCTTCTTGTCACCTGCTCTGATGGCGGCCACAGCAGGCCTGGAGGGGGCCGAGCAGAGGAAGAGGAAAGCAGGGCTGACAGAAGACACACTCCATTTCACCAGATGAAGAAGTAGGACAAGGATGAGCGCGGCAGCCAGGTGGGACTGGGAGATGTCTGCACCAGTCCTGCAGGTTTAACAAGCAGGCCAGGACCGCTGCCTGGTACCAAGCCTGCCTCTGCCTGTGCCTGTTAGGAACGGCGCAGCCTTGGGCAAGCAGGTTGCCAAATCTCTCCACACCCCGTTTCCTCATCTACAGCCTGGGGGTGGCCTGCTGTAGGAAGCCCCTACCACTGTCGGGAGATTTGCCGTAACAGTGGCAGCCCAGGCTCGCTGAGCTCAGTGTCCGTGTCAGCCCCTGGGAGTTGGTGTACCTGGCAGGCACCAGTGCCCCTGGCTGAACTGGACCCAGCGGGGGACTTTGCAAGGAGGTAAACAGCAAAGCCTGGCTCCCAGTGAGTGCTCAGTAACCGTTCCCCATCCTGATTACCAAAATGACCAGGCTCAGACCCCACCAGCTCTGCTCATAGCTGAACACCTGGCTGACGATAGCCAACACTCCATTCATGGTGTGCATGGCTCAGGTGGAGAGGAGGGACTTTGGAGTGAGCAGTAGGGAGCTCCCTGTCACTAGCAGCGTGCAAGCAGAAACCAGAGGAGGGATTTACACTGACCTTGGCATTTTGTATACACAGCCTTGAGCTCTAGGGTGTGCACCGTGGTGTGAGTTTTAGGGTCTATCAGCAGGAGACTGGAGTGCAGATCCAACCAGGGCTGCCTGCCATCCTGGGCTGGGTGCTGGGTGCTGGGATCCCAGGGTGGACGGGATATACCGTCTGTCCTTCGAAGACTCCCAGCCTCCTGGGAGACAGACAAACATCCAGATAGTCAAGAACTGCAGGAGAAACAGCTCACAGTGACAGCTGGTGGCCTTGGGGGACCTAGGACACAGCATCAAGACACCCAGAGTTCAAAAGCTGTGCACGCCAGGGTACCATTGGCAGCCGAAGACCTTCTTCTGATCTGACGCTGTCAATCCTCCCATGACTTGTGCTTACTTGCTGCTAGGAACGGGGTGCTCACTACTACTGTGGCAGCCTCTCTCACACTTGAAAAACATACTTGGGGGCTGGGGAGAAGTGAGACACTGTCCCTTCCACGCTGGGCACCCAGCCAAGCCCCGTTATCTCTCCCTTCCTGCACACATCTCGCAGCCTGGTGCAGCGAGTCCAGGAACAGGCCTCACACTGCTGCTTGGCCCTCAGCCTCTCTGTGCTCCCTCTTCCAGCAGGCACAATAAGCAAGCTTGCCTTGCTGGGCAAGGGCCAACAACTAGGAGTCCAGGCCATTAGCAGAGAAAGAGCAGTAACTGAAGCCCGGTGTGGTGGCCTACGGCTGTGAACCCAGCACTCTGAGACGCTGAACCGAGATTTACAAGTGCGACACAAGCTTGGGCAATTTAGTGACTTAAGAGACCGAGACGGTCTCAAAATAATGTAAAGGGCTGGGGATGCAGCTGAGAGCAAAAGTCCTGGGTTTAATCTCCAGTGCCGTTTAAAAAAGAACATTAAGGAAGAGGTCGAGACAGAGGCCTGGGACAGCAGCTGTGTGCCTAACTAGCTACGGGACCCTCTGCTGCCCCTGGAAAATGGAAATAGAGAAATACCTGCCTTGTGCGGCTGGGCTCGTGAGAGTCAAGTGAGGTGATTCGATAAAAAGGCTTACAAACTGCAAACGCAGATTCCTGTTTTCCGCGGCTGCGGCGGCGGCGGCTGCGGCTGAAAGCCCCAGGCGCGGGGGCGGGGCGGGTGTGGAGCCTGCGGGCGGGGGTCGGGCCCCCCCAGCCACCCACGCCAGCACCAGCGGGGACCAGCTGCCGCTCCATCTGCCCTGGGCTGCCTTGCCGGGGCTGCAGCGCCTCCACTCGCCCTGGCGTGACGGGGTGTCACGCGCTGGCCGTGTGCCTGTGCTTGTGCCTGCGCGGGTAGGTGCTAGGAGTGAGGGACCAGGAGGGACAGGCATTGCCAGCATCCGTGGCCAGAACCACTTGTGGATTAGGAATCCCGGAGGGAGAAGGAGGATGGGACTGGATTTCAGAGACACTTGCTTAGCAGCCACGTGGAGGGGAGAGGCTGGGAGAGCAGCCCACCAGGGCCTGCCTAGGGACAAAAGTCTCAGCCATGACCCCCTTTCTGGGGATAGAGTTCCCACAGACAGGAGGAAGATGCTGTCAGAGGCCTTTCATGGTTGAGCCTTGGATTGGGAGCTGGGAGACCTGGATCCAAGTCCAGGCTATGGGGTGTGATTTTGCTTCATTGAACCTCAGTTTCTTTGTCTATAAAATGGGCTGACCTCAAAGAGTTTCCTGGAAGTTTACAGAGGGGCTGCAGGCCCCTCTGAGGCCACCCAGAAAGAGGGGCGCAGAGAGCCCTGGGCGCTGCTGCTTTGTAAAGTGTAAAGGGTGGTGCTGGGTGGGGGCTGTCAAACCAAGTGCCATCTTGGCCCAGGACCGGGCAGGGCCAGGCAGAGGGTAGGGCTTTCATCCTCCCAGGTCCCAGCCTGAGCCAGCTCTCACTTCCTTCCTGCTGAACCTGCTGGGAGTCCTCTGGGTCCTCCCCATCTGTGGTCCTGAGCTCAGCACAGTTTGGAGGACCTCGGCAGACTCCCCACACCTCATCACTGCTCCCCGCTCCCTGGGAAGACTGACCGGGCCTCCTCCCCCTCCCACAGCTCCCCTCGGTGACTCATTCCCACCAGGCTCTAGCTGCTTTGAGAAATGTCACGCAGCTAGCTCCTTACCTGCAGGAGAGAATTTATCGGGAAGGGGCCGCAAGCAAAGAGGTTTGGGTCTCCCCGGAGGAAAAGTGGGTGTCCTCAGCCCAGGGTTCACCCTTTCCCAATTCCTGTGGGGACAGGAGGAAGGGAACAGGGGCACCGGCCATCCTTGGTTGAGTTTCAAGGCCCTGGACCTCTGCTAATTGGCTCTGGAGGCTTAGGTGAGTCACTTGGCCTCTCTGAGCCCCAAGCTGCTCATCTGTCACATGGAAAGAGGGAGGTCATGGTGACACTCAGGGTGGGTGAGGGCTGGAATGAGGTGGGTGGGTGCCTATGTCCTGGGCTCCCGCCTGACTCACTGAAGTCCAGTAATGAGCAACGGTGGAGACGGCAGAGTGGGGGCGTGGAAGATGTCCGTCCACAGGGAAGCCGCACCCCAGACTGGGGGAGCTGTGGGGACCTCTGCCCAGTGCCCCTTCACTGCGGCCACCAGGGCTGCAGAGACCCAGGCTTGGGCCAGATGCAGCCCGGCTCAGTGCTTTCCGTGTCTTTAATCTTAGTGAGTCTCACAAGGTGGGTATCATTTCAAGTGCCATGTTACAGATGGGGAAACTGAGGCTTGCCGAGTTCCAAAACTTGACTAAAGCCACAGCTTAGGTGGACACTGAGACCCTGGCAGTCCAGCACCCAGCCGCAGATGGCTCTGGTTTTGTGGCTGACCAGGGCTGAGACTGCTGGCCTCTATCCAGTGCGCTGGTCTGTTGCAAGTTAAGTCCCCCTGCTAGCTCAGGACCCCAGGGAACGTGTGCCAGACAGAGCTTCTCTCCAAGTGGCCTGAGAAAGGTGAAGTTCTCCAGCCAAGCTTAGCGCAGAGTCTGGGTTGCGAACTATGTGCCCACCCGCCATCCACGGGAGTGTGATAGAAGCCGAAAATGCTAAGTTTGCAAGGCAAATTCCTAGGGCTCTGGGGGATCCCAGCGTCTTCCCCCTTCCGGGACCCAGCTGCGCGCGCGCGTGGGGGCGGAGCCGCGGGGCGTGGGTCCCTCCAGCCTCCCCTGCGCGGATCCACACGCACCAAGCGAGCGCAGCCGGGCGCCTCGGGTTATTAATACTTGCGGGGCGGCTGCCGAGGCGGATCGCAGTGACAAAGGCGGCCTCTCCCGCGCGCAGGCCGGGTTACGTAATTGCTGGAGCCGAGCACAGGCTAGGCGAGGGATGGGCTGGGCGGCGAGAAGCTTGCACCGGTCTGGCTGCACCCCGTGCCCTGGGTGAAGGGGCCTCACCAGGCAGATACTCAGAAACTCCAAGGAACTGCCCCCGCCCCCGCTCCCCACTGTCACCCAGCGTGGGGGAGGGGGAGGATCAATACGTTATGCCATGCAGGACTTTGGGTGCCCCCTAGGAAGGCTACAGATCAGACTCCTGGCAGCCTCTGCAGGAGGGCTCATTCTGCAAATGGGAGAAGGCCCGGGGCAGGCTTCCAGCGCCAGATTCTGGTTTATTGTTTCCTGCGGGGTTTGTTTGAGAAAGGATCTCACTATGTGGCCCAGACTTGCCTCAAAGTTGCAGTAATCCTCCTGCCTCAGCTAGCTTCCTGAGTGCTGGAATGACTGGCTGGCGTGTGCCACAACACCTGGCTATTACATTCTGCTGTGCTAAGGATCAAATCCAGGGCCTAGCAAGTGCCAGGCACGCGCTGTACTGCTGAGCCCCACCCCAGCCCACCTTTCACAGGAGAATTTTTATCACTAGGGAAAAATAGTTGAGGGTCATTCTGGGCTGGGTGGAGCATGCCTATAATTCTGGCACCCAGGAGGCTGAGTCAGGAGGGTTGCTGAAAGTTCAAGGCCAACCAAGGCGTCATAGTGAGTTTAAGGCCAGCCCAGAATACATAACCAGACAGAGAAAAAAAAAGTAAAGAAAAAACAGTTAAGGACCAGCACAGAGTGGGTGCTCAATAATGTACCCCAGGGCATTCTGGGGTCCCTCCTGGAGTGGGGTTGGGAGTGGGATGAAGGAAGAGCTGGCAGAGCACAGGGACCTGGGTTCTGAGCCAAATCCATGATTGCTTTATGGCCTTGTGTTTAAGAAAAAGCACCTGCATTTGCCAATCTAGCCTGTGAGCTCCCCAGGGGGGCCAGGGCTCTGGACTGAGGAGGTGGGGAGCACTGGGGCTGGGAGAAAGTCCCTGCAGGCCTCCTCCCAGCCATGATGACTTGAGTACCTTTTGGGTCCTCAGTTTACCTAGCTGGAAAATGGGGCTAGGATTAGTGGCATTTCACAAGGCAAGAGAAGGGGCTGTGAACATGCTCTGTGTTCACAAATGATGACAGTAGTATCAATAATACAGAAAGCAGTGAGCATGGCTCAGGTTTCCCCCTCTCTAGCTTGGCTGCCGCCATGTCGCCAGCCACCACCCACCCCGAATCCCTCCTAAATGGTTCCCAAGTCTTCCCAGCTACTCCCTCCCTAGGAGCCCAAGAGAGCTTTCAAGAAGGAAACCAAAGGTATCCTCTATCACCTAGAATACAACCCAGACCTGTTCCCGGAGCCAACACTGCCCTGTGGGCTCTGCCCCGCCCCCTCCTCACCCTCCTCGAGCCACACGTAGCACCTTCCTGTTTCTTGTGTGCCCTGAGCTTGTCCCTGCCTTGGGCCCTATGCATTGCTGTTCCTTCTGCTGGGAATGCTGTTCCCGTGAGTTTTCGTGGTCTCCGCTGGAAACTTACCCCATTACTCAGCTGCTCTCTCAGTTTCACTGATCTTACGTGTTGCTATCTAAGATTACCGTTATGTTTCTATTTCTTTTATGGGCGTCCTCTAGGACATCTACTCCTTGAAGATACCTTCTCCCTCATGTAGCACTGAATTCTCAGAACCTTGCTCCTTACTTATTATATAAGCAGGGAGGAGGGGAGAAATTACAACTCAGAGCGTAGAGCATGGCCACAGGCTGCTACTGCTACAGCAGACACAGTGTGCAGTGCACAGCCTGTGCAGCCGTACAGTGCAGCCTCGGGCCAGGCCATCACAGATCTGCCGCTTCATTCTGTGAAATCGGTAATGAAGCTTCACTGCTTCCAGCTAGAACAAAGGAAGGAATAAACACACAAGCACATACTGACACACATAACACGGTGCATGATGTGAGGAACCCCTCCTAGTTTTGTATCCGAAACACCTGTAATCCGGTGGAGGAGAGAGAGATATCTGCCACCAACCCAGCTGTGCCTCTGTCCCTGGCACAGTGCCAGGCACGTGGCCGAGTGACGGGGGTCTGCAGATGGTGGGGAGGGGGAGGCGGGGGCGCCTCCCCACCGCCTCTGATCTCGGCTCTCAGCCGCTGAGGACTACGAGAGGGTGGGGGCAGGGCCCTGACCCCTGAACCGCTGCCCCACACACCTGCTGTGGTTGCTGGGCCTTGCAGATGGTGAGCCATCCCCTCCTCCCCCAGGCCTGCCTCACCCTGGGCCCCATCCTCTTTTCTTTGTCTTCCTCCTGCTTCGCTCATGTGTCCCTCCCCTCCCCTCCCCTCCCCTCCCCTCCCCTGCCCTCCCCTCCGCTCCCCTCCCCTCCTCTCCCCTCCCATCTCCCTCCTGCTCTTCCCTCCCCCACGTCCCCTATCCCCTCCCCTCCTCCCCACTCCCTCCCCCTTTCCTAGCGTGGTGAATGCAAACTGAGAAGCTCGGAGGGCCTTCCATCCACCCAGCAGCGTAGGCAGCCAGCGACAGTAACCAATTTCAGGAGGAATCCGGCTGTCATGACTGTCACAGCCCTGAGTCAGCACAGGAGACCAGCCAGGCTCTCTGGGACTCCCAGGCTCCGGAGCCACACCCCGTGGTCAAGCCACACCGAGTGGTCTCGAGGCTGACTGCACACCAGTACCTCAGTGTCAGCCCAAAGGGACCGGCCCAGGGTACCTTCATCGCTGATTCTCCCTGACCAGCAAGCAGGGATCTAGTGGCCCCCACAGCTGGTTCATGTCCGCCAGGGACACAGACCCTGTTCGGGAGCCCATGAGAGGAGCACAGTGCCCAGAGGGTCATGGCTCCCAGCTGTGACCTTCCCGTGGCCCAGAGAGGTTGCAGCCCTCCTTGGAAGGCACACAGCAGGTCCTGCGGGCAGCTCCATCCCCAGCATCCTCTGCTACAAGGGGTCTAGGTGGGCAGCAGCTGCCTGGCCTGAGGGGCACATCAGTCCTGCAGGGCTTCAGGAGGGATGCAGCGGGTGGGCAGAGGCCAGTGCTCACCCTGGGGGCAGCAGAGATGGTCCTGCGCATCCCCCAATCAAATCTCAGGAGATGTGCTGGAACACCGCGCGATGTTTTCGCAGAGCATTAAAGCATTGTTTTTATCATGGGATTTGTTTCCTTCCGGTTAGAGTTCAGTGTTATTTTTACTTAGGAGTCACTGAGGATTAGAGGAGACACCATAGCCTTTGCAGGACTTTAAATGTCACTGTGCAGGGGCCGGGAGGGCTCAGCCCAGCCCAGCTCTCCCCCGGGATGCGGAGACAGAGACCAGGGGGCTCCGGGGCTCTGGCAGGAATCCAGGTGCACATTTGCCTCGGAGGGTGTGAGGGTGTGCCTTGTGAAACTGCCCCTTCCGGGCTCAGTTTCTTCTCCTGTGGAACAGTGACAGTTCTGTCCCCTCCCCTGGTCACAGGCCTCTCTCTGTCTACCAGGCTAGAAATAAAGGTGCAGCACCTGTGAATCACCAGCACAGTTTATTAAAAATGCAGATTCACAGGCCCTCCCATCAGGATCCCTGCGGCAGGAGCCCTGAAATCTACATCTGATCACCTTCTCCCGAAAGGGTCTCGAGCTCCCTGAAGTTGCCTGGTCCAGACCAGCCTGGTTTGTCCTCTGGCTGAGGAGTATGGCTGGTGACTGTCACAGCACCTCTAGGAGTGGGCTAGGTGGGCTGGCTGGCACAGCAGGTGCGTTGGGGCCCCAGCCTGGCACCAAGCTGACCTCTTCTCCACAGGACGGGCACCCCCTCCCCCCTGAGCCTCAAGATTCCAGGACCTCATGGAGCGTGGCAGGTGGCCCATCTGCTCAGGCTGAACTGGGAAGGGCAGACGCAGGCCACCAAGCACTGAATGGCCTCTCTGTTGGGTGCCGGTCGGCAGAACAGATGGCCTGGCCCTCCCCCGACAAGTCACAAAGTCCCCTCTTCTCGGAGAGGAGAGGTCTTTCCAGCCACCCTTGGTGACAGCATCCAGAAAGAAGGGGGTGGAAGGGATTATCAGGTTCCAGAGGAAAACTGGGGGCGGGGGGGGGCGGGCCAGGGACAGGTATGAGAAGCTGGTGACAATTGTAGCCTCAGCTGGAGCTGGCAGGGCCCTCAGAGCTTCATCTAGCTTGCTGTGGGGAAACTGAGGCGGGGAAGGGGCAGAGCCCTCACCTCGCACCACCCGGCCAGCCCAGGAGTCCAGGGCGCTAGTGGCCCCTCCCAGGCTGCCCTAGCTCAGGCCCAGGCCCGCCTCCTACTCGCATGTCCTCTTCCCTCTGGGCAAGGTAGGTCACATCCTGTGCCAGGGCTTTGTAGTCCCTTCCTTGTCCAGAGGGAGGGAACTGTCGGTGTCCCCAGCCATTGTCCCTGGCAGGCTTCTCTTTAAGAATCCATTAACAAGAGCCTGGGGCCTGTCACAGAGCCTGGGGGAGCAGGCCCCTGGAGGCATCTGGAGAAGCTGAGCTTCCTGCTGGGCCGGTTTCTCTGTCTACCTGGCACAGGTGCTGAGCAGGAGACGGTTGGGTTGGTGGCACTTGGCAGCCCCGGAACAGTCACACCTGCAAAGCCAGGGCCCCTGCTCTCAGGTCGCAGGGGTCAGCTCTGCAGAGCGCCCCAGGAGGGAGGCCCCGAGGCAGGGAGGGGTGGAAGCTGGGCTGCCCATGCAGGGGCATCACTTGGCCACCAAGGCACATTCCTTCCATTATGCACCTGCAGCATACCAGGGGCAAACAGTGGGTGTGCAGCCGTGGGCGAGGGCACGGCAGGGTCCAGAAACACATTTCCATGGCAACAAAGGGTGACAGATGCCTCCAAGGTGTAAGGGACTCTCCGGGGCTGAGAATAATGGGAAGGGGGCATTCTTTAGATGGGGGCTGACCCTGGGCTCTGAGGGGTGACTTTACAGCTGTCACTCAGGATGGGGGAGGCTTGGGGGCGGGGCGAGCAGGACGGGGCGGGGCAAGTGCCTCATAGGGAGCTTAAGCAGGCTTCCGGGAGAAAGAAACATTAAACATTTGATTTCCCTTTCCATTTCATACCAGAGTGTGAGGGAGTCAGCATTTCCAGTATTTATGGACGCGATGGGGCCCCTATTTGGTCTTCCTGGAAACCACCGCCACAGGGAGGGTGGGAAGTGGGAAACAGACCCCTAGGGACAGGGGCAGCCCTGACCTTTCCCTCCTGTCAGCACTCTGAAAACTTTTTGTATTCACATGAGACCAGTTAGAGAGAGCCCACCACACCCCATCACACCCCAACCGCCATTCGTCAGCAAGCCAACAAACACTTGGAGCAGAAAGCAGAAACAGGACCTGAACAGGAAAAGTCCAAGGAAGGACTTGGATGCACAAGTCCCTCTGGTTGTGCCCTGCCGCACACGGATGACCACACACAAGGTAAGACCAGTGTGCTGGGCACGGAGGCACACATGTGTCATGCCAGCACTCAGGAGGCTGAGGCAGGAGGACTGCTGGGAATTCAAGGCCAGCTTGAGACTGACTCAAGAAAAGAAAACCAGTGACACCCAACTAGGGCCAGCTAGAAAGTGGCCCCAAATTTAAATCATGAGCAGGAAGGCCTAAAATAAGAATTTATATTCACTACTATAATGATCCTGACGACACAGGTCTATTCCTCTTTGAAAGCCCAGCTAGCAACAGCAAAAATTGTTCACAATTATTATGACATTATAAATACTATTTTACTTATCTGTTTATTGGCAGTGCTGGGCATTAAACCCAGGGCCTTGCACACGCGAGGCCAGCACTCTACCACTGAGCCTCACCCCTAGCTCACCTTGTCTGTTTAATTTCTATTTTGTACATGTGTTGCGACATCACATCTTAGGCTAGTGGTGTGTGCTTATTACTTATAAATGAAAACATAGATTGGCTATGCATGAACGACTTGTCTTGCTGTTTTGAAGAGGAGACACCCAGGCCAGGATGGAGAAGCCCACACAGGGCCTGGTGTGGGCAGCACTGGCTTCTCCCGAGGTGACCGTCCGGCTGGAACCATGGCCCCTGGGTCATGTCTGCCAGTGTGGGGCCTCTCTCAGGCTCCTGTTGGCCTTGTCCCTGTCTGCCTAGCTCACTCCATGACAGCACCCCAGGGGAAACCTTCCCAGTGCTGATTCTCCTCTGGAGAGGGTTTTTCCTCTCCCGAAATGAACAGAGCTTCATTCCCTTAAAGGGTAAAGATCCTGGTGAGGTTTCTGGATTATTTATTCACTGGCCAGTAATAGACTAGAACACACGCCCTGGCTGGAGGGGAGCGGCCCTGGAGTGTCGAGGGCTGAGTCCCACACTTGTCTCCCCCACTGGGGCGGTCCACTGGCCATTCCCCGACACAGGTCACTCACATCTTCCCTGAACCCTTCCCAGTACAGGTGCAGCTGACATCGGCCACAGCCTGGGTGTGCCAGGTCCTGGGAACTGCCCTTAACACATAATCAGCTGCCACCTCCATGTAGCCGGGCATCAGCCTGCAGTCCGAGATGAGGACTCCCCATCACTTTGGGCTGTTGAGGTGCAGCTCTGTCCCTCACCACATGCCCAGGGTTCAGCAGCCCCTGAGAGCGACATGCATCCAGCTGCCTGTGGTTAGGGCCCCAGCCTCCTTCCCATCCAGTTCCACCCAACGCTCCTCATCACAAACTCCAGAAGTCCCCAGATTCCCCCAGAGGCCCTAAAACCGGCTCAGTGGACTGCCTGCTTCCCATCGCACCATAATGCCCTGTCTGTTTCTCCTGTCACCACAATCCAGCCCCCGAACTCCCCAGAGCCTGTTCCCAGGCAGCAGTTTCCATGTGGTTGGCATCGGGACTCGTTTATTAATAAAATGAGCAAAATATCCAAAGGCTTGGCAGCTCCCAAAGCTCTCTGAGTGCCCAGTGGCATCAAGGGTAGAAATGAACCCTGGGAAGAAATCTGCGGGGAGTCACAGCGGGATGTGACCCTGACCATCGGTGACACCTTCCAGAATCCCCAAGGGTCAGCAGATCCCCCTTGGTCAAGGCTCACAAGAAAGGAAGCTCGAGGGGATCAGGGTGGCCCCTTGCAAGGAGCCACTTGGATGACCTTGTTGTAAGGAGCCTGCCTAGCCCTGTGCCCAAGAGACCCCCAGCCCTAGGGAGCAACAGAGAGAAGGATATAATTTACTGTGCGGAGTAAATAATGCTGACCCAGGGTCCCACCTCGATGTTCACACCTCACTCTGCCCCTACTTCCGAGTTCCTGGGTGCTGTGTGCACCGTGGACACCAGCGGCTCATCCCAGACTCAGTGGCGTTCCCATGTGGCTCTGCACAGTGTCCACCCACCTAAACTTCCTAAACTTTCTCATGCTGCAAAGAGGGGGTGACGTTGGGAAGGGTCGCAGCTATTCTCAAGAAACGTGATGACAAAACCTATGATCCTGCACTGTGAGGCCGTCACCCAACTGGCATCTGCTCTGAGGTTAGTGTGCTAGCTGCTTCATTCCCAGGGGACAGAGGCCATAAGAAAGCCCATTTGCAGACAAGGAGACTGAGGCCCAGAGACATTAAACCCTGCACCTAAGGCTACACAGATGACAGCACTGGGATCTATGTCAACTGCTTGGCACAGTGCCTGGAATGTAGTAAGTGCTCATTAATTTGTGCTTTTTTTTTTTTTTTTAAAGGGCTTAGGTCCCTGGCTGAGTCTTTGGGAAAGAATGTTGTCCCTGCCCTGTAAGCCAGCATGTTCCGCCTTCTCCCAGGCAACCAGGCAGAAAGGATCCCTGGGCAGGAGAATGCCAACCGCCCAGCTACAGCCAGGCCTGGCCCCTGCTGTTCGTAACTGTGGAGGATCCAGGTCCCAGAACCACCTGCTCAGTGTCACACCCACCGCTGCACCCCAAAGCCTGTGCAGTTCCACCAGGTGGAATAGGAAGAGATTTCTGCTTCCTCAGCTCAGACCTGGGTGTTTGCACTCACAAGCAAGACTGTGTGCCATTTACACCAGGAGCAAGGGTAGCTTTGACAGAGCCAGGATTGCAGCAGACCAGAAGGGACAGGTGCAGAGCCAGGAACTGGGGACTCTGCATGCTGTCCCTTGATCTTCCCAGCAGCCCCGTGCAGGAAGTGACATTCTCCTATCCTGCACCTGAGAAAACAAAGGCTCAGTGCTAAGCAATCTGTGGTGGGGACTCACTGCCATCATAAAGTACATGGCTTTGATTCCCAGCACAAAAATAGATAAATAAATACATACATGAAGTGCATTGTTTTGTGGGCTGGTTGTTTGCTTTGTAGTTCAGGCTGGCCTCGAGAACTTAGTATGTAGCACAGGTGATGTTCCTGCCTCAGCCTCCTGAGTGCTGGGATCACAGATAGGTATCACCATGCTGATCATAAAGTACATTGATTCACTTTTTTAATCCCCACAAGGGACCTTGGAGGTATCTGCACTGACCTCACAGAGGGCACAGGCACTTGCCCAAGATCGCTCACAAAAGCCAGAATCCAAAGCCAAGCCTGTGCGGTTCCTAAACACTTCCCGCTGACTCTAAATGTCAGTGTTTTCACACTATGTGGTTCCTTTTAGGCCCTGGAAACCTGTCCCTAGGTGTGATTCAAATCCTCTCCTCCTGGGATCTTTGCATTTGCAGGAAAATATTGAGTTTGAGCCGCTATTTCCTATGTGACCTTGGACAACTTGCTTCACCTCTCCGTGCTTTGTTTGCTCCAAAGAAATGCAGACAAGTGACCCCTTCAGAGCACAGGTCCTTGGGAGGACTTGGTCTTCACTGCAGCTGGCAGGTAGGTGTAAGTCCCTTGTTCCACTCTGAGTCGTCTCTATTTGCTGTTTACCAGTCAGTACAATACGGTAAATGGAAAGAGCAGCCACGTGCGCCTGACATGTCTGGGGTCCAGCAGGAAATGAAGTCCACCGGAATGTGCCCCTGCCCAGACATCTGCCCATGACTCCCATGCCCCTTCCCTTGCCCTGATGGCCTCTTTGCTTGGGCAAAGCCCTTGGAAATGGCGGGAACCAGATCCCATCCCAGCTCCGCCACTCCACAACTACTTGGCATGTTGGTTCCTTTTCTGTGACTCAGTTTCCTAACCTGTAAAGTGAAGTGAAGTATGGCGTCTGCTTCGCAGGGTCTCTGTGAAGTTGAAGTCGGGTGTATGGAAGGCCTCCTTTGCCCAGCACCTGGAACAGAGGAAGTCCTCAGTTAATGATAATAGTAATAATTATTAGGAGGAAAATAATCGTTCCATGGACAGAAAGAGGCATTACCTAAAGATTAAGCCATTTTTCAAGACCTAGGGCTGTTTGTTTGAGACAAGGTCTTGTCATGTAGATCAGACTGCCCTTGAACTCACCATGTAGCCCAGGCTGACCTTAAACTCTAGGGGACTCCCCAGCTTCAGCCTCCTGAGTGCTGGAATTACAGGCATGACCCACCAGATCCTGTTTGTTGGACATTTTTGAAATGCTCTTTGCAGGAATTTAGCTGGAATGGGGAGGAGATGGAAGGGGATACGCTTCGGCAAGGAGCGGCAGAGAACACGCCAGACTTCCAGGAGGGGGGGCTGGGATTGTACTGCACGGCTCCGCCCCCTCTATGGGTGATTGGACCCGGTTTGAACACGTGACCCCATCTGGACCAATCAGTTCTCTGTCCACATAGTCCGTAATGTTTGTGGAAACTTGGTCTGTGGCTGGAGCTTTCCCTATAGATGCTTGTAACAGCCTCTCTGTGATTCACATTTCTGCAGCTGTAAAGGTGCAAGGGTTTTTGTCACCCTCCAGGATGCGTTCCTGGACTTTCCTATCAGGCCGAGTGCGGCTTGCCCTCCTCTGTGTCTTGGATACCCATCCACAATCTGGTTCTCTTAAACAACCGAGGATCTAGGCATCCTTAGCAAAAGCTCTCAGTGAGCGGTGATGGCGATGCTGGTGGTAGGGTGGGTCGGTGCATGACAGTTCGCCTCGGAGATCAGGCCCATCCGCGATCTCCCACGTGACCTTCCATGCAATGTTTCACTCATCTTGGGCTTACTGAACACAATCGAGCTGTAGGACCCCATCATGTTTTGTCCCCACACAGCCGGCAGTGATGGGTTTTGTAGTGGCCCTGAGTCAAGCAATGGACGTGGAGGATGGGACATGGTCATCTCCCCTGGAGGAAGCCCTCCCCTTTCCCTACACCACCTGGCCACCCAGTGCTTTGCTGAGTCATCTTCAGAGGCGTCTGGGTTCCAAGATTCTGTCACCCCATGTCATGTGCCAGGTCCTACTTTGTCCCCAGCAGGGCTCTGCCTTGGGCTTAGGAGCTCTGTCCCTCCCTATCACACTCCCGCCATCCCTCCAGGCCCACCTGATTTCAGCACAGGGTGAGGGTAAAATGGAGACTTTGGAACTTCACTGGAGCCCTAGATCAACAATGGATGGGCCTGAGCTTGCCACCCTCACTGTGCCCTCCTCTCCTCTCTTCTCTCTGCCCTTCCCTTTCTCTTCATGCTTGAAGACTGAATGCCCAGCCTTTTTATGGAGCTATGTCCCAGCCCTCTTCGGTTTTTATTTTTGAGACCGTGTCTCTCTAGGTCACTAAATTACCCAGGGTGGGCTAGAACTTGTGATCCTCCTGCCTCAGCCTCCTGGAGGGCTGGGCTCAGAGTCCTGCATCACCACGCCCCACTTGAAGTTACTATTTTCTACCTTTTATGTAAAAAAGAGGCTCACAGCAGCCAACCCTGCTGTCTTTATAATCAGCACAGCCCGAATTATTCAAATGCTCGTGCTCAGCTGTCCACCTCTGCTGCTCAGGCCGCGAAGGGGGCACTCCTCATCACCGCCTGCCTGCTCTGTAGGCCAGCGGCTTTCACAATCCTGTGCTGGATTCAGTGGGTCCTGCCGCATCTCAGCAGTGACCCGGTTTCCAAATGCCCCTGAAATGGTGTTGCTGTCAGGGATCCTGGCAGAGACCTCCTCCTGCTGTCGCAAGGTGACACCAGTTTCTTCATGCCGAGGTGTGGCTGTGACAGAGGCATGTGGGAGAGAGGGACGTGGTGCTTCTCGGTTCCCAGGCAGCCAGGAAGCAGCTGCAGGAGCCCGGCTGTCTAGATTTGCATCCTCACTGGCTTCCTCTTCCTCCCCTGGAAGCTGGAGGAGCGGGAGGCGAAGGTGCTGCTTTGGGACAGTTGGGAATCGGAGGAAAGTCATGTCAGGGTGTCCACAGCACTGGCTCCTCACAAACCCTCAAGGAAGAGGGAGCCTATTCCCGGGGTACAGTGGAGGAAACTGAGGTGCTTTCTCACATCACAGGAAGAAGAGGAGGAAGAGAGAGGTTTCCTTCAGACTTTATTCGGAAACTCCCCGGGGTGTCCGCCCCACGGGGCTGAGGAGACAGCAGGGTCTCTTTCTCCTCCCAAAACACATTCAAACTTCCTGCCTCCAGCTAAAGGGTCCTGTGTTCTCCCTGTTGGTTGCTATGGGGACCAGGTTGCTTCAAATGTGTCTCGGCCCAATGCAGGGAGACAGGAGAATAGGGGCACCCATGAAGTGTCACAAACACCTCTACACACACACACACACACACACACACAGACACACTGGAGCCTGCAGGACCCTCTTAAGTCAGCCAGCCGCTGGCAACACACAATGCCAGCAGTCAGCGTCAGGGTGAGATCCTGCCCAGTATTAGTCTCGGGCCCTTCTGCTCCCCCTGGGGGAAAGGTGCCCCATACCAGCAGAATGGAGGCTTGATCATCCCTGTGGCAATGCTGAGGTCGGACCTCACGCAGGTGACCTTACCTCGGGGGAGTGCTGGACTCTGGCTGGACCCAACTGTCTGCTGTCACTGTCACTGGCTATCACTGCCACCAAGGGAAACGGAGAAGGGGGGTGATATCGGGATGCTGGCTGTGGGTGAACCTTTCCCAGCCCTCCTGGCTGCAGGGCCAGGGTTTGGCACCTCCCTGTCACGAGGTCCACGTGGGCGGACGGCGGGCTGAGCTCCGTATGCCTGTGTCTGTGTGGCTGTGCATGCCCTCACTTAATTCCCCCGGGAGCCTCGTGCGGAGGAGCTTAAATCCCAGGAGCCGTTTAGCCCGTGATGAAGCCCAGCTTCTTTTAATTTGCAACAAGACTGAGAAAGCTGTGATCACTGAGATTCTGCTTAGGGACAACAGGTCTCTTGGTTGGAGGCAGACGGTGAGGGCGGTGACGGTGGCCGTGGGATGGGGGAGTCAATGACAAATGTGGTGCCAACCGGCTCTGCACCACGCAGAGGGGTGTGACGTGTGTGAGGAGGAGGAAAGAGGGGCGTGCGTACCCAAATGAGCATGTGTGAGCATTTGTGTGGGGGTGCAGAATCCAGGAGAGAGGCACTTGGGGCCCAGGCTCTGGGTGATGCTGAGCATTTCTTCACTCTGGTGCAGATTGTCATCTCTGATTCACAAATGAAGAAACTGGAGGCTCAGTAAGCAGAAAGGAGGGACAGGAGCAGCTGGGAGAGAGTGTTGGGCATAGCTGGCAAAGTCTGGGGGGACTCGGTGGCGAAGGGAGGTGCAGGGAGTGGCTGAGTTGGGGTGTAGAGTCAGAGATGTGGGGTGTGCAGACTGCACAATATCCTATAGAAGTAACACTTCCTAGCTGTCAGGTCTAAAGCCACCAGGCACTGGGTTCTGGCTCTCTGCACTCACGTCAAGTGGCTCCTGTGGCCTGAGTGGTGTAGGGGCCAAAGCAGGCAGAAGCCAGGCATAGGGCGGGACATGGAGCCTGAATCCCACAGTGCACTTGTGTCTGGCACACAGAGGCTGCTTGTCACACAGGAGCAGGGACTGCTGTGCTCACAGAGCTGGGACGAGGACCCTGGAGCCCGAGCCAAGCTACGTGGCTACCCAGCCCTGGCACAAATTACCATTGGTTTAGTGGAAGAAACTCAGGCAGTGCGTCCTCCTGGGGTCCTGAAGCTCAGAAATTTGGGAAGGCAGGTGTTCAGGGCGCTTCCTTCTGGCTTCGGGAGAGATCTGGTTGCTTCTGGCTGTCTGCACTCTCTGTTATACAGCGGCTCCTTCCCATCCCTTCAACTCTAGCTTCCATTGTCTCTCCAGTTAGTGACCCCATCCTCTTCACACTTACCTGGACACTTGCAAGAGACCCCAACCTCCTTGTTGAGTGTGGTATTCCCATTTCACAGATGAAGAAACTGAGGTGCACAGGCTGGTCAAGGGTCTCAAGGTCATAGGTTACCAAGGGAGAACCAGGCTGGACCTCAATCTCTGGGTTCCCAGTTTGGGGTCCCCTTTTCTTGCTCAGCCTCCAATTTCCTATGGGGATGGTTGAGGTTCTGGGAGAGGCAGGGGGTGAGGGCTGGGAGGGAGGAGGCTCTGGGAGGATCAGAGGGCCGGCTCTCTAATTGCTTCTGCACCTTTCTCAGAGTGCAGGCAGTGGTGTGGCCACTGCCTGCTGGCTGGGTCTTTATTCCCTGTCTCCCTAGAGTCCTTTGTTACAGAAATGGACTTTGAAGAGCCTTCTGGTGTTGGCTTTGAATTTCCCCAGCAGCTCATTTGCCCCAAATTCTGACAGCTTGAAAAGAAACAGCCCAACTGAAGGGTGGGGATGGGGACCAGGGCAGGCAGAGGTAGGCAGCGCCAGGCCTGGACCCGCCAAAAAGCCCTGGCCTCGCCCTCAACAGTAGGCGTAGCTAAGCCAGGTGTGGTGTGGGGCTTGATTTCTCTCTTGCCCCATCACCAGGCAGCATTTGAAGAGGTTCCCAAAGCTGAGATAAGACACCTAATCCACATCACCGGTAGGCTTTTTGTTTTGTTTTCTGAGGCAGGATCTTGCTCTGAAGAGCCCAGGGTGACCTTGCACTGCCAGCCGTCCTCCTGCTTCAGCCTCCTGAGTGCTGGGATGGCAGGTGTGTGCCACCACCACAGCTCTTACAGACTAGCTTTGCAGGTTTGCTGATTTCCATCACAGAAAAGAAATTTTTGGGACCCATCAGTTAAAAACACAAAGGGGTTTGTTGGACAGAAATTTAAATTACGCACTCAAAGAAACAGTGTGTGGACTCTCAAGGGAGATAATTCCTGTAAGCAGAGCTGGCTATATTTATGGGGTGTGGGGTGACTTCAAGAGGGTGATCTGGGATGCCTATTCCTCATGCGGCCAGGTTCCAGGATGGCTGCTGGAGTCTGAGATCTGCAGCCCAATACTATAGCTGTGCCTTGAGGGTGCGGTCTATAAGTCACAGGTGAAAAGCACAGGCCCAGAGCCCACCTGACAGGCTGATTGTGTCTTCCCTTAGAAATTGTTTTGTGGGGCTGGGGATTTAGCTCAGCGGCATAAGCGCCTGCCTTGAAAGCAGGCAGTCGTGAGTTTGATCCCCGGTACCTATAAAAAGGAAAAAGACAAAAAAAAGAGATTGTTTTGATTGTCCCGGAAGGCAAAAAGAGTTATCTTTGTGTCTGTCCTGGAGCTGCAATTTTTCACAAAAGCACAATTTTAGAGGCCAAATGTGGTGGCACATGCCTGTCACACCAGTACCCAGGAGGCTGAGGCAGGATGATTGCTGTGAGTTCAAAGTCAGTTTGGGCTCTCCATCTGGAGGTGGAGAGATGACGGATGAATTATCTATGTGTCCCATTGTGAGTCTTCAGAGTCCTTGAGGGGAGGCAGGAAGGTCAAGGTGATGCGTGGGTTGAGGAAGCAGAGCCTGGCATGATGGGGCCATGAGTCCGGGAAAGCAGGTGCCTCCAAAAAATGGAAGAGGCTGGGAGAGGGTTCCTTCTTGCAGGATCTGGCCCTGCTGACACTTCAATTCTGGCGTCTAGAGGAGCATTTGGGACCTTACAGAACTAGGAGTTTAAGGCTCTGTCAGGCAGTTAACGGTTTACAGCAGTGAAGGGGGCCAGCCCCCGGGCGGGTCTGTAAATCCTCTCCTAATCAGATTCTCTGCACACCCGAGGTGCTGTTACTTCCTGACCCCTCACCGCCCGTCAGGAGCTGCGCTGGGCTGCGTTCCTATCTCTCAGGACACACTGTGCCAAAGAAAAGTGGGACTCGGGTCACGCAGGACTCTGTGGGCTGTCAAACAGGGGTCTGAGGTGGAAGGAAGCAAGGTCTCAGCTCAGCTGCAGGGCAGCCTCACTCAGGCTCCTGAGCCCAGGATGAGTGGGGTGAGGGCCCCTCCAGCATTTTGCTTCCTGTTTCCAAGGGGCTCAAACACACCCTGATGTTTTCAGGTCTCAGCTGAACCCAGATTGCTGCATTAGGGATTTTTTAAGTTATTGGGTACCTCTCAGTCCTCAATTTCCACTTCCATAAAATGGGAATAAAAAGCAGGATTTGGTGGGCCACATGTGTAATCTCAGGGCTCGGGAGACTGAGGCAGGAGGATCACTGTGAGTTCAGGGTCCCTCTGGGCTACACAGTGAGTTCAAAGCTGATCTGGTAACATAGCAAGATCTTGTCTCAAAAGAACATAAATAAAAAGGAATAAAAATACTAACTACCCACTCCATGGCTGGACTATTAAAATGTGCATGAGGTCAGCAAACAGATATTCCCCCCTAGCTGGTGAGTAGGCTGTCTGAGTACCTACAGAACGTCATGGTTCTAAGTACGGGGATAAACCAGAGGATACAACAGACCAAGCTCCCCTGGGATGTCCCCTAGAGGGACAGTCATTTTGGTGGAGTGGTACACAATCAATAAAGAAATTACTGAATAGATCAGGCCTCCGTGATGGGGATGGACCTGGGTGGGGGGCGGAGCTGTGATTTTCAGGTGCTCAGGGATGGCTGCAGAGCTGGTGTCAGACACTACTATCAAGGCTGGAGCGCACTGGAACGCCCACTCGCCACTAGGGGCTGGAGGGTGGAGCCGGGCGTGGGAGGGAAGAGCAAATGTGCCTTTCTGCCCCCAGGAGGACTTTGCTTCCTCCAGCCCACCCTCAGGGAAGTCCCCTCTCTGCCAACTTCAGCCACCCTAAGGGAAGCCCACCCCTTCTCTTTTCTCCATGCCATCTCCTCCTACCCTTCACTTCCTCTTTCCCCTGCGGCTGCTGAGGGGCTCCACGCCTTTGCCAAATCACGTCCTCCTCCTGACCTGCCCGGGCACCCTCTCTCTCTGGCAGCCCATCCCCTTCTAATCCTGCTGTCCCTCACTCTCTGGGGAGAAGGGAAGTCCCCTTTATGCTGGCTGCCCCAGCGTGGCTGTTCTGGACACCACCGTCCTCCAGTCTCTCTGCCCACTGCTCCCGCAGCCCTGAATGGGCTTCGCACTATGACCTTGGCCTGGTCCCTTAACAGAGACTCAGTTTCCCCTTCTGAAAGTCCTGGAGTGAATGGTTCTCCTGGCCCAGGCGTCCTCACAGTAGCCAAGAGACCAAGGGCTTGCTGGGTACCAGGCCGCATAGAGACTGCCCCTGTGTAACCACCTCAGCCAGCTGCTCCTCGCATCCCTACTCTGTTCCATCAAAGAGGAACCCGAGACACCGAGAGGCCAAGTGACGTGCTCAGGGCCACGCACAGGAACTCAGGGTGGCATTGCAGAATATGCACTAGAAACAATTTCATTTTGAAAAATGAATTCATGCATATCGTACAAAATCCAGAAGGACAAGAGGTAATGGGAGGAAAAGCTTGTCTTCTTCCCCATTCTGTCCTGTAGCCATCCGGCTTCTCTCTTGGAAAGAAGCATCCATTACAGATGTTTTTTGTTTGTGTGTGTGTTTGTTGGTACAAGGTGTGGAACCCAGGGCCTCGAGCTTGCCAGGTAGGAGCTGTGCAGCTGAGCTAGATCCCGGGCTCTTGTTTGGTTTTGTGTGAAGACTCTTCCAAAAACAGCCTGTGTGTAAATACACACACAAAATCTCACCACCAAATATGGTGAATGTTTTAATGAAAACATGTATTACCCTAACAGTCACATTGCCATGAACCCCCCTCAATGCCTCCCCTCGCTCCTGCCATTCTTTCCACTTTCTGCAATAGTTCTAGAAGCCCTTTTTTGTGACTTTAGTTGCTCTGTCCTGGCTGCCTGGATATCCTGAACTGATCCAAATATTTTTTTTTCATGGTCACTTTGACTTTAGGAAAGAGCCACAAGTCACATGGTGCCAGATCTGGTGAACAAGGAGAAGAGGACAAGCTGTACTGTTTTTGACAATCTGCCTTCCTATTGGGTGGCCTTTATCAGTGGTCTGTAGCAGAGTTTTGATCACACCTGGTAAAGACACTCATGAAAGAGCACTTCCAGAACTGCTTCGGAAAGTGGCAAGATGATGGGATCAGTGTGTTGGAAAGAGGAGGATTTTGAAGGGGATGAATGGTAAGGTGTCTTTTACTGTAGTATATTTTTTAACTGAGACATTCACCATATATTTTGATTACTCCTCGTATTTGAAGTTTACAGTTTATGTGAGTAGGAGGCTAGCATATCATGCATAGCCCCTGGCTGTCCAGGGATAGCAGCGTTTGGCTTGAGGCCACTCTAAGTTCATGTACCCCGGCCACTTGCTGATCTGTTCTGTGGAGCCCAGGAGAACATGGGGCCGAGGGCTGAGCCAGAGTTTGAAGCACACACCCAGCATCGCGTGGGCAGCACAGCCCGAAGGGCTCCATAAATCCACAGTGACAAGCCCTGCACGGTCACCACGACCCCAGTGGAGCCTGGGGACAACATTTCCTTTCCTGTCTGTTGCCTGCAGATGCAGCCAGCCAGGGGAAAGACACTATTCCCAGATGTGTGTGTTGGAACAGCAGAGGAGAGAGAGGAGGATGTGAGGCTGTAGGCCTGTCGTGCGAAGGCGAGGTGCCAGGCTGTGGAGAGCCCAAGGTGACATCTGACGTGCAGGAAGGAAACCCAGAGAGGTCACGGTTTGGCCATCTGCTGTGACAAGCAGATGAACCCGACGTCTGGTGGACATCCTTCAGGCTCTGGGCTCTGAGAGCTCTCTGCTCCTTCCTCTCCCTTGGGGCTCATTTGTGGTCCCTGACTTGTGCAGTCCACACCCAGGCATCAGGACAGGTCACTGTCCAGGCTCTTGGCCAGATGTTGGTTATACTGCAGAGTCACCAGGCTGGGGACCCAAAGAAGTCCCATTCACCAGCCACTGTCTTAGATCTGGACACCTGGAGTCCAGTCTACTGCTCTGCTAGGTTTTTTTTTTTTTTTTTTTTTCCTTCAAATGCCTCCAGTAACAAGGAGCTCACACCCTATCAAAAACACTTTAAATTCAGAACTTGCAAGGAATCCAGTGTTTGGCTCAAGGCATGGCTACATCATGCCTTTTGTTTATCTGGTACAGACCTAGCTCCCTTTTCCTGATTGGCTTCTCAATTGCCAGGGTGTGGAAAGGTCCTCTTTCTTGAAGGAACTCCAAAGAAGCATTTGTGGTTGATTGACAGCTGGTAGTCAACTTGTAACACCCAGCTGAGGTGAATCAGCGTGGTGCTGGGTGTGGAGGGCACCTGAGGATGGCTGCCAACAGCATAAAATGGAGAACTGGACAGGAAGAGGCGGTGTTACTGGTTCTCCTGTTAACACTGGTTTTCCTGAAGAAGCTTGTCGCGCTGGTTTCCTGATATGAACCTGGCTGTTCTCATTGTCAGAGGAGCTTGGGGCCTCACTGTCAATGAGAATGGCTGAGGTTCATTTTGGGGGAGCTCTGGTCTTTACCGCTTCCTGGTTCCAGAGAGGAAGATGGTGTGCGGTTCAATCTCCAGGAGAAGCTTGTCACGATGGCTTAGTGATATGAACTCAGCTGTTCTCATCATCGGAGGAGTTTGGGATCTGTTGTCACTGAGGATGGCTGTGGTACTTTTCAGGGGAGCTCTGGTCCTTTCTTTGAGCATTGCTTCCTGGCTCCAGTGCAGATTCCTCAGCGGCTGGCACAGAACCTTCATCCCACTGGCACAGGCTTTCTAGCTTTCACTGCTGACCTTTGGGCCTTCCCAGTGCAGATCCATGAAATAGATTTTCATGCAACATTGTCATGGGCTCTAGGTCTTCAGCTGGACTCCTGTAGGACATTGCTATGAGCTCCAGTTCCTCACCTGGATTCTTTAGGTCTTCAACGTGTGGACAGGTTTCCTGCACTTGTGTTTGACTCTTTAGGTATGTTATAACCTATATATTAAAAACCCCTCATAAGTCTCCTCGGAGGCAAGAAAAGATCAAAGGTAACTCTAAGAACAGAACAGGATGTCTTCCTAATCTAAACTTGCTTGTTTGCAGGGAAATTTGCTTGTTTGCAGGATGTCCTTCCCCCAGAGGATGTTTGCCTAATCTAAACTTGCTTGTTAGCCCAACCCTTACCTGAACCTTGCTCTTCCCAAGAAATGTAATCGCTGTGTTCCTGTTCTGTAGTGCGGCACAAACCCACCCCCCTCCTTGCATTGTGAGACCAGTAGCTGTTTGCGGTTTTACAAGATAAAAATCCTGCGCTTTAGTTGTTAGGCGTGCAGTCTTCCATATTGGCTACCGGAGGCTGCGTCGTCAGGCCTGGCCTAAAATAAAGCCTTTGCTCCAAATTTCTTAATTTCTTGCTTCCTTGGATTTTATTCCAGGGTCCGAGCTATCACAAGGTGACTATTATAAAACAATTCTATTAATTATGCATCCTGTATTCAATTGTTTTCCTTGCAAACCCTGACTACAACAGCATCTCAGAGGGAAGTTAAAGAAAAGCTTGTTTCAGTTCAAGACTGTCACAGTCCAGTGCCATACATGAATTCAGTTTAAACAACAGAATTTTAAAAGGGCTGATCAAAAAGTCTGGTATGTGTTTAAAATATTCCCAATAGTTCTGGAAAGTCCAAGATCAAGGAGCCAGTTGATTTGACTCCAGAGTCAGGGTTCTCTTCCTCATTTGCAGATGGCTGTCTTTGCGCTATATTCTTAAACATTCTCTCTCTCTCTCTCTCTCTCTCTCTCTCTCTCTCTCTCTCTCTCTCTCTCTCTCTCCCCCCCCCCAAGGCCTTATGCATGCCAAGCAAGGATGAGCTACACCCCTAGCCCTTGTAGGTATCGTTTTATTTTTTTAAGAAGGGTACTAACCCTATTCACAAGGACCCCACCCTTATGACATAATTAACTTCCTGTGTTAATCAGCTTTGTTTCACTGTGACAAAACATGTAAAATAAGCAAAGAGGAAATACTGGCCAGTGTCAGAGCTTTCGGTCCATGGCTACTTGGTTGCATTGCTTGGGGACTGTGGTGGCCCAGGCGGTCACAGTGGAGATGCATAGCAGAGGCGGCTGCTCAAGCCATGCTGGCCAGGAAGCAGAGTGCAGAGGGGTCCCAGTACCCCCTGCCACAGCAGTACCCTGTGACCTAACGTCCTCCCATTTCTAGGTTCCATTTCTTTTTTTCCTTCCAATCAGATTTTATTGGTAGGTTTTAGAGATACATAGTGACCACACTTATCGTTGAAGACAGGCACCTGTGCACAATATAAGTTGCTTCTTTTTGTCTCCCTTAACCTCCTCCCCCTCAACCCCTCTTCCGCTCCACCTAAATGGAAAAACCATTGCTTCCATTTGTTCCCTTCATTTCTCATTTTTTAAATTTTTCCCATCCTTCCTCCCCCAGCCGTGTTCTCCCTCCCATCTGAACATTTTCTTCCTTTTGCAGAATATATATTATACATTTTGGTCCTAAGGTGGCTTCTAGGACGCAAGGCAAAGTCAGCTGTGAGCCATTGTAAAAAATTAAAAATGAAACAAGTTATATCTTTCTAGGATGTAAACATTTCCACTCCAAAAGGCACAAATATGAAAATAGTAAGAAGGAATCAGACCAAAGCAAGGCTGAAACCTGGCAGGGCCAACGTTAAATCCTGTAATTCGTTATGCAGAATCTAGGACGGTGTCGGAGAACCTATGGCACACGTGTGATTGGTTTTTCTTTTAGAACAGAAGATGTTAACGTGTGAGCTGTTTTTTCTAAACGGAAACCTTGTATTCAGGTTTAATTGCAGGGTTGGCACTTTGTGATAAATAAGGAGTTTGAGGTTGTAGTTTGGGCTCTCAGTCCCCCCAAAAGTTTGCCATTACTGGTCTCAGGAATCTTGGGTAGCATGGCGAGAGTTCTGAAGGGCTTGATAGCCCGCCTGTGGCTTTGCTGTGGGCAGCCCTCCTGGCTTCTCTTCTTGCTGCCTGTAGCTTCCACATTCCTGGCACCTTCTGGGTCTCCACTGCATCTCTGGATTCACTATTAGCTTCACACATTTCTCTGTTAGGAGCTGTGGCAGGAACTCTAACCCTGCCTCATACCCCTGGCCTCCCAGGCCTCCGCTGAAATCTCAGTGGAAGCCTCATAACTCTTGTCTGCAAAACCACCATAGCATGGACAGTACCAAGGTCTGCAGCTGCCGTGAGCTACCCAGGGCTCACTTGAGCCGCGACTGCGGTAGGTTCTGCCCTCTTTGATAGTCGGACATGGGAAATGAATCCCAGGAAACAGTTCCCTAGGTGGCCTTGTATAAGTGGGGCTTCCCAGGGCTCTCTTCTTAAAGGAAATCTCTGAAATGAGTTTATACTTTCACATCTTTGGGGTTTTTCTGATTTCTGACATGTCCCCAAGTTGTCTTTCCAATCTTACTGGTGCAAACTACTTGGCTTTTTTAGTGGTGTTGATCACCAGCAACCTCATCCCCCTTAGCAGTACCTCAAAACACACTCCCTTTCTGGCCAAACTGCAAAGTTTTTCATATCTTTCCACTCTGCTGTTTTGCTCATGATTCTCACTATAAATCTGCCCAAAGCAGCCAGCCGTATTCATGTCACCGCCAAAAGGCTGTGCTGCCTTGAAATTTCCTCCTCCAGATAAACCAGTCTGTCACATGGAAGCTCAGTGTCCCATAAAGTCTCAGGGTGTGGATAAAATGCAGTCAAATTCTCTTCTGTCGTGTACCAAAGAAGCCACTAGTCCAGTTCTGGTCAGAGACCTCACTTCCGCCTGAGAGCTCAGGAATGGCCTTTGCTGTCCACATTCCTGTCAACATTCTGGCCTGCTGTGTCCTCACCAGAACTGCTCTTTAATGTCCACTATTAGCAGCATCCTTTCTCCAGCCCCAGTCTCCAGTGTTCTCCAGACTTCTCCATAGACTAATAACCCCAGTTCTTGTTTTCTGTACTAGTCAGTTCCCTGTCACTGTAACAAGACACCTGAGATAAACAGCCCCTGAGGAGCAGGGTTACTTTGGGTCACAGTCTGGGAGCTATCCGCACATGGATGGTGGTCCTGTTGCTTTGGGACCAGTGTCCAGGCAGCACAGCATGGGGGGGAACGTGGCAGATAAAGCCTCTCACCTCCTGGCATTTGAGAAGCAAAGAGGAAAAGAAACCCCAGTTCTAATATCCTCTTTGAGGGCACCCACTGTGACTTCACTTCCTCCATCTAAGCTCTGTCTCTTAGAGGGTCCATCACTTCCCAGCAGCACCATGAACTGGAGGCCATGCCTTTAACACGAGAAGCATGGGGTGGATATTTCCGACCCAAACCCTAGCCTCTCCCAAGGGCTCCACCTCCAAAAACCATCACACAGGGCCAGAGGGGGACACAGGCATCCAGACCCTGGCGAAGCTCTGTATCCTTCACCAGCTGTCTTTCCCTTCTGGCCGGGATGGGTACCTGTGCCACCATCCTGGCCCACACCGTTAGTTCCACGCAGATGCAGGCTGTGAATCCTCCCCCACAGCCATGGTGGAGTTAACACTGGGCCCTGGCATGGGAGAAGCCCCCCTTTTCCCTCTCTGCTCCTTTTACCCATCTACTTGAACCCCGTGGCCACACACCTGGCCAGCTGAGCCTCCTTCCCGGAAACGCTGGTCTTTAGCTCACTCCAATTCGCAAATGATTCACCTCCACCTGCACCTCCAGGTCTTTATCCAGCCTGCCTCTTCCCAGGCTGGCGCCCACCCCTCATCTTTACCTTGCACTAGGATCTTCTCTGTCCCCCCAAGAGTCCCTCATCACCCCCTGCTCAGCCACTCCTCCCACTGCTCCGGACACTGATGAGGCCACCACTGGGAGGGTGACTCATGGCCTGGGATGACCTCAGAATCATGTGCCTCTTGCACAGCTGCTGATGGAGGGTACGTCCCCAGAAACCCTGAATGTTTAATTGGTCTGGGGCTTGCAGGGCACCTGGAGGAGTCTAACGTGTAACGGAGGTTGAATCACTGCCATGCACCCAAGAGAGCACACCGGTGCCCCTAGCTTGTTGCAGCAGCTGGACCTGCCCGTGCAGTGCTTTTGTGGATTTGTTTGCATGCTGTCCGTGTCTCCTAAGAGCTGGTGGGGGGATCAGAGCAGTTGCCAGGGGCCACGCACTGCACTGAGTGTTCACCGGCTTTATCTCATTAAATCTTCATGGCACTCCTGGGACACGGGTCTTTTTATAATCTTAGTTTGGGGGGATTGTTTTTCTTCAGTACTCAAGATTTTGAATGGAGCTACATCTCCAGTGCTTTTTACATTTTTTATTTGGAGACAGGGTCTCACTCAGTTGCTCATGCGAATTTGTAGTCCCTCCTGCCTCAGCCTCCCGGAATGCGGGGATTGCAGGCATGCACCCCCACACCCAGCTGAGTTTGGGGAAATTAAAGCTCACAATGTGATGTTCCATCATGTCTGTGTAGCTGATCAGTGATAACCCTAGAATTTAAACTCCAGCTGACCCCAGAACCTGTACAGATCATGCACTTTCTGTATAGCCACACCCCTGTTGTCATGGCCCTCATCTTCTGTGCTACCTATTTCCTCTTTGTCCTCACGTCAAGCCCAGAGGCTTGCCTGACCTCCTCTGTCACAGACATATCTTCCCATCACTGCTCTTCCTTGGAGCGGGGAGGGAAGAGAGGAAGCAGCCAGATACGAAATACAAACAAACCCTGGCTTTGAACCCAACCAGCCACAACTGTGAAGACAGGAAACCCATTTCTACTTCTTAGAGCAGCAAGGATCCTAAGTAGAGGGACAGAAGCTACTTGGTCAGCTTCGCCTCTTGGCTGTGTGACCGTAGACAAACGCTTGTCTTCCCCGAGCCTTGCCTCTGAAACAGAGATGGGAGACTCACTTGCAGAAGAGATGTGTGGCTGGATTCCATGAGTGTGGCAGCAGCAAGTGACAGAGTTTATTAGTATAAAGACTCAGGGCTCCTGGAGCCTGACTTCTTTTGGGTCGCCATTGCCAGCGGCCAGTTCTCCCTTCCACCCACCGTGCACATTGGCCTTGGGAAGGCAGTGGAGGTGACAGTCTTGAGCAAAGCATCTCTCCTGCTACCCAGAGCCACAGTGCCTGCACCCTGGTCATCACATCCGCACCCCGGACTTGGCTTCTGACTCCAGCCTTGTCTAAAGAGCTGTGATGTGCAGCCATGGGCTCGAGCAGCAGACACCCCCGTTTTCCTTGGGGTTCAGTGTATGGAGCGCGAGCTACAGTGAAGAGCAGCGCCTGTGACAGCCACTGGGCCGAGCCCCAGGTGTCTTCCCTCTCCCTGGAGCTGTGGCAGGCAGCCTGAGACGTCATTTGTGTTTGGCTATGTTGAAATCACAACAGCTATTAAACCTATCACGGATCTCGGCATTTAATGAACAACAAAACCCTCTGTCACTACAGCACAGTGGATAATCACATTTCAACACAGTCGGCTTCCCTGGATTTCTATGCACAGAAGCTCCTTGGCTGACTTTGGGGGTTATGTCCTGAGGAACCCCCAGCAGCTGAAAATGCCACCAGCCAGTAATATGTTTACTACCTGACTTGGTGGTGCCTGCTTGTAGTCCCAGCACTCAGGGGGCTGAGACAGAGGAATGGCTATGAGCTCAAGGGCAGCCGGGGCTACATAGTGAGCTCAAGGCCAGCCTGGACTGCACAGTGAGACCTTGCCAGAAAAGACAAATACAACTGTTACATGAGTGCATGTTATGGATTAGGTCTAAAATGACCCTCAGATCCTCATACATTTGGAAGGTGCCTGGATCTTGAAAGTGTTATACTCATAGGTAGATTAATCCACCAATGAATCCAGACCTAAACATGCTGTTGGGAGGCGAGGCCTGGGAGGAAGAGGCAAGTGGCCTGGAAGGGTCTGTCTCCCTGCCTAGCCCCTCTCTTTCTGTTTTCTTTCCACCATGATGTGAGTGGCTGTCTTCCCCCGGGCCCTTCCCCCAGGCTGCTTCTGCATGGACCTGGCCAACCATGGGTGGAACCTTCTGAAACCGTGAGCTCAAATGCACCTCTCCTCGCCTAGGTTGTGAGTATTAATCATTGTGTCTCTGGGACAGGAAGTTAGAGAAGACGGGTCATTTGGTTGGGTGTGAGTGTAAAGAACCAGCTGAGGCAGAGATGTGGCAGCCATGGAAGCGATGCCTAGCCTAGCACGACCTGTCACCACTCACCCGCTCAGTGGTACAGGCAGCGTGAGCTAACTCACTCAGCCTTCTAGCAGCCTTACAAGGAAGGCACTGCCAGAGAAACTGAGGCAAGAAACTCAGGACCTGCTCTGGGGTGGAGCACTCAGCCCTGCACTCTATCAGTTTTGGAAGACTCCTTGCTAAGAGCCACTCTGCAGAGCCACTGTTCTGGGACCTTATACTTGGACAGCACAGAATCAGGTTGTGTCAGTGGCACCCAGCGCTGTCAGGATGCAGCCTTGGGAGACCAAGCCAAGAACATCTCAGCAACTCGGCCCAACCCAGGCAACTCAGCAATTAGGTGAGGCCCTGCCTCAAAATAAAAATTAAAACGGGGTGGGGATATAGCAAAGGCCCTGGGTTCAATCCCAGTATCATGCACACACACACACACACACACACACACACACACACACTCACAGGCACTCATACAGGCTTGTGATGTAGCTCGGTGGGAGAGCACTTGCCTACCCTGGGCTCAGTCCCCAGTACTGAAGAAAAAAATGTCAAACAGAAAGAAAGCAGCACTCACCCACCCCAGGTGTCCAGCTGAAATCCAATTCAGAGCCTACATCTTAGCATGATTCCCTGGCGGCTCATGAGCTAGCGCCCTGACAGCTTACAGGCAGCACTCCAGGCCCCAGGGACAAGGAGTCTTTCCTCAGGGAGGAAAGCAGAAGCGAATAAACATCCTGAGCTTGTCTAGGCCATAAGTACTCTCCCAAGGGAAAGAGGCAGCCGATGATGTCAGGGAGGGCCAGGTGGCCTGGGCTCATTACAGAGGAGGGGCAAGGGAAGGTGGCCCGAGGCAGGGACACTGGAGTCCAGAGCCAGGGTGCGGGGAGTGGCCTGTTCCCTTAGGGCAAGGCCGGAGGGGCCTTGAGCACACCAATGAGAATGTGGAGGTGGGGGACAGGGGATGGGACTCAGACATGGTGACACCCACGTGCGGTGCATGATGAGGGGAGAGTGGTGGAAAGACGGCGATTAGAAAACAGTGCAGAGGACACCACGAGACGGGGACAGAGATGCAGAGGGGGCTGGCGGAGGTCGAGGTCTGCTGGTGCCAAGGGCTGCACGGAGAGCTTTGGCTCTGCCACACCAACCATGCACACACACACGTGCAGGTCACACATATGCTGAACACACACAGGCACATGCACGTGCTTCATGCAGGCACGTACACACTACACGCAGGCATGTGCACACACGTGAAGCACACACAGGCACACACACACACACACACACACACACACACACTTAGGGACTGGGGCTACCCACTGGGTCCTCCATCCATTCTGTTCACTGGCTCGAAAGCACCACACACACCTGCCTGTTGGAGCCTGAGTTCAGAGGAGGCAAAATCTCTTCCTGCGGGGGTGAGAGGGGAGACTCAGTGGGGAGAGGGCTGAGCTGGGTGTGTGGGATGGGGAGGACTTGGTTGTCTCCAGCAGGGGTTCCCCAAGTCCTAAATCTGTGGCCTATTGGAACCAAGCCGCACAACAGGAGGTAAGTGGTAGCAATTGGGCAGAGCTCTCTCTACAATTCCAGCCGCTCCCGCTCCCATCGCGGGGCATCACCGTCTGAGCCCCGCTTCGGCTTCTGGTCAGATCAGCTTCGGTGTTCAAATCTCAGGAGTGCGGCCTCTGCTGTGAACTGCACATGCGCGGCTGGATCTCGGCGTTCGAAATCATTCCCACCATAGGGAGGGGACTGTTTCCCACAAAATCAGTTCCAGGTGCCAAAGATGTGTGGACGGACCATCGATGTAGACGATGGGTCAGACTGGGTTTGGGAAAACAGCAGAACCACATTCCTCGTGGGGGACGGGAGGAAGTGCGCTGAGAGGCTTTGGAAAGCAAAGGGACAACAGGGAACAGCACGATGGGGCCTTGAACATGATGAAGGCTGTTAAAGGGTTGGACCAGATCGAGGACAGCCCAACAGCAGAAAGTTTAGAATTAACCGTGTGGCAAGTGGGAGCCATAGAAGGTTCTATCCCTACCCACCACCAGAACCTGAGCCCAAGGAGCCACAGGCATATGCAGACCTCATTACCAAAAACCACACTCATTGCTGCTTTAGGAGACCTGGCCCTGGCTTTGGTTCTCAGCTGGGCCTGCAGCCACATGCCTCTGAACTGGGTCACATCCCCTGGTCAGAGCTTATGCCTCAGAGCAGAGCCTGCTGTGTGGGAAAGCAGAATCTAGCAACAGCCAACCCTGAGGACAGGTGGTGCCCGCTGGAGGGGTTCAAGGCTGTCAGCTGGGCTGCCGACCTGCCCAGAGGCTCTGCGGATGGCAACGGTCCCCTCCCAGCTGGCCATCGAGGAAAGCCAGGGAGCTCTCTCCCAGGCTCTCGCCAGCTGGAACGGGCACCCACAAAGAAGCGGGCACCGCCTGAGGCCAGCTGGCCCTCTGTGCCCAGCAAGAGCCGAGCTCCCTACGTCACTTCCCTGTCATCTGTCGACAGGGATGATTCTCTACACCTGATCGCTCTGGGTGAGTATTTTGCTTACCTGTAATGACTTAGTCTGTGGACTTGTTCAGTTCCCGAATTCACCCTGGGCTCTGTGCTCTGTGTAGTCAGGATGTGTGTGTGGCGGGCGGCCCAACGCGCAGGAGCTCAGCACGCAGTGGCTGATTGTCCGAGTGACCACTGGGAGGCCCCAGTGACAGCATGTGCTGTTGAAGACAGGAAGGTGCAGGAAGTAAGTAGATATTCACTCCCTCGCTCTGGTCCACGTCGCTAAGGTGACCACACTCAGAATAGCAGGGAGAAGCCGAGAGACACCGGCGGGTGTGCCCAACATGCAGTGTTTCAAAGAGCCCCACGGAGGAATCCTTGACATTTACCGCAGCAGAGGAAGCATTCGGGCAGACACTCTCGTGTTCCTAGAAAGGAAGTCCTCGGTGTCTCGTCAGTGTCTTCCTATAATTAGTGTCAGACTGCAATAGTAATTATACAATTAGTTATGTCATGTAGAATATAATTGATAAACATAATGTTATCCCAGGGAAAATAATGATGGGCTAGAAAGTTCATTTGGAAGAGAATAACTGAGAAACTGTGGGACCAGTGGCATGTGGCTCAGCGGTAGCACCTGTGTGGCATGCACGAGGCCCTGAGTTACAGCCCCTACACACACAAATCCTGTGATTGTGACAGAGATTATTATTATTATTATTATTTGGTATAGGAGATTGAGCTCACGACCTTGCACTTACCAGGCAGGTGCTTGAGCCACTGAGCTAAATCCCCAGCTAAGCAGATCTTATCTGCTGGAAACCTGGCCTACTATAAAGTGCAGATAAGGAGGACAGTGTGGGTTGTGCCCAGGAGCTCCTGCTCTGGTCAAGGCTTAGGAAGCATTGGTGATGTGCCCCTTCTGTTGGGTGCTGTGGGCCCCCACTTGAGGACAGTGTGACCCCTGCCCCCACGGGCCTGGCTGTTCCCCATCTCCCCTCTGGCTGTGAGTCCTGTGACCTCCCGAGCCTCTTCCCCCATCCAAGTCCCCAGGTGGGGTTCAGGGCAGCACTCCAGGGAACCAGGGAATGAGGCTGCTGAAGCCTTGGTGCTCTGCAGGGGGTGCCTGCAGGAACCCACAGTTGGTGATTATTTTATCCCATGAAAATGACAGTGAATAGGTGGACTGTTCGCTGGTTTGGGGGGCCAGGAGAAGCCCCGGGCACTTGCTCCGTCCTGGCCGCGGTGCTCTTGGCTCCGGTCCACAGAGCTAGTATCCCCTGGGCAGCAGGGAACAGATGGAGGTGGAGCCTCGGAGTATTGTCCTGGGCCCCTGCTCCTCCTCTGCCCTCAGCTGGCTTTCCAGGTGGTTTTGTGGTTGTCTTGTGATTGTTTTTCCTGATCCAGCCCCACGGGCGGCCCTCCCTACCCCCTTCAAGTTCAGACTTGCAGAAGCTCAACCAGGCAGCCAGAAGCTCGCAGACCTCCTCGGTGGGGAAGGGCTGCTGTCCAGGCAGCTGTGTGTCTCTGTTGCCTGCCTGGGGTGCACCTGTACCTTGCAGATCTAGGTTCCCACTCAGCCAGGCTCCCCACATCCCATGGGTTTCCAGCTGGGATAGAATAACGTCTCTTGGGACAATTTGCCGGGAGTGACTCTGAGAGCACGGTGACAGAGATTCTCTGTGTCCTATGTGCCATCAGGGCCGCCCAGGTCCCCGTGGGACTGCCATCATGACCGTCCCCTCTGATGGGGAGAGCAGCAGCTCGGGTAGAAGTGGGATGCTCTGAGGTGGCAGGTGGATTGGTGGGAAGAGAACTGGATGGGAAGTCCTGTCATGGTCCCTGGGTTGGAGTCATCGAGTCCTAGAAGCTGTGGTGACTGTGATTTGGCTGAGCTCTCTGTCTTCTTGAAGCCAGTGTCCTGTTTGTCTGTGGTCCTCATGAGCATGGCCATGTGTCCTGGAGGTGGCCCTACACTGCATAAAGGAGTAGGGGCCACAGGGACTGGGTAGAGTCATGGCCATGTGACAAGTGACCTTGCACTATAGCACTGGATGGGGCTTCATCCAGAGGGCTCTACCCCATCCAGCTGGGCCTCATCCATGGTCACTTGGACACGGAAGGCATGAGTACCTGGACATCAGTAGAGACAGAACTTAGAGATTGGGCAGAGTTGAGTGTCCCTTGCACTGTGCTCCGTGTCCCTGAGCTGTGCCATCCATCCCTTTCCTCCCTGGCTGGTAACCTGTGCCAACACCCATTTCTCCCATCTCTGTAAAGGGTACCATCTGCCCCACATTCCTCAGGCTCCACGCACAGGGTCCTGCAGTCCTCCCACTCGGAGGCGGGATAAGAGGATCGCTGCAAGGTCCTGGCCAGCCTGGACTACAAGGAAGATCCTGTGTCCAAAAACCCAAAGGAAAATAAAAGCCAGAGAAGCCACCTGGCTCCCTGGCTGCCTCCCTTCCACACAGAAGCCGGAGCCAGAACAGCTGAGAGTGTGCAGGTCTCCGTGTCACTGAAGGCCTCAGCCCCAGCCTCCCAGGGCAGGAGGCGAGGCGCGGGGCGCCCCAGGTCCCCAGCCCTCCGCACCGGGAGGCTCCTGTCTCGGGGAGATGTGCTCCACTTCCTGCTCAGCGTTCCCTGTAACGATGGTAACGCTTCTGCCCCATTTCTTGATTGGTTCAGAACTCGGGGAGGAAGGGAGACCTTCACAGCGCCCCCAACCCCCATAGAAACACCACCACTCGCACCTCCGTGGCGTTTTATAGGTCAAAGAACTCTCCTATTTATAGCCTCCTGGAATCCTCTCTTCAGCTGCACATACAGTGGTTATTATTAGCCTTTCCTTTACTAATAAAAAATGAATACAGAATTCAGGCAACGCCTGGAATTCAGAGCTCACAAAATTTTACCATCACAGCGTGAGGTTTGAGTTCCTATTAAAATTGTTTTTTTTTTTTTACTAAATTATGATAGTAATCAAATCATGGTGGCATCGGTGGGGGGAGAGGAATTCAGGTCAATGTAAGACCCACTTCCGGGGTGGTGACCAGACAGGAGCAGCTCAGGGGAGTCTCTCTGTTTACACCTGTGATGACACAGCATACACACACTCCCCAGATGAGCGTGCAAACTCGGTGACATCTGAACAAGGTCTGTGGTTGTTAGAGGATGGTATTGTTTGTATCAAATCGAAGTTCCTGATTTTGAAGCTGTGCTATGGAGACGTAAGATGTTAGTGTTGGGGGAAGCCCGCTGGGGAAGGTACACGGGAACACTGTATTAATTTTGCAGCTTGTCAGTCTTATTTTATTTCAAAATAAAAATTTAAACACATGCGGCTTCCACTGGAAAGAAGGTATTAAGTTGAATTCTGAGAAGGCAAATGAACTTCCGCTTCCCTGCCGATTGCAGTCCATTCCCAGGGATTCTCTGGATCACAGTCCAGTGTGAGGGACTCTGGAACCACATCAGGGCCCAGGGGGAAGGAGTGCATTAATCGATTGGTGATGTCTGCTCTGGACTGCAGAAGTGACTTGGGGGTCCTGGAGCAGGCACCTGCTGTCTGTGTGCACAGTTCCTGGTAGCTCTGCTGGGCCCACAGCAGTGACAGCAGAAGACAGTCCTGAGGGAGGGAGGAGGAGGGCGGCAGGTGCGCTCAATGATTCCCTTTATGCCAAGTTTAAGAAGAGGCAGCAGGAAGCCACGGAGGCTTCTCATGGGGAACGACCAGCAGGCGGCATGCAGGTGATGGCACGGTTCCCTTTCTTCATAGGAGCTTTGGTTTCCCCCGTGTGTGTGTTCGCTACAAGTTATTGACCTGCACTCTAAGACCTGTGCATTTTATTCTCTATCAATTAGACCTCGATGATTAAAAATAAAGAGGAGCACAGGGCAGGTCTGTGCAGTGAAAACTGTGCCCATTGGGAAGCAGAGTGGGAAACTCTCGGTCATATCATTGCAGGGAATTCCTCCTGGTGGGATCCAGTGTTCAAATGGACGGAGTTTTGCTGTACCCTTGGCCATGGAACTGTGTGGGATAAAATCCCAGCCCTGTCACTGGCTAACTGGGTGCCCTTGGGCTACTGGTTAATCCTCGTGCCTCAGTTTCCTCAGCTGTCACATGAGGGTAACAAGAGTGCCCGCCTCCTGGTCTCTGTGAGTCCAGTGACTTAATCAGAGAGGAGTTTAGAAGTGCATCGTGGTGTACAAGAGCTGCTGCTGGGTGATGACTACTCTGCTCTTTAATTTGTATTAGTAGTGTTTTCAGTACCTAATGATTACATGCGTCAGGGAGCTGGTGCATGCACAAATCACGTCTCGGTTCTGTTTTCATCCCCTTCCCTTCTCCTTCCTTTTCTCTCCTTTCATCTCTGGTCCTTTTCCTTTTGCAAAAGATCCGTGTCCTTGTTTCTCATTATCTATTTCTCATTTTGAACTTCATTTACATTTTGGGTTTTTTTCAAATAAAAGAAGCCATGCGATATTTAAGCTTATGTGACCGATTTATTTTACTTGACATTATGATCTCAAGGTGCATCCATGTTCTTACAAATGACTCGGGTTTATCATTCTTGACGGCATGGTGGCATTCCACTGGGTATAAATACCACACTTTACTACGGCTCCTATGGCTGACAGTTGTCCCTGTGAACACTCTGGTGCCAGGTTGAACCCGAAAAGCTTCCTGCGGCATAGCTGAGACTTCCTGGGTGGAAACTCGGGGAATGAATGCTCCAGGAAGGCAACAGGGATATAAATAAATGCTCCTTGGCTCCCTGAAGTTAAGTCTGAGCCCTCAGAGTGAGCTGTGGCCCAGGCCTCACCTGCTCCCATTCTGTGCCCTCAAGTGCTGGGTGAGTGCATAGAGAGGTCACCCACGCCTCTGGGGATTCATTTCTTCCTCTTGGGCAGCAGAAGGGGATCCAAGCCCTCCACCCTCCACCTGTGTCCTTTCCCCAGCTGCTGGTTTGAGAGCCTTGTTTGCAGGGTCGCTGGCCTCCCTCCTTTGGGGTTTAGTCTTTGGCTGGGGCCAACGTGGAGCAGCCTGGTGGGTGGCTGGGTGCTGTTTCTTTCCAGGAAGAAGTGTGGGCTGGACCCAGCAGATCTGGCTGAACCGGGAGGGGAAGCAGAAGTTGTCCAGGGGCCCTCGCCTTGGGGAGAAGGAAGGAAGCAGTGGTCAGGGGCTGGCTGGATTCCAGGTGGCAGGGGATGGCCAGAACTAGGTGCCTCTCATCCGCCCCCCCCCCCAGGGTCCCCAGAGACAGAGGAACAGGAAGGAAAGCAGGCCGCAGGCTGTGCAGGTGGCTTGGGGGCAGTACCGAAGTTTCCACAGAGCCAGGAACTCACCCACCAGAGAAGCTAGTAGTGGAGGGGGCTGTCCACAGGTGCTGGGAGACCAAGGCTTCCTTGGAAAACCAGTCTGTCTTTATTTCACTGTCCACCCATGCACCCAAAGCCTATGTCCGTCCACCTCTCTGTCCACCCAGAGACATTTGATTGTGTCCATGTTGTGTCAGGCAGGAGGCGTGTGCAGGTGGATACAGAATTTAAGATCAAAGGGCTCCTTCCTACTCCGGGATCCAAATAGGATCCTGGTGCTTACAGTACAGTACTGACCACACAGTGGGACTCAGAGAGGGACAGGATGCTGGGTGCACAGAAGAGGGACACCTGGTCCCTGTGCCACTCAGGGCAGGCTTCCTGGAGGAGGAAGCCATTGTGAACGTGGAAGATCTAATGTGCTATGGTGGGGTCCAGGATTCTAAGAGGCAGGTGGGTCTTATCCAGTATCTCCTGCCCCAGCTGGAAGCAAGTGCCGTGGGGCAGACAGAGGCACAGGACAAAAGGATTCCTCCATCCCTAGCTGCAAGGAGGAGCTGCCCCTACAGAGCAGGACACGGGCTTTGTACCGCTGTGAGAACAATCAATAAACCTCTGTTATCTTAAGCCATGCATGTGGGGTGTTCTTTTGCAAGAGCGCCTCATATTTCCTTAAAGAATGCACCCCACACCCTGTGAAGACAGGGAGAGGAGGGGAGGAGTGTGACAGAGGGAACTGAATGTGTTCCAGCCCTAGGAAAGGACAGGAAGGTGTACTGAGCCCACGCTAAGCCGTAGGGGCTCCATCATAAGCCAGTGGGGTCCCCTGGGCTGGACCCTCAGGCATGCGTGTCTCTTCCCTCAGGCTCAGAGATCCCAGGTTCCTGAATCACTGATCAAAGTCCCCAATCAGTGAGTGGCATTTGGGGCTCAAACCCAGGTCCCCTAAGCACCCAGGAAAACCAAATAAATGTCCCAGATGTTCTGGTTCCCCTTCTGGGGAAGCCCAAAGAGGCTTACACCGGCTACGTGAGTCCACCCACGTCAACCAGCTCCCACCCGTGGCTGGGAGGTAAGGGAAGTTACCTGCTCCTCTCTCCAGCAATCTGGACAGAGTGAGCGGTGGGGCACCCAGCTCCCCACTGTCCCCCACAGAAAGCTGGAAGCAGACATGGCTGCTGCCCTTGGCAGGGTTGGCCTGGCCACACCAGGGCACCCATGACAGGCAGGAACGACTTGGGCTTCAACAAGGGTCCCCACTTCTTTGCCACTGCTCCCCATTTTTGAAACCAGAATGTTCCGGATTACCTCTGTCCAAGGCCTTCCTGGGTTCTGCAGAGACCTCTGGTTTGGATAGAGCCAGGCGTGAGGCTGAGGGCAGAGCTTCTGGCACTCCCCACTCTCACCCTGCCCTGTGAAGAGCAGCCCCCTCTTACCGTGCTCTGCTCCCCCAAAAGGCAGCATCTGAAGAGAGAAATTCACAGTTTAACAATTTGGGAAAAAAAAAAAAAAAAAGAACTAGTCACGTCCAGTGCTCAAATTCTCTAAATGGAGGCTCTAGTTTCAGAAAAATGAAACACAGTTGATGAAAACACAGGCACATAAGTGACAGAAAATGGTCTGCTTGCCATTTGTATCTGCCTGTAGGCATCTGCCCATCTGTCCATCCATCCATCCACCCACCCATCTGTCCATCCATCCATCCGTATTAGTTACTTTTCTCATTGCAGAGACCAAATAACCAACATCCAAAGGTAAAGGCGGAAATGTTTCATCAGCTCCCAATTTGCAGAGGCTTCAGTCCGTAATCAGCTGGCTCCACGGCAGGGTGGCATCGCAGGGGAGAAATTGTTCATGATGGGCAGAAGGTAGTGAAGCAAGCGTGGGGGACGATGCGTCTCCGTCTGTCCCTTACATCATATCCAGGCTGCCCGGATTAGGATAGTGCCAAACCAGTCAGTGGACTGACTTAGTGATCATCGATCCTTAACTCTAGCACCCTTAACCCTAATATCGCACCACAAGTCAGTTACACACTCTAGATCCAGCCACCTCTGAACGAACCTCATCTGTGGCCACATGAGGCTTGGGGGACATCTAGACCCAGGTCATAACACATCCAGCCAGCCAGCAGGTACTTGAGGCTCCTGTGTTTTGCCTTATTCACCTTGGGGCCAAGGTAATCTCTTCTAAGCCTTGGCAACATGGAAGAGAAGGAGCCCGAGTTCCACACAGATTGGGGTGCAGCTTCCTTTCTGCCCACTTCTGGCACTGAGTCTGAGAGAATGGAAGCCGTACTTTCTCCCTCTGGGCCGGGTAGGGGCACACCAGGTTGTGCCTTCTCAGCACCGAGTGTGTGTTCTGCAGCAGTGAGTGGGGAGGCTCTGGCTGCGCCCCATCTGGAAGTGCTCAGGGCCCCGAGGGAAGCACATCTCTGCTCCCCTTGCAGAGAGACAGCCCGATCGTTGCTGGCCAGAGCTGGCGTCTTCCTCTTCCCCCCATTGTCTGGGAGACCTCGCGTGCACTTGTCCGGGAGATTTCCGCAGGAATCGTGGTGTCCAGCCAGCTGGGCACATGACGCACACCCGGTCTCCACCTCTTTGCTCACCCTCTCCCCCAGTGAGGGTGCCTGCATGTACCTGGTGCCATGCCCACAGCTCACCCGGTCAGTTGTCACTTCCTGAGACAAGCCAGCCCTGAACTGTCTTTATTTTTCATCAGGCTGCCACAAGTTACATGTGTACCCTCCACTTGTCCATTGCCTGCCGCACCCCATGGGCTGCAAACATCAATATGATTGATGCTCCTCGCTGCATGCTGGGCACTTAAAGAGAGGGCATCAGCAGTGAGCAGCTGGGAAATCCTGACCTCCTGACTTCAAGCTTGTATATTTGCTGAAATCACCTACAACCACCTCAGAGTATCAAGCTGCCTGAGTCAGGGTGGGGATAACGCAGGCCAGGCCTTCCCCCCAGAGGGGTGGGAATGAAGGGCCCGGTCCCCGGCCGTATGTGAGTGGCTGTGTATGGATCTACTCATCCCCAAGGTTGTTGAGGGGAACCACTGGACCCTGTAAGCTTCAGAGGCCAGACCCGAGTTCAAGCCCTGGCTCCACCTCTTTCTGGAGGTCTCAAGGCCTCTCTGAACCCTGGTTCCTGTCTGAGCCCGGTTTCATGTGGGCCCTAGTTCCCTCCCTCATTCATGACTGAGGTGACTCCTGTTTGGCTACTCGAGCGCTGGATTCAGGGATGAGCACATAGGACACCAACCCTGCCTGTGAGTGCTGGGACCTTGACCGAGTTACACAACCTTCTGGGCCCTCAGGTTTTCTACTCCTAAGGTTTGTGACATTTTTGTGAGTTCATGCATGTAAGCTGTTTGGATCTGCGCCTGGCACTAATAATGCCTGTATAATTTTATGTGTCATGTTCACCCTTTAAAAATCTGCTATGTGTAGCAGAATGTACCCTTCAGTACATAGAATGTAAATTGAGTCAAATAAAAATGTTATTTGTGTAAGACTTGTCAAATCATGTGTATAAATATGTACAATATGTATACATATACACACACGCATGCTCAGCTGAGAGTGTGATTTTCTTCTGATACACACTTCATAAAGTGAAGATACATTTCATGCCTCACCTGCAGAACATTTGTGTGCAGTGGCAGGTGTTAGTCACAGCTTCTGGAGGTCAGGGACTGCCTGGAGAGCTGAGGATGCTCTTCACCTTGACTGGGGCACGTGACAGAGGTCACAATGGTCCTCTCAGCCGCACAGAACCTCAGTGATTTCCCCCGTGGCTCACTGTTTCCGCCCAGCATCGCAGGGGAGTCCTGAACCACACCCCCGCAGCCCAGGACAAGGTCTCAATTCAACATTCATACTAGGGCTGCATGGTCGTAAAACTGAAGAACCCTAAACTGAATCACTGTAGGCTGGGGACCCTCTGAATCTCCACCCATGTGACCTCACTCTCCAGCCAAGCTGCTCCCCACCAGCTCTCCAGAGACTTCCTTACGTTCTGTGGTCAGTTTGGCCAACTCCCCTCGACCCCTCCACCTGTCACTCCAGATAGGTGCTGTTTGTGATCTTCTGCTCTGACTTGTTTAACCTGTTCTGCTTTCTTTTCTTTTCTTTTTTTTTTTTTTTTTGTGGTACCGGGATCGAACTCACAACCTCATACTTGCCAGGCCAATGCTTAAGCCACTGAGCTAAATCTCCAGCCCTCAAGGACCATTCTTTGTAGTATTCCTTATCATATTTTCTATTCCTCTTTAAAGTATTTATTTTTGTTCTATTTATTTATGGGCATCTTTCAGGACTAAAACACACTCATTTAACCGTCAGCTCCTACCTGGAATTATAATGCCCTTTCCTGTGTGATGTAAGAATTCTAAAATATTAAGCTTCCACTTTAGCATTTTTCAATCTATGCTGCTGTCGTCAGATATGTCACCTCTTTAGGACATAAACTCTACAACTGTAGGGTTGTTTCTGCTTTAACTGTCCACTTTGATAGCTCTGCCGAGGTTTACATCGTAAGTGCATAGTTAATGATTCTTAGTAAATTTATGATGTTGCACAACTGCTGATGTAACTCCATCAGCCCAGAAAACTCCTTAATCCACTTTCAAAACTTAGCATTGTCCCAGCCGTGAGTCATCACTAAGATGCTCCATGGATCTATAGTTTCACCTTTGATCTTTCACATCAATGGAATCGAACAGTGTGTCCGCTTTTGCAATAGATTCTTTTATTTAACACAGTGCAGTGGAAGTAAACTTACATTTCCCTTGTTAAGGAACTGCCAACTTTCTTTCCAAAAAGGCTGAGATACTTTACATTCTCACCTGCAGTTAATGATTACTTTTCTTAAATAATAAGAAAGTAGGAAACACAGTCTTTTGTATTAATTTGCATGTCTAGCTTTTAAGGTGATCTTTCTTCCCTAAAATTAAAGAGCTAAGTTTCTACGTAGAATAATTTCCCTTCCTCCTGAATATCTTATTTTGTGTAGGTTTGCTGGCAATGAGTTCTCTCAGTTGTAATTCATCTCAAAATAGCCTTATTTCATTTTAATTTTTGAAGGATAATTTTACTGGATGTAGAATTTGAGGTGAACAGGATTGGCTTCTTCCTGATTTTCAAAGCTGTTTTCCATTGTTGCTTTGCTTGCATTGTTTTCAATAAGAAGTCAGGAAACGTTCTTATTTCCATGGTCCTGGATATTCGATGATTTAGTTGTTTTTTTTGAGACAGGATCTTTCTTGTAGTTCAAGGCTTTGAACTCACTAGTAGCCCAGGCTGGTCTTGAACTTGTGATACTCCTGCCTCAGCCTCCTGAGTGCTAGGATTATGAGTATACCACCTTGCCTGGTGTCCTATCACATCTTAAGCCTTTTTCTTTTTCTGGTTCTTTAAAGTTATGTTTCATTGCTTTTTAAAAATCAGTGTCATTGTAACGGTCTAGCTGTGGTTTTCTCTGCATTCTTTTTTCTTTGTTCCTCCAGTTACAAGTCTATAAACTGTTTGATCTCACACCAGGGGTGACCAATGCTGTCTTCAGCGTTTTTTCCCAATCTTCTCTTCAGTGTCAGTGTTGGTTTATTTATTTATTTCTTTTTTCTTTTTCCTTTTTATTGGTACTGAGGATCAAACTCACGACCGCCTGCTTGCAAGGCAGGTGCTTATGCCGCTGAGCTAAATCCCCAGCTCCTAGTGTTGGTTTATTTTTGATCTGTCTTCAGGTTTAGTGATCTTTTTTCTCTTGGGTCAAATCTACTGTTTAGTCAATATATTTTCAGTTCCAATATTTTAATTTTAATTTTTTGAATTGCCATTTTGTTATTTTTCAGCTTCCTAAAGTACACTTCTACATCCATTGTATTTTATTCTATAACTATATATATATGTATATATATATATAATAAAACTCTTAAAACACTTTAGAAGAACTATATATATATTTCTATTAACAGTCATTTCTGCATTTATTACTTGTGGTTTTCCTTTTGATTATGGGTCACATTTTCCCTTTATCTCTTGTTTAGTGTTTCATTTTACTATATTCATGGAAATTAGGTATAAAATCAATTGTGTTTGAGCGCGATTCTGCGCTCGTTTTTGTTTCCTAGAAAGTCTGATATGCTCCCCGCTGCCTGTGATGAGACAGAGGGAGCAGCTGACCACTTGGAGTTCTTTGAGCGAGTAATTGAGCTGGGGATGAGAAGGCGCTTTAATTAGTCTGAGTTACCTGTAATTAGCTCAGCCACCAACATCCTCTGCCTTTTTTTTATTATTATCTTGTCAGCATTTGAGGTAGGAGGAGTCGGCTGCAATTTCAGATATTTTGGGTTCTCATTTAAATCCGGTGACTTCGGGGCCCTGCAGTCCAATCACTAGGAGAATGTGCACAACGATCCCTGTTTGCTCTGCTAATGTGCCTGTCCTCCAGCTCTGCCTTCTAGAAGGGAGCCGGGCAGTGCAGGTGAGGAGGCCGAACTGCTGGACTGTGATCTTCCTTGCGTTGGAGGCTGGCCCGTCTTGTGGCCTTGGTGACGTCTTGTACTTGGGATTCTTCCAAACTCTGATTTGACCTGCACGCTGGCCCAAGGCTGGGATGATTTTCTCTTGTCTTTGTACAGCTCTCTGTCAGTGCAGATACACGAAGCGGTGCCTCCCCAGGAAAGGCGGCTGCTCGGCATTTATTTCTTCCTGGAAATCAGTTCGCTGGGGCTTGATTCCCATGTTCTTCCTTAGTTCCACAAAAAGTTTGCTTTTTTTTCTGTTTCTTTGTTGTTGTTGTTGTTGCCATAAAGACAAAGATCTACTACACTCTCGATCTTCAGCAGAGGTGTAAATCGCCATCAGTGTCAGCTATTACTATTAGCGGACACAGTCTTTGGTAAAATAAGCCAGGAAGAGTATAATTTTAGCACTGAAGATGAATGCTATGATACAGAGGTACATGGTTCTCTTGGAATATTCCCTGGCAAAACAATCATTTTGCAGCTGAGAAAACTGGAGACGAGCGGAGGAGCTGATCCAAGGTCACACACGTCACTAGTAGACAGCAGTGTCGGTGTCACCCAATTCCAGAACCCCAGCTTTTGCCCATTCTCCTACAAATGTGCCACACACACAATAAACACTTGATAAATGCAACGACATAAAATATGCGACCCTTATCTGACTTAGGACTGAGGACATAGTACCTGGATAATACAACAAATAATTACTGAATGAAGAAACAAATCCTCACCTTGTCTCTCTCTGTCTCTCTGTCTCTGTCTCCCACCCACCCACCCACACACACCCTCAGTCTGACCTGGCAGAACAGCCTCCTGTTGAATGGTTCCGAGACGTTCCTGGCACACATCGAGCTTCCTCCCCTTCTCATCCGGCAGCCGGGTGCTCTGGGGCACTGGCAAGGGGACAGAAAGGGAAGTCTCCAGGTTTCAGAATGGTCTCACGTTTGCAGACATCGTGCCCAGGGCTTCCAGGCTCCTGGCTGTAGGATGACTTCTGTAAGGTGAACATGCTTGTCTCCTTCGTAATCCATGTGGAGATTTCATTCCTAATGCAATGGCTTTGAGCCACATTTGGGTCACAAAGGCGCTATCCTTGCATGGGATTGATGCTACTCTCGTGGAGGACCAGGTCAGTTCTGGGGACACTACTGATTTCTCTGAGGTCATTGAAGAGATAGATTTGTGCTGGTATTGTCCGGACACCTGAAGGCAGAATGTCTTGTGCTCTGGGTGAGTGATTTGGGGATGACAATGTGCAATGTATCTACCATTGTTGCCCCTTTATTTACATGTTTTGAATTTTTTTTTCTTTTTTTTCCTCTTTGAAATCAAATACATTTGAGGCCATTTGTGGACTGCGGGGTAAGAGAACAAGCAATCACCAAGAAGCAAGCCCTCCCTGAGAATCAGCACCATGTGTGGGCTGCTGGGGGGACAGCCAGACCCCAGCGCCTTCTGGCCCATGGGCTGGGAAGCAAAAAGAGCCAACATCACCCCCCACCCTGACATCACCGGCTGATCTGGAGACACTCAGGCTGAGACGACAGCTATTCAGGTGAAATGCAATTTGATGTTGTGGTGTTTGGTGTTTCACTGACTTTGCAGGTCTAGGGCTGGTGGCCTGATCATCTATTCAGAGGATGGCAGTATGCAGTGTGGCAACTAGGGGTGATCAATCTACTTCTGATGGTGGCAGCCATTGGTTAATTTCCTGTTACCTTATTTTGAAGTCCCATATCATTTACATTGTTTTGTTGGGTTGAGTTTTATTCTAGTGCTGTATGTTTGATTTTTACTATGTCTGAAGTTATCTGCAGCTATTTTGAAGATAACAAGAGGTATTACGGTAACTGTTGTTGATTTCCTATTGTTTTGAAACCCTGTGTCACTTACACTACTTTGTTTTGATTGGCTTTATTCTGTTTTACTTTGCTTGAATTTATTCTTTTTAAAATAAAGTAAGAATAAATACATTTGAAAACAAAGAAGAATCATCCTGTCTAGCCTACTGGGTGTGATGGTGCATGCCTGTAATCCCAGCTACTGGGGAGGCTGAGGCAGGAAGATCACAAGTTCAAGCCCACCGAGACCCTTATGTGTTCTGTTTTTGTAGGTCTCAAAACTCAGCAGCTGAAGGAGGTAGCAGCTTGGTCTAGGAGAGGAAAAGGCTGCCCCCAAAAAGCTAAGGAAGAACAGTGAACCATCGGATCCCATTCTCGGCCATGTTACAGGTGACAACTCCTTCCTGCCCAACAGAGACCTCCAGGCTTGTTTATTCTCTGGTGATCATAAAACAGGGACACCTCCACAGAGACCTCCAGGCACAGGGCACCATCTGTAAATGGGGAGGACGTCCAAACAGTACAGTTGTACATGGAGCCTGAGATCACAGCTGTGCTGCTTCAGAGCCCTGGCATCTGGGCATCTGACTTCCAGACAAGAGAATGGCACAGTGTCTGCTCGGAACTGATGGATAAATGGGCGAAATCTGGAGACCCTGACAACAGTCCTCTCTGCAACTGCTTAAACCCTCCTGCCCACCTCGGGCTCTGGCTCTGCCTGTGTGTCAGGAGGAAAATAAGGGATCGCTGGGCATCCCTGAAGGTCTCTGATGAGAACACAGAGGCCTAAACAGACACATGAGCTTGATGGGAGGATGGTACCCATGCCTGGTTATTATAAATCTCAAGAATGCAGTCATCCTGCAGACAATGCCCTCTCAAACCAAAGACCGATCACAGCAGAAAATGCATCCATAAAGAAAGAACACAGTGCCACAAAGCAAAGGAACACAGGAAGAAAAGAAGGAGGAGGAGGAGGAAGAGGAGGAAAAGGAGGAGAAGGAGAAGGAGAAGGAGAAGAAGAAGAAGAAGAAGAAGAGGAGGAGGAGGAGGAGGAGGAGGAGGCGGAGGAAGAGGAGGAGAACTCCACAGGAGAAATAAACGGCAGAAATAAAAATTTCAGTAGAAGGTTTGGGAGCCAAAGTTGAAGAGATCTCTCAAAAACATTTAGCAAAGTAAGCCTCTGGAAACAGGAGATAAATGATAAAATTACAAGGAAGGTCCAGGAACTCTGCTACTCAAACTGCAGGAGACCCAGCATGAGGGGAAATGTGAGAGGAAATACCAACAAAACAACTGAGGAAAATGTCCTAAAAGCAAGAGGCGTGATTGGTGAGGTTGAAAGGACCTTATCAAAGTGCTGAGCACAGAGAACAAACCACATTTTTAGCACAGAAGATGGAGGGGGAATTTTTTCTGGTAGCACAGAGAAGTCTACAGACTTCTAGATGGGCAAACAAACCCAGAACAGCTTCACGTTTCTCAGCAGCAACACCGGAAGGGTGGAGACAGGGCAACGAAGACTTTATAAGGGCCAAGGATACAGCTCAGTGGCATGGTGCTCGGCTAGGAAGTGTGGGTTTGAGTCCCAGGACCCCCCCACCAAAATAAAAACAAAAAACAGCCTTTACGATTCTGAAGGCAAAGTATTTCTCATGGAGACTTCTATGCAAGCCAAAATACAAAAATATCCTTACATACAAAGCCTCATTGACCTTTTCTTAGAAAACTACTTGAGGATATGTTCCACCAGAGCAAGGGAGTAAACCAAGAAAGAGAACAGTGTGGATCCAGGAAATGCGCATCTGGCTCAAAGTTGGTGAAAGGCTCCTTAACGGATGGGGAAGGAAGATCTGCTAGGTCATCTGCAGAGAGCAACAAGTCCTGTTTGGAAATGCTGGAAGGTTCCAGGAAGGACTTCTTTCAAGACGATAAAATTAGCTGGGCATGGTGGAGTACTCCTATAGTCCCAGCACCCGGGAGGCTGAGGTAGGAAGATCACCGTGAGCTCAAAGCCAGCCTGAACTACATAGTGAAACCCTGTCTCAAAGACAAAACAAAACAAAAAACAAAAACATACAGAAACCCAGATATAAAATTGGAGAAAGCTTGGAGTAAATGACAACCCCAGGAATGATTGGGAAAGTACAGGGTTAGAAAATTAGTAAGTAATATACAGAGATCTAAGCAAATGAAAAAAAAAAAAAAACTGATGACAGTCATACCACTAAACATCAGTCTCCCCTGAATTACAGCACAGTATGGTGGCTCAGGCAGGAGGTAAGTGCGGGAGCTGAGGGTTAGGCATGGAAGAGCTCAGCGGCTCCCGCCTCGGGGAGCAAATGGATGCGGCCTAAACTAGAAACATACCCAGGACTGCAGACACAATCTGTAGTGAAGATAACTGAGGACCAGAGAGGCCCACAGAAGGCACTGGGGATGGCGGCTGCCTCTGGAAGGAAGGGGGGTACTGAAGACTGATTTGTGTTAATTTTCCTCCTAAACATCAGACTCTAAACCAGACATGTGAGCAACTGGGAAAAATTACAAAGCAAGCCAGCTGTGGTGGCCCACGCTGCTAATCCCAGCATTTGGGAGGCCGAGTCAGGAAGATTCCAGTGAGTTTGAGGCTAGTCTGGGCCACAGAGTGGGCTCCATCGAGGCCACCCTATACTATGTTGTGGGAGTCTGTCTTGAAAAAAAATTGAAAATTAAAAGTAGCACCATCAAAGCACAGGTAATGCTGTAAAATCTGAACAAGGTCTGTGTCTGAGTGAATCACCGTGTCCCTGTATGGATTCCCTGATTCGACCTTGGGTCACTGACAGTATCACGATGCGGGGAGGGGAGTCAGGAATCCGCTGAACTATTTTTGTCATTGTTTATGTCTTAAACTATTTCAAATGAAAAAGTTATGTAAAGGCAGTGATAGAGTGCTCGCCAAGTTTGGGCTAGGCTCTGGGTTCCATCCCCAGCCCTGCAGAAGAAAAGTTCCATAAACAAGTGCAATAGGAGAACATGCCAGATTCTGCAGTCTCCAAGCTACCCCTTACTGATGTCCTCTCTGCCCAGAGAGGCCTCCTGGAGGGAAACCGAGGCACCAGACCGCACCGGCCATCCAATCACCACACTTGTGAGTGGACCCATCTGGGACCAGCCAGCCCCCAGCCAACCCATGGTGCTCACAAATCTCTCCTCTTGCTTAAGCCCAGGGCAGCAGAATTTTAACAGCCTACATGGTATCGGTCAGATCCGGAAGAATCCTGGTTCTCCTACTGAGTAGCTGTGTATCTTGGAAAGGTTTCTTACCCTTTCTGAGTCTTATTTCCTCATATAGGATAAGAATGCAGTAGCACACACCTTTGGCTCATGGGTTATTATGAGTTTGCAATGAAGTTGTCCTCACGGGCGACATTCAATGCATTTGTTAAACACATTTGCTACTGAATATTTACTGAGCACCTACTGCATGCTAGTACTGATCGCTGAAGCAATGGGGCTGAACCAGAGAGAGAAAGGCCGCGTGTCACAGAGGGGAAGATGGGGGAGGAAGAAGACAATGGTGCTGTGTGAGGCACTGCCTGACAAGAAATGACTGAGGCAGGATGAGAAGCCACTGGGCCTCTCTGGGGAGGTGACATCTGGGCCACGACCTAGAAGAGGAGGAGGAGGTGGTTTCAGGAAGCGCAAAACAGGTGCTCTGGGAAGAGGGAAGACTTGGGAAGTCCTGGATCCCAGAGCCAGCCAGGGGGAGGGGCAAGCTGGGCGGGAGGAAGGAGCCACGGCTTGATGATTCTTGCAGCTGTTCCTGATATGAGCTCAGGTTAACACCTGACCCACTGCAAATCCTCCATTCGTACTGGATGCACCACTGATGAGTGAGGGCACGGGTGTAACCTGGGCACGGTTTCCATGGAAACCATCGCCACACGCCCTGACCATGAGGGCAGCTCCCAGGTTTCATACCCAGCGGACCTGACTGAACGCAGGCTCACAGCTACCCCAAGCCCTGCGCGGCGGGTGTGTGTTTCTCTTCCTCTTCCACAGCCCCAGTTGTTTGGAAGGACACTGGAGCCCAGCGACAGGAAGCTCTTGCTACCGTGCTGGCCCTGCTGTCCACCCACCTAGCCCCAGCCCAGGGACACAGCTGTCCCCCACCCCCGCCCCCGCTGTGCACACAGCAGGAAGTGGCTCCTGCCAGCTCTGAGATGCACTGTGCATGGGGCTGAGCCACCTGGGCCAGCAGCCCCATAGGAGAGAAAGGCTGAGCAGCCCTCGGACCCCACTTTGCTGTCCCATCAGGCAGCTGAGGAGTTGCAGGTCCAGAAGCTCCTGCTTGCTCTAGAAGGCTCAGGGGCACACCCATGTCCACTCGTGGACCTGTAGACAAGGGTGCCGCTACTAGTGAGACAGACCCAGACACACAAGGACGCGGAGAGGCACACACAGATGCAGGCAGGCTGTCCCTCAAGGAGGTGACACATTCACACTGTTACAGGGCGCACACAAAGCCTTGGACCCACCTCTTCATGCTCCAGCCACACCTCCGTGATAATTGTGAAGGAAGAGACACCTGCGGCCTCTGCCCTGCAGTGCAGGTTAATGAAGCCTTAGCAGGAGGTGGCATCTTCCTGCTGCCATAAAGCAGCCCCAGCCCAGTGGCCTTTGTGATGGGCCCCATGGGGGCACCAGGCCCAGCCCCCACCTCCTGCAAGGCAGATGCAGTGATTGGTTCTCCAGCTCTCTGCCTAAGGGCCTCTCTGGGTGGATCCCCAGGGGATCCCCACCTCTCTGGCTCCAGGTCACTCTCTGCCTATTCCAAGGGCTAATTCAGTCTTCTGGCCAGAGGGAGACTCAGTTTCGCCTTCTTGTCATCCTGGGCTTGGGGCCTTGGCCCTTCTCTCACACACATGGACCTCTCAACCACCCTGGACTTCTGCTCATATCACATATCATATTTTTCACATATCAAGGCCATTTGCTGCCTCTGGGCCTTTGCACCTGCTGTGTCCCCGTCTCCCAGGTCTTTGTTGGGCTCCCTTCTTCGTAGCATTTACATCTCAGCTGGAAGTTCCCCTCATCAGAGAGTCTTGTCTGACCCATTTGGCTATATACAATGTCTCTGGGTGCTCATTCATGTCATTGGGGAGCTTTAAAAAATCATCCAGTGTGGGCCTTGTGCAAATTCATTAAGGATCTCTGAAATGCAAATCTTGAGTGCTGGCATTTAAAAAAAACATAGCTCCACATAGTTCTACTGTGCAGCCACAGCTGAGAATTCTTGCCTCATGGACTGCAGTCAGCAAAAAGAAAGGCTGAGTTCTGTAGCCCCCCTCCAGCATTGCTACCATTTATTGAGTAGCTACTATGTGCCCGACCTGCAGCACCCTTGTGTATTACGAGTCTTGGTGCACACTTGCATGGTGCATACCCTGTACCACGTTTGGTAGAGCACCCATTCCATCCTCCACCAACTCCCTGAGGTGGGAACCTTGGTCATCCCCATTTTGCAGACCATAAGACTGAGGCTCAGAGAGGGAAAGTAAGTCAATGCAAGCTATGCAGCTGGACACCAACAACAGGTCTTGGAATTTGTGTTAGTGACTTTTCTTCTTGCTGAGACCAAATCCCCAGCATTCAGTTTAAAGGACAAAGGTTTATATACTTATTGCTCACAGTTTGTAGAGGTTTCAGTCCATAATCTGCTGGGTCCAAGGCAGGGTGGCACGGCAGAGGGGTGTCACAGAGGAGAAACAGCTCATGGCAGGCAGAAGACAGCAAAAGCAAGCAAGGGGCCTTCATATAGCGTCTTTCTGCCCCTTTTATCTTGCCCAGGCTACTCAGGGTGGGCAGCACTCACACCCTTAATCCGAGCGCCCTTGAGCCCAGCACTGCACCGTGAATCAGTTCCAGCATCCCACACTGTAGATCCAGCCACCTCTGAAAGGCCCCAGCTAGGGCTGCAGGAGGCTTTGGCGGGAAGGGCGTCTAGACGCAGCCGTAACAGGAATTAACCAAGCAGGTCGGCTGCACAGCCTGGCTCTGAATGCCGCCACCAGGCTGCCCTTGTTTTGTTCAATCCTCAGGAACACTTCCTGCCTGGACATTTTGAAGATGCGCAGCCAGGGCTCACGAGTCAGGAGACCTGCCTGGGGTGGCACCCGGGTCACACAGAGGGTACAGGCTAGGAGGGACAACTTCCTCTTACCCTCTTCTAGATTCGGAAACCAGCTTGGGCACATGGGAGCTAGGAGCCCGGGACTGGGCCGGCCACCTGTTGCAGCAAGTGGATTAAGGATGGCAGTGATTGACAGGTAGAAACCACCAATGGGCTAAGTATGGTAGTGATTGACAGGTAGATAGCACCAATGGGTGGCCGCAGTCCTAAATTTTAGAGACCCCAGGGAGAGGATAATATCTAGGTACATGTGCTCCTCGGCGGGGCTCCCGGTAGATGACTGGACCGTGAGGTGCTACAGTCATGGGCAGGTTGGTTCACTGACGATTGCTGAATGTGTTGTTGGGTTGTGGAGCCTGGTGGGCAGAGGGGGTCACTGGGATGCAGCCTGGCAGGGTCTCTCTCCCTCCTTGGCTCCCCCTTCTCTCGCTTCCTGTCCGCCATGCCCTGAGCAGCTCGCCCCCACCAGCGCCCTCTGCCACGCTGCCCTGCCCTGGAGCTAGCCCATCATGGGCTGAAACCTCTGCGAACTGGGAACTAAAATAAACCTCTCCTCCTGTAAGATACAAGCGCCTTGTATTGTGTCCCAGTGGCCAGGAAAGTGACTAAGACAGTCTCATCTCACTAGCAAGGCGCAGGAGCAGATTTTAGTGACTCCCAAGGTCAGGTCGCCAGTCCATGCAGAGCTGAGATCTGCACTCCGGCTGGCTGGTGGCAGAGTCTGCACCACAGTCCCTTGCTGGGACTCTGGTTCCTTAACTACCTGCAGCCCCGTCACGTGCTCTGTGGCATGGGTCCATCTCTGTCACAAACACGGAAAAGACAAGCCCCAAATCCAAATGGAACCCTGTCAGACCAGGAACAGAGAAAGCAGCCTTGAGTATGTCCCTGGTGCTTTGAAATGGACCCAGCAGTGCCTGGTGCTGAGAAAACTAGAAGCCCAAGCAAGAGCCCTGCATGGACTGCTCCCTGGTCACCCGGGGCGTCTGCTAAGCTGGGTCCAGGGCCCTCGGTGACATCATCTTCCTGACACCAGCCCCAGCCTCACACACACCCCCTCTCGTCCCCCAGGCTGGGGCCCACCTGGAATGTGATGTGGACGCAGGTGGTGACATTTGGAGGCCTCCAGCCCGCAGCTCGTCCAGAGAGACACAGGGCCCCAGCAGCCCCTGGGGACCGGAGCTCAGCGCCAGCGCTTCAGATGCCTAGAACCTCGAGCTGCGTCACGCTGAGCTTCCATTAGGCGTAATTGCTGCTGGCGGAGGAGCGGGGTTAGGGGGGCGGTAGGATACAGCCGCTCAGGAAGCAGCCGGTGCGGTGAGGGCGGGTGCAAAGAGGCGGGGGAGGGAGGGGAGGCGACGTCTGCAGACGCAACTGACAGTGTGGGTTCCCGCAAGGCCCCCACCAAGCTCCCGTGGGAGCCGGCCCCCTCTCCAGGACGGGAAACGCGGGCGGAAGAGAAAACACGCCTGCCCTAGACTGATGAGTTTGTATCTGTGCCTAACACCCTGAAATCCACCTCGAGTCATCAAAAACATGGGGGGGGGGGTGACATCCCTTATGGGGCGGGGAAAAGTTCAAAGCCTCACCGTGTAGCCCAAAGGGTCCTCCTGCCTCAGCCTTCTGAGTGCTGGGATCACACGTATGAACCACCAGGCTCCAGCTGCCTCTCCTGGCCCTGACATCCCCTCCCTCATTACCTTTGAGTGCATAGTTTTTCAACCAGCGCTTCAAAGCAGCTCAGAGGAGCAGACAGCCCCTGGCCTGCTGACACTTGAGCATCATTGTGTTTGTCCTTGGGAGTCAGGGAACCAGCTCCTTCCTGCTCTCTGGCTTTTGCATTGCCACACCTTCTGCCAGACATACTGATCTTCCTCCTGGCCAGCCCGGGAGTTTGACCTACCCCTCTGGGCACCTCTGAAAGGTCACTTCTTTTGTGAAACCTCGCCTCCCCCATGGTCCACACTGAGCTCTTTACGGTCACCCCCCCACCAGGAAGTCTAGCCAGAGCTCCTGCAGGGACAGCCACGGGTCCACTTCCCAAGTCAACTTTGATTCCATCCAGAGAGCCATGCGACTCAAAGGGCTGGGTGAGCTGGGTGTGGAGGTGCACACCTGTGATTCTAGCATTCGGGGAGACTGAGGCAGGAGAGTTCCAGTCCAGGCTGGGCAACTTAGTGAATTAGCAGAACCCTATCTCAAAAAATGAAAAAAAAAAAAAAAAAAAAAAAAAAAAGACTTGGGCTGTAGCTAGATGGGAAAGCCTGGGATCAGTCCCCCGTACTGCACACACATACACTTACACACGCACGTACAGGCATGTGCTTGTGCACACTCACGGTGCCAGCCCAGTTCCACAGCTGCTGGAACCTCCTTGGAAATAGATGTCCTGCCTCCCAGCTGGACCTGCTGAATCAGAAGCTGGAGAAGAGGCAGCACCATCCCCGGCAGCCTTCAACTGCCTGAGGTACACTCAGACCCGAGCCCCTCTGCAGTGCCTGGAACAAGGCAGGTTTGTGTCCGATGCATCTAGAACCTGTAGTACAAATAACCACAGAGAAGCGTAGCTGGAAAGGTCACACGGCGCTTTAAAAAGAGAAAGGAAGCTGCTCCTCCCTCCCTCCTCCCATTCCTGCCTTCAGCTTCTTTCGCTGTGTTTCTGGGTGTCTGCCTCCATGCTTGAAAATCTTTGCATCTGGGGCTGGGGATTTAGCTCAGCGGCATAAGCACCTGCCTTGCATGCAGGCAGTCGTGAGTTCGATCCCCGGTACCGATAAAAGGGAAAAAGACAAAAAACAAACAAACAAAAAGAAAATATCTGCATCTCCCACCACCTTTGGACTCACTGTTAACCCAACCCCCTGACCTCTGCTGATTAAGGACTCTTGGCCCCCACACAGCCCAGGAGGCTGTAGAACCCCCTGGAGTTCCATCACCCCCTGGTGAGTGCCCCCAAGTCCTTGGCTCTGGGGACTTAACTATGTAAACTACCCCAGCATCACCCACTAGATCCATGTTATCAAGGTAAGTTGTATTAATTTTTATGTATTTAAAATGAGACAGAAATTTTAGTTTGTTTTGGCCTTTCTCAACTGACATTATTTATGGGCAAGTCCAGGGCAGATATAGGAGATTCATGAGCACCAAAAGGCCTGGCTCTTTCTACCTGGTTGTTTTGCTACAATTAACATAGGTTTTAATTCATCGTTCATGGCTGCTTGAACTCCGTCCATTGCGTCTGCATCCAAGCCATTAGAGCAAAGGGTACTATTCCCACTCCATGTAGACATTTCCTAAAAATCACATGCATCAGTTTTGTCCATACAGCTATGTTCAGGACAGCTATACTTAGCTGCAAGGGAGGCAGAAATGTATTTTTCCTGGTTGGCTGTCTGCCGGGCAGAATTGGAGTCCTGAGACAGGTACCAAGGGATCTGAGGCCACTTCCTGCATTTCCTCCCCTCTTGCTTGGGCTCATTGCACTCTGGGAAGTGCACACTCCTCAAGCCTGGTACCTGTGCTGCCAGGGAGTCCTGAGAGCCACTCCCTTTCTGGATTTCCTGGTCTCAGGCAGGTCACTGCTGTCTGGAGGACCTTTCCTAAGCCTTGTGGCAGTCTTGTACCCATGAGGCACTTTGGTGTCTGTCTCCACTGCCGTTAGACATTGATTGTGTCATCGCTGTCTGCTCACTGTCTCTTTTGCTGGACTGTGAGCTTCAGGACTGCAGCAGCTCCGTCCTGTCCGTCCACCTGACACATGGAACCCCTTGGACACACCTGTGTCTCCTTCCTCTGGCTGCAAATCTCAGGGAGGCTGGTCGCGCAGCAGAATTGCTGACCAGGAAGCAGACTGTTGCTGTGACCTCGCGCTTGCCTCGTGACATCCAGAAACAGCCCTGCTTTCCCTGCCAAGGCCTTGGCTCCACTCCCCCCGGTGTGCTGCTCTCATGGGCCGAGGCTCAGATCCCTTCAGTATTTTATTTTTTTTTATTTAGAGATTAGACTAACAGAAATGCTGGACTCCAGACTCACAGGCAAAACAAAACAAAGTGTCAGAGCAGAGGGGCTGTTATTCACTGAGAGCTAGTGTCTTAGTATCTTGTCCCAAAAACTGTAACACTGTCTGGGAAAAATATTTTGCTGAGTGCCGAGGAGAAAGGTGACAAATCCGAGCAGCAGACAAAGCCTCAGAGCTCAGGAGGAGGGAGATTGCACAGCTCTGCAGAGAGTCACAGCAAGTATTTGTTGATACTGTGGTCTACATGGAGGAATGTGAATAGTGCCTGATTACAAAGAAAGGTCCCATCCATGAAGTCAGAGCTGATCACAGGCCCCGCCTGTTATGTTGGGGACCAGTTTCCCCCTAGAATTTAGGGGGCATGGCCATTCAAACTGCCCAGCAGTCCTGCCCTGTGAAGTTCTCAGGCTCTGGCTGTGGGTTCCTCCCCTTTCAGCTGCTGCCTCCTGCTTGTGAAGCTTCTTCCTTCATATCCAACCAGCAGAGGGAGGAGAAGGTAAGGAGAAGGTCCTTTCTGGCAAATGCACACTCTCTTCTATGCATAGCCACGGTCATGGCAGCAGCCATGCCGAGAGCAAGGGATGCTGGGAAAGGCAGGTGCTTTCTGGGAAGTATCTGACCGAGAACAGGCTCTTCCCACACATCAGGGAGGTGGCTGTTGGGGCCCCGGAAGTGCTGCAGGTGACACTGGGCAGTGCACACAACTGTTGGAGAGGTTGGGGGATCAAGCTCTGACAACTCATAGAAGCTGAGGCCAGGCACTCGGTGGGACCCACAGCTGTGTCCCTCGAATGGACAAGAAGGCAAATGCGAGTCACCACCGGAGTCACTGTGAAGGACTCCTGGCTTAGCTTCAGAACAACCAGGTGGGATTGGCGGTGCCGTTTTTAAGAGGCTCCAGAAGGTTAGAGAAGTTGCCTGAGGTCACATGATGACTAAGAAGCAAAACTGAACACAGTGGCTTTGCCCCAGGTGAGCACAGAGCCCTGAGAGCAGGCCGAAGAGGGCAGGGCAGTTTTGCTGCAGGAACTCATGCATATTCAAATGTGGGGGCGGGTACACATCCGAGCATGCTCAGTCAGGCATGGCAGGCAGGCGGCCCTCTGCATGAACTATGATAACAGGCAAACTTTCCTCTAGGTCATCTAAAAGAGTGAATCCCAGTGACTGGTTTGGGCTGGTTCCTTGTGTCTTTTCAGGGCCTTATCTGAGACAAACACCAACAGGGATGGAAATTGCATTAATCATTAAAGGACCACCAGCAGGAGGCCTTGTGAGCCAGCCACCTTTACCTCACAGGACAGGACGCTGTCATCTTCCAGTTTGGAGACTGGGCTAAGAATCAGTCCATCGGGCCTCAGAAGCCCACCATCAAGAAATCAAATAATAAAAAATTCCAGGGAGGCCACGGGAAGAAAGGAACCCTCCTTCAGTGGCTGTGAGAATGTAATTCGTCCAACCACTATGAAGATCAGTAATGTGAGTCTTCAAAAAACTAAAACGAGAAATTCCGCTCCACTGAGCTATGCCGCCTCTAGGAATCTACGTTTATAGCAGCACAACTCACAACGGCTGCATCTTAGAAGTGACCTGTTCATCCAGCGACAGATGAAACGGGGAAGGAAATGCGGCAGGGACACACCAGGGGTGACTACTATGCCCTCAAGAAGGATGAACTCGAGTCAGGTGCAGGAAAAAGGATGTAACCATCTTGAGATCGTGATGTTAGCGAAATAAATCAGACAGACAGGCTTAAATATGGCATGGTTCCTCTTACGTGAGAAACCCGAGTTATAAATAAAGCGCAAGATAAAAGATAGAAAATAGGACACAGAGAGAGTTGAAGTGGGAAGGGGATCGAGGGACAGAGGGACCCAGGGAGGAAGGGGGAAGAGGATGAAGACGGGTGATGATGGGTCAGGTGCGCTGCTGGCCCCACACAGGGATGGGAACATCACCTACTGCAAACGCAGTCCAGTAACAAGGTTTAGGTGCGCTCAGCCACTGACGGCTCCGGGGGTGGGTGGGGCGTGGCCTGTGAAGGGCTGCTGGACGGCCTTGTGGGCACCACTGCAGGTCCCCTCTGCAAGATTCTCTTTCCCTTCCTCTTGCCGCAGACCAGCAGGGTTTCACTTGTGTGTCTTGGACCCAAACTAGAGGGGAAGAAGGAACCAGCAGGGTGCAGAGTAAGTAGGTTTGCAGAATGGAGCAGGTAAAAACAAAGAGAAAGTGTTGGAAAGGCCATAAGAAGGAGGCGAAAGAGGCCACGGGAATGAGAGCTGGTCCTTCCCAGCTGAGGTCTGGGACCCTGCTTCATTTCCGGGACTCCGGGTCTCTCCACCTGGACAGTGTGTGGAGGGGCCAGGGCAGTTCAGTCGTCAACCTCGCAGCCACTACACCCTGTGAAGGCTGGGGGACCTCAGAGG